TAAAATGTAAGGTAAACCCCTTGTCATTTTTTGGCAAATTTAAATTGTTGCAAACTCGCAGGAAAGATGCTCAACCTGAAGCACGTTCCTACACGTCTTCTGGATAGATAGGACAAAATCAATCAGTAATGAAATGTTTCTTCAAACATCGTTTACTTTTGTGCAATACATTCAAGTTGTTTATTGATGAATACTTAATGAATCTCCTCTTGCATCAACAGGGATTTCTGTGTCATTTGTTGGAAAGTAACCCTTTGATCAATTTAGTGGAAAATGTAAGGTTAACCCCTTGCTATTTATAATTAAATTTTGTTACAAATCGCCTTGTCTTCATTTCAACCTGACATCAGAGGTGTCTTTGCTCACGTTTTGTAACCTTTGGAAAAGGCACGTTATAAATGTTGTTGTTATTATTATTACCTGTTGAAGATAAACATGTTTTTCTTCTCCAATATCTGATTAATTCAGAGATTCATTAAAACAAATATGGTGAAAAAAAGAGTATATTTTGTACTGATTTTCATTTGGCGTATTCTGAATGACAAGTTTATTCCGTCAAAGTTACTTGTATGTCATTCTTAATTCTTTTACCAACGGAAGTTGAAAACAAGTTTACTTATTGGTGTGTCAGAAGTTGAGTTATGCTACAAAACATGTACTTGTCCGTGTAAAACTTGAATCTATAAAACTTGAATCTATTTACCTTTTTATATCCAACTTTATTTAATGAGTGAGATATTGAATAACGGCTGTTGAACTGTTTTTATTTAATGTTGAGAAACAAGTACTGGAATAAATACAGTAAAACTGATTTAAAGCCAATCTTTGGAGTCTTTATTATGACTGAATAATACGGTGAATTTAGCTCAAGGGGTGGTTGGGTTGAAAGACTTGGAACACTGTTAATTGCCCCTGGGAACAAGGTTGATGCCCTGGGAAGGAGGTTAACAGCCCTGAGAACAAGGTTGATGCCCTGGGAAGGAGGTTAACAGCCCTGGGAACAAGGTTGATGCCCTGGGAAGGAGGTTAACAGCCCTGGGAACAAGGTTGATGCCCTGGGAAGGAGGTTAACAGCCCTGGGAACAAGGTTAATGCCACTGGGGATGAGGATGAAATGGACTAAAATAAACAAACTTGTTCAAAACGCATTTTTAAATTCAATCATTTATTTGTACCATAACGCTTGTATAAACCAGATAAAGAATTTAAAAACGGGTTATCTTGCATTAATAAGTATTTCTAAGTCGTCTGCAGAATAGTCAATTTTTGGCCAAATTTTGGTAAAAATGTAAGGCTAACCCCTTGTTTTTTTTTCAATTTTGGCCAAAAAATAAAGTTGCTCAAAAATTACACGAAAGATGCCCAAGGTTCCCTTAAACACATTCCTACACATTTCCTGGACAAAAAGTGCCATTTAGAAGAAAGAATGCATCAATATTTTCAGCAAAATAAGTCCAAAAAAATAATTTTTGACCAAAAACTTGATTATTTTTGCCCAATTTCTCAAAATTCTCGACGTTTGAATACTGAAATGTGCTCCTGGTGCATCAACAGGTATTTCTGAGTCGTTTGCAGAAAAGTCAATTTTTGGCCAAATTTCGGAAAAAATGTAAGGCTAACCCCTTGTTTTTTTTTCAATTTTGGCCAAAAAATAAAGTTGCTCAAAAATTACACAAAAGATGCCCAAGGTTCCCTTAAACACATTCCTACACATTTCCTGGACAAAAAGTGCCTTTTAGAAGAAAGAATGCATAAATATTTTAAGCAAAATAAGTCCAAAAAAATAATTTTTGACCAAAAACTTGATTATTTTTGCCCAATTTCTCAAAATTCTCAACGTTTGAATACTGAAATGTGTTCCTGGTGCATCAAGAGGTATTTCTAAGTCGTTTGCAGAAAAGTCAATTTTTGGCCAAATTTCGGAAAAAATGTAAGGCTAACCCCTTGGTTTTTTTTTCAATTTTGGCCAAAAAATAAAGTTGCTCAAAAATTACACCAAAGATGCCCAAGGGTCCCTTAAACACATTCCTACACATTTCCTGGACAAAAAGTGCCATTTAGAAGAAAGAATGCATCAATATTTTAAGCAAAATAAGTCCAAAAAAATATTTTTTGACAAAAAACTTGATTATTTTTGCCCAATTTCTCAAAATTCTCGACGTTTGAATACTGAAATGTGCTCCTGGTGCATCAACAGGTATTTCTGAGTCGTTTGCAGAAAAGTCAATTTTTGGCCAAATTTCGGTAAAAATGTAAGGCTAACCCCTTGTTTTTTTTTTCAATTTTGGCCAAAAAATAAAGTTGCTCAAAAATTACACCAAAGATGCCCAAGGGTCCCTTAAACACATTCCTACACATTTCCTGGACAAAAAGTGCCATTTAGAAGAAAGAATGCATAAATATTTTCAGCAAAATAAGTCCAAAAAAATAATTTTTGACCAAAAACTTGATTATTTTTGCCCAATTTCTCAAAATTCTCGACGTTTGAATACTGAAATGTGCTCCTGGTGCATCAACAGGTATTTCTGAGTCGTTTGCAGAAAAGTCAATTTTTGGCCAAATTTCGGTTAAAATGTAAGGCTAACCCCTTGTTTTTTTTTCAATTTTGGCCAAAAAATAAAGTTGCTCAAAAATTACACAAAAGATGCCCAAGGTTCCCTTAAACACATTCCTACACATTTCCTGGACAAAAAGTGCCTTTTAGAAGAAAGAATGCATAAATATTTTAAGCAAAATAAGTCCAAAAAAATAATTTTTGACCAAAAACTTGATTATTTTTGCCCAATTTCTCAAAATTCTCAACGTTTGAATACTGAAAAGTGTTCCTGGTGCATCAAGAGGTATTTCTAAGTCGTTTGCAGAAAAGTCAATTTTTGGCCAAATTTCGGAAAAAATGTAAGGCTAACCCCTTGGTTTTTTTTTCAATTTTGGCCAAAAAATAAAGTTGCTCAAAAATTACACGAAAGATGCCCAAGGGTCCCTTAAACACATTCCTACACATTTCCTGGACAAAAAGTGCCATTTAGAAGAAAAAATGCATAAATATTTTAAGCAAAATAAGTCCAAAAAAATATTTTTTACAAAAAACTTGATTATTTTTGCCCAATTTCTCAAAATTCTTGACGTTTGAATACTGAAATGTGCTCCTGGTGCATCAACAGGTATTTCTGAGTCGTTTGCAGAAAAGTCAATTTTTGGCCAAATTTCGGTAAAAATGTAAGGCTAACCCCCTTGTTTTTTTTTCAATTTTGGCCAAAAAATAAAGTTGCTCAAAAATCACACGAAAGATGCCCAAGGATCCCTTAAACACATTCCTACACATTTCCTGGACAAAAAGTGCCATTTAGAAGAAAGAATGCATCAATATTTTAAGCAAAATAAGTCCAAAAATATAATTTTTGACCAAAAACTTGATTATTTTTGCCCAATTTCTCAAAATTCTCGACGTTTGAATACTGAAATGTGTTCCTGGTGCATCAAGAGGTATTTCTAAGTCGTTTGCAGAAAAGTCAATTTTTGGCCAAATTTCGGTAAAAATGTAAGGCTAACCCCTTTTTTTTTTTCAATTTTGGCCAAAAAATAAAGTTGCTCAAAAATTACACGAAAGATGCCCAAGGTTCCCTTAAACATATTCCTACACATTTCCTGGACAAAAAGTGCCATTTAGAAGAAAGAATGCATCAATATTTTAAGCAAAATAAGTCAAAAAAAAAATTTTTGACCAAAAACTTGATTATTTTTGCCCAATTTCTCAAAATTCTCGACGTTTGAATACTGAAATGTGCTCCTGGTGCATCAACAGGTATTTCTGAGTCGTTTGCAGAAAAGTCAATTTTTGGCCAAATTTCGGTAAAAATGTAAGGCTAACCCCTTGGTTTTTTTTTCAATTTTGGCCAAAAAATAAAGTTGCTCAAAAATTACACAAAAGATGCCCAAGGTTCCCTTAAACACATTCCTACACATTTCCTGGACAAAAAGTGCCTTTTAGAAGAAAGAATGCATAAATATTTTAAGCAAAATAAGTCCAAAAAAATAATTTTTGACCAAAAACTTGATTATTTTTGCCCAATTTCTCAAAATTCTCAACGTTTGAATACTGAAAAGTGTTCCTGGTGCATCAAGAGGTATTTCTAAGTCGTTTGCAGAAAAGTCAATTTTTGGCCAAATTTCGGAAAAAATGTAAGGCTAACCCCTTGGGTTTTTTTTCAATTTTGGCCAAAAAATAAAGTTGCTCAAAAATTACACGAAAGATGCCCAAGGGTCCCTTAAACACATTCCTACACATTTCCTGGACAAAAAGTGCCATTTAGAAGAAAAAATGCATAAATATTTTAAGCAAAATAAGTCCAAAAAAATATTTTTTTACAAAAAACTTGATTATTTTTGCCCAATTTCTCAAAATTCTTGACGTTTGAATACTGAAATGTGCTCCTGGTGCATCAACAGGTATTTCTGAGTCGTTTGCAGAAAAGTCAATTTTTGGCCAAATTTCGGTAAAAATGTAAGGCTAACCCCCTTTTTTTTTATTTCAATTTTGGCCAAAAAATAAAGTTGCTCAAAAATCACACGAAAGATGCCCAAGGATCCCTTAAACACATTCCTACACATTTCCTGGACAAAAAGTGCCATTTAGAAGAAAGAATGCATCAATATTTTAAGCAAAATAAGTCCAAAAATATAATTTTTGACCAAAAACTTGATTATTTTTGCCCAATTTCTCAAAATTCTCGACGTTTGAATACTGAAATGTGTTCCTGGTGCATCAAGAGGTATTTCTAAGTCGTTTGCAGAAAAGTCAATTTTTGGCCAAATTTCGGTAAAAATGTAAGGCTAACCCCTTTTTTTTTTCAATTTTGGCCAAAAAATAAAGTTGCTCAAAAATTACACGAAAGATGCCCAAGGTTCCCTTAAACACATTCCTACACATTTCCTGGACAAAAAGTGCCATTTAGAAGAAAGAATGCATCAATATTTTAAGCAAAATAAGTCAAAAAAAATAATTTTTGACCAAAAACTTGATTATTTTTGCCCAATTTCTCAAAATTCTCGACGTTTGAATACTGAAATGTGCTCCTGGTGCATCAACAGGTATTTCTGAGTCGTTTGCAGAAAAGTCAATTTTTGGCCAAATTTCGGTAAAAATGTAAGGCTAACCCCTTGGTTTTTTTTTCAATTTTGGCCAAAAAATAAAGTTGCTCAAAAATTACACAAAAGATGCCCAAGGTTCCCTTAAACACATTCCTACACATTTCCTGGACAGAAAATTTATACAGTAATTATTCCATAATCACACATGGGTTGATTTTCAATCAATGCATCATTCAAAAACAAAAAAGAATAACTTTTTGCATCGCTAGAAAGGTAGTAGTTAAAAAACAAAACCATTTCCTATTGAGAAATAATTTGCTTAATTTAGTGATGTCAAAAAAGAAACAATAATCAACTGGTTAGCACAATTCAAAACGTACCATGACAATGGCATCTAGGTTCCATCTGAGAGTTTCGCCTTTTTGACAATATGGTACGTGGGTCTTAGCTGCTGTAGTCGTCTCTTCTTGGCTTCCTTCTTGTTCTGATGCTTCTTCTCTTTACGTTTTGCTGCTTGGACTGGATCAGCAACAGCCTGAACATGAGAGGGGGGGAGAACAAGACAATCAATGAATGAGGAAAACAGAGGAAAGGGGTAAAATCTGACTTAATCTTACGTCATGCAAGAGTGTTTTGGTAAGACATATGTGTCAACACACAGAACAATGAATACAACCAAACTGACCATCACAAATTTTCAACAGTGTTTCTGTGTAACAGCTTTGTCATTCACAAGTCTGATAGTTTTCTGCATCATTTAAAAGTTGAATTTAAATCACTTATTCAAAATTATTGCTGTGTTCTTTATTCTTCACAGTTCACAATTCACTTGGTTACAGTTTATTTGAATAGCTTGTGACTTGACTTGAGTCTGGATGACTTGTGATGACATGTGATGACATGTGATGAAATGTGATGACTTGTGATGACTAGTGATGACTTGTGATGACTTATGATAACTTGTGATGACATGATATGACTTATGGTGACTTTAATATCATCATATTAAAGTCCTCACAAGTCAAGAGTCCCTTAAACACGTTCCTACATGTTTCCTGGACAAAGAGTGCCAGTCCAAAGAAATAATGCATAAATTGATATGACTTGTGACTGACTCGATTACAGCTCCTAGGAAAAGTGACTCTAATTTACCTGTAGCGCCCTCTGTTGTTTGCGTTGGATTCTGGTCTGTGTGATGACCCTTTGGACGTCAGCATAAGCATGAGAGAATGTCTCCAATCCCACAAGGCCCTTGATGAGATCCAATGCTTCCTGACAAAGCTGACGAAGATCGTTGTCTGGTGGAGAAATCAAGACAAGAAAGTCAAGTCTGATTACTAAAAACAAATCAAGAAAAGCATCCAGAAAGCAACAATCGTACTTGTTCATTCACAATGAGAGTAATGTCAAGAAGTATCAGTTTCTATAACAGTCTCAGTGAATTGACACAAACTGTGCTATACCTGATATCAGAAACTACTTCTAAAAGATTTAATCAGTGGCTTTTAAAATTTCAATTCATAATTTACACAGATCTCACATTTTTTTTATGGTTCAACACCTTATCAAATTCAACAAAAATCCCTGAATGCATAGTGAATAATATAGTAAAATATTTTTAATGGTATAATTTTAATTTCCCCTTTAAAACATAGGAACTCAAAAGGCTGCTGAAGCTGCATTTCAAACTGTAAATGAATATTCAAATCCGACAAGGCAAACCATCTGATGTAATCGAACATTCAGAATGAAACCGTGCTAAAATTGACATTTGTCCAGCTTTTGTATTCACAAATCATGCTTCTTACTGTTTCTGTTTGACATTGTTCATTGTTTAAAATATTCCCTCAAAAAATAGTTCAGTAGAAGTGTTCACACAATAGATGTGTCTCACCTGCGTGTGACTTTTGATCGCCGATCTCCCGACACATCGGCTTCATCATTAGCTTCAGATAACTGGGCAATCTGTCTCCTCCTACATCCATTGCCATGGCAGCAAGCCACTTGACAACACAAGTCCGTCTCAGGGTCTGTTTGGGTGTCTTGGCTGCCTCTGAGGCAGCGATGCGACACATCCTCCTCAAGAACCAAGTCAAGTCAGCGGGGCTCTGAGTCCGACGTCCAAGTCCTTGTTTGTCCGTGGTGGTGGTATTCTGCTCTGCAGAGAGCTTGGGAGTCCTTTCATCATTTTCATCATCGTTTTCATCTTCACTGTCCGATCTCTCCTCCGTTTGGTAAATCTCAGTTTTATCCGGATACAAACGGAGGATGACTTTTCCAAGGAACACAAGATTTCTCACAACCTGAAATAAATTCAGTCATCAGAATAATTCAATTATCATAATATTATCAAAACACAAAACTGTCAGAAACTAACCAGGTATCTTGTTAATAAAAATGTGAAGACTCAAGAATCTACCTTCTTGGGCTGCAAACATTTCATGTTCTAATTAAAATTGACACGAATTGGATAAATGTCACATCAAAATCACAATGGTCCAAGACATATAGTCGAGTCAATCATAATTTAGGTTACATGTCAATCACAAGTGAGTTCACACATAAGACCAAAAGAACAATAAACCTAAATTACAATGCAAGTGCCCAAATTTGACTGAGAATTAGGCAGAAATATGCTCTCAAGTGCTTATGCTTGAAGTAGATAAATCCTAATGATTTCTTACCTGATCTCCAAGATCTTTGTTCAGCAAGGCCGACTGAAGCTGCTTGCAAAATGTAAAGACTAACTCCCTGACGATTTCCTGTCCATGGTTCAATGGATACTCCACCGCCTCCATTTTACCTGTGACTCCGCCCCTTTCTTTATCAGCCTTCCTCTTGCATTTTGTCTTCTTCCCCATCCGATTCTCATTGGCCGAGGTGTTGGTAGTCCAGGTACCAGACGCAGCTGTCAGCATGGTTCCGGCAATGATGTCTGGTTGTTTAGAAGCAAACAGGTCTCCAAAGAGCTGGGCCGAAACCAGACGCACCCAGGAGTGCGGATGGAGAAGATGAGATTGGATGGAATCTGAAGAAATCAGAAAGGATCCAATTATTTCAAAGTGAATGATGTTTTAGTTTATCCGGTGAAATGGCATTGGAGTTTTGACTAAAACCCTCTGCACTGGTTAGTAAAATACTGGGGTTTCAGTTTTAATGAAATAATCTTATGACTGCTTGTTATTCATTGAATTACATTTCTTTTCTTTTTCAACAGCTTTTGGAAGGGTGAAAATAAATATAAATGATAAAATTTATTCAGATTCAGACAACCTAGAAAAACTTTTCTGATTGTTTTTGCAGGTTCCACTAGCCAAGCTAACCAGTGCTGGCATTTGCTACTGCTTTATCTCACTCCAAACCTTACCCCAGATTGCATTCAGGGTGTTTGTGTACGCCTTGTTGCCGATGATTGAACAGTGTTTAATCATCTTGGCTAACGTTGATAGCAAGTTGAACAACATGTGATCTGTATGTCTCTCCTCCATAGATGTATCATCTGTCTCCATCGCAGACATGCCATCCTGAGCAAGGACAAAATCAAGAGAAATTCATCATCGTAACCATTTTGTTAGGGGGGGGGGGTAGGGAGGTTGACAGGAAACAGTGTGGGTCCAGAATTCTTGTAAGCGGGAACTCAACAATTTCAAGAAGTGTTTAACCCTTACTCTATTTCAGCCTCCAAAAAAAACAGTCACTTGTAGAGAATGCCCAAATGCACCTGTTTACTGGGTGAATTTTACTACATGGGTGAATAGCCACACTCCAAGCAATACCAAGGCAATCGTCTGCTAAGCCCATGCCTACCTTCAGCAACCCATCTGGTGTGATATGCTCCTGTATCTGAGGAAGTATGTCATCCAACCGTCGCTGGAAACCTGCCTCCTCGGCATCGACAAAGATGCCACAAAGCTGTGAGGCAAGACGCTGATGGGCTGGATTGTCGTCATGGAGCCAGTGGGTTGCCATGGTGAAGAGTTCATCTCTCTTCTCCACCCGTAGCTGGAAAAACAAACCGACAAAAACAAAACATAAAAAGTAGGCCAAGAATTATGATAGGCCAATGAAATAAATAATAATCTGTATTCAATTTCTTGTAAAGATTAAAAACCTGGCTATTTCTGACACAATTTGAGGGGAAAACTTTAGACCGGTTGCTCTGAAGTTAATTTCCATTCAACTGACAATTCTTTTGTAGGTTGAGGTAGCTTGCTCCAGTGGTAACTCTACTGTCTGAATGATGCCTTATCTAATGACTTCATGAGTGAAAAAATAAAAATTCTACACTGTATGGCATTCCAATTTTTATAATTTTTTTTGGACAAAATAAAAACATTATTTCTTTACCTTCTGTAGCAATGACTTGATGGCCAATGCAGTGATCTTGCGACATTTAGCTGATTCATCATTGACAAGTCTGGTTGCCATGGGAATAAAAAACATTCCAGCATATGTCTCCAATGTTTTCTGTATTTATTGCACAAAGAGAAAGTAGATGTTTCAATCAAACATGTTTTTTTTTTTTCATTATAAACTGTTTAATTAACAGTTTTAATACCAAAAAGCTGCAATTATAATGCACTGGTACTGCTCAGAGTATTACACTCGAAGGGCATCTACAAGAAACTTTAAGAATTATACTAATTTTCTACAAACATCAACAGATAATTTTAATTTGTTTAATGGAATTTAGGTATTACTACACCTGTGAATTATGGAAAGTAATTACTGTATAAAATGTAAACGTCTAATTACGATTAAATTTGCTCATTCCATAAATATTACCCCAAAAGGAGGATTTCTGACCTGTGGGAATGATGAGAAGATAGTGGCCAGCATCTCCAGCGAGGATTCACGGCCAGTCTCAAGGTCAAAGTTCAACTGTCTGACATAGAACTCTAGGTGGCGCTTCAGTTTGTTCCCAAGAGGGTAGTCCAGAAGGAAATTCAGTACAACCTGTGAAAGAAGAAACATGCAAGAAATATTGCTGGTTTGGTTATAACAAAAAAAAGTACAAAATCAAAACATCAGATTTTGCTTACTTTAAAACTTATATTTTTTTTAGGTCTTTAGAATTAGACAGTCATTTTCAAATATTTCTTATTTCTCATCAATTTATGTCCACACTCCTTATTTAAAAACAACGACTAGATAAATGTCCAATAAATAATTGCAACCACAAAGATATAACCGCCAGTCAATTTAAAAGTATAGTCAAAAGGTTCATTTGAAAAGCTTGTGATGGGACTGGATGACTTGTGAAGACTTATGACAGACTCAACTACAGCCTTGCCCCAAAACTGTAAACATTCAAAAATCTATCTTACAATTCTTGAAATCTTACTTATGGTTAGGGTGGAACATTCTTGGTACAAAGAAAAGCTTGAAATCCTACTTATGCTCAGTCTTTACTATACCTGTCTGCATTGTAATCTGACTGAAGGACTCTCTGATGTAATCGATAGCTGAGCAACCTTCTTCATCACATCGTGCATCTCGGGTACAATCAACTTCCTCGACAGAATAGCCTGATGAAAACAAAACAGAATTGATTTTCAGGTGAATAAAGCTACTAGACAGAAGTGTGATTTGAACCTGCAACCTTTAAAAACTGCACAGGTGTTTGACAGACTGAGCTATCAAGCCCTCAGTTTGCATTCTCTCAGGTGAGGAAAGTACCGCTATGGCAGTCTTAATGCCTCAGCATCATAGTAGGTGAGGCTGTGATCTCATTTTAAGAGAAGGATATTCTTGGACCATGCTCCTTTTTGTGAGTGCATAAGACCTTCTTCATGCCAAGAATAGAAAGCCAGGTGTTAACCATTTACCTTGAGTAGACCAAATGCCGTGGCTTGTCTGGTGTGATCATGCATGTCTTCCTCTGCATAGGTCAGTAGAACCTGTAGTTGTTTCTCATCGATCATGTGTTGCTTCACATCACGGACTAGCACTGTGACAGCCTACAAACAATCACAAGTCAATCACAAGTCAGTCACAAGTCAGTCACAAATAGAACACAAGTCAATCACAAGTCAATTGCAAGTGTATCACAAGTAAAGCACATGTCAAATACAGTACACGTAAATCACTAGTCAACCATGAGTCAAGCACGGATGAATTTCAAGTCAAGCACAAGCCAATCACATAGCAATTAAAATTTTAACACAAGTTTATCACAAGTCAATCACAAGATGATTATCTTATGATTGACTTGTGATAGAAGTAAAAAACAAGTCAATCACACATGTCAATCACAAGTCAAGCAGTCTTAAGTCAAGTCACAAGCTTTTCCAATAATTTGCAACATCAGGCATTCCTTTCTCACTGTTAATCCCCTAAACTTGAGACAAGACTTGTGAGAGACTCAACTACAACTCTAAATTCAATTTATATTTATTCCATTCATTCTGCTAGAATAACATGGCTTTATAATTAATTTCCGATTTGAGGTTTTAAATGAACGATATCAAAAACATATGTTTCGTTCATCTGACCTTGAAACAGCTGACGACGATGTCAAAGTTAGCTCCTTTTGCTGCTCCCGCCATCGCGTGGGTGTGCAGGATTTTGAAGAGTATCTTCGTCAATCTGAATGCACTTTTGCTGATGGAGGGCAGAGGGTATCGTAGCATCCATGTGATGCAACGGAGGGCCACTACTGTCACCTAGACAAAGGATGCCATGGATGTCAAAAGAATGAAAAAAGATGAGTTCTGAGGCTCAGATGTGTTCTACCTTTAAAATATGAGAACAAGCAGACAATTGTATGCTGTCTTCTATGAAACTGTTGGACATTTTTACACGTCCATAAAAAATATTTCACATATCGGCAATGAGAAACGGTTGTTGAAGGCATCGTTTGGTCTAGAGAAGCAAGTATGGAGATTTGAGTATGCAATTACTATCGTATCGATTCTCTAGTTGGAGAGCTAATTGCAGAAGAACCAGGGTTAAATGAAAAGAACTGGGTTCTAAATGAAGATCTGAGATGAGCAGGATTTAACTGACCTTGGTATATTTGGAAGTGAGTGAGTCCATGAGGATGGGAATAAATGGATCCAACATCTGAAGGTGTTGCTGGTTAGATGGAGACAGCTTGGATCGCTTCAGATTCATGTGCAACAACTGAAGTCAAATGCAAAAAGAACAAGTTACTTGCTATCAATAATTGTTTTCAAAGAAGGACCAAACACTACACGTGCAAAATAACTTATCTGAACCACCAGTAACACACAGTTGAAAATCATACATTATATCAGAAGTGAAAATAATGAACTAATGTTAGCAAACCAGTTTATTCCTAATCACACATTTTTAACCTGATTTTCCAATCGACTGTGAATACAAACATGATTTTATAAACGCTGCAAGGATTTTTTAGTACAAAATGAAATGAATACACATTTCTGTTCCAGTGCTAGCTTAAATTTACTTCATCATAAGCCAATAAAAATTGTTATGAAGTTTTTGGAGGTGGGTAGTCTTACCTGCAATCCAAACTCAACAATGAGGTGCATGTTGGTCTTTTTGCTGACTTTGGGTGCGACTCCGCCCTTCTTAGGGGTTGGTGGGAGGAGATAACAGCTTTCTGGGCCAGCCTGGGGGTCCGGTGGTTTGGTCTTGGCCTTGTCACTGTCAAATGCAAAAACAATTCAAGAAAATCGTTACAAACCAACATATATTTTGTGACGTAAATGAGTATGAACAATTCTTCATAAAGTGATTCTCATTCTTGGGACGCTTGATTGGGACAAAGGGAAATGTTCCTTAGAATGTAGGATTAAATTTTTGGACTCCAAAAAAAGGTAACAAAGTAAATATTACAAAAAAGGCATTCAATGTTCAATTATATAAGGTGTTTATTTAGAATTAATGTTTACTTCATTAACAGTGATGAGCAGAGGTTTGTGTCATGTTCTGGCAACAATCAACGGTTCATACCTGTCACTGGGGTTGAGGAATGGAATGGTCTCCGTTGCCAGTCCGTGAATATAGATCAACATAGCATCCACAGTAATGCCTGGATTGGCTATCAGGCCCATAGTCACATGCTTCAGGACATCCGTAGCCTTACGCACAACCTTGTGCTTGTGGCTTACTTCAAGAATCTGTAACAGGTTTTTGAGATTAGTTTGGAAACTTATTAAACAATTCTGTCCAACCTAAACCTTTTTTTTACAAAGTCCCAAACGTTTCCCAAAATTTGCAGCTAAACAGTTGCAAACGTTGCAAATGGTCGCCTTCTTTTGTGCATAGCCATTGGGTTACTGTTGGCAACATTTGCATTGCTTGCGTGAGTGGGACGCACCCCTGATTTGAGGGAATTCAGTCAATAGATACAGGTTGGCACAAGAGTTACATCCCAAACAAATTATTCTTAAAAAGCAACAGTACAACACATAATTAAAGAACGCCAATCATTATGACAAAAGAATGAAAATCAAAACCACTACCATTTGGAACTAAGGCGAAATAGTTCTTTGAACAGTTTTCTTGAATCCAGTTTAGCCATTGTAAAATCTTAATCCACATATTACACGGCAAACTACAGAAATAAACGATTAATGGAGAAAAATGAAAATCAAAGTAAAACCAACCTCTTTGAGTGGGATTAAAAGCTGTGTCAGTGAACTCTGACCTATGACCTTAGCTATCATCTCATAGGAGTCATATCCCTTGATGCTGCGAGCCTCTACCAGTTTACCCACAATGCCTTCTACTTCCTTCTCATCAGCTACTTCGCCAAATAGCTCCTTGTTGATCACCTACAAAAGTACACAAGTGCAACACGGTAGAAAATCAGCAAACAAGAACTTCTTTGGTTATGAAACACATGATATTGTCGGTTGCTGTTGCTGCTCCAGCCACTATTTTGGAGTTGACGCTATTTCTCTTTTTGCTGCTGCTGTTGTTGCTGCTGCTACTGAAGCTGCTGTGTTTCTAGTATAAGGTGAAAGTATTATCCCCTTACCTCAATCATTGAGTGAATGCTGGTGTCAAGATCTCCTGGTTTGAGTGTTGGTAAGGCGCTGTGTAGGAGAGCGTGTAGGGTGAAACTCAGAACGTGGAGCTAGAGCAGAGAACGGATAAATATGACACAGTGATTATCACATCAATCAAATAGTTCTAAATATTAATATTACATATGTTTGAGCAGTTGGGTTTCTCGAATCTAATTCTGCCATTTTTTTAAATGTGAATTAAAACACCATATGACAAACTTCAGAAATAAGTTATTGTTTGGGGCAATGAAAAATATAAAAAAAAACAGTCAATTTCTTTTGTTCGACTTTCTAATTAAATGCATGTGTGATTAGTGATTTCTAAAAACAAACATTACGTATGTTTGGACAGTTGGGTTTGGTCAGTGGTACTTTCTCTAATGGTTAATTTCGGCTGTAGAACACACCATGCGGAATACTTCTCAGTCACTATTCATTCAAATACATTTTTTTTAATAAATACTATCAGCATCACCTCCCAAAAACTGAAACTCCACTGTTACCTATTTAAAGCCTCCTTGGCCAGACTAAAGTACATGAAAACATGAAATTCATGGCCATGATTTTTCAGAAACAAATTCCAAGACTGACCTGATATCCCCTTGTCAAGGCATGACACAGCTCCTTCAGGATAAAAGGGAAGTATTTCACCCCCAGTGATGCAAGGATCTTCACCAGAGTGTCTCTGCTAACATCTCTGACGTCTTTAGCTCGACTCTTCAGCATCTGACACACCTTGACTAGGACTCCAGGCAGGCTACGGTGCAGAGTTTTCTTGGGTAAGGCTTGTAGGAGTTTGACCATAGCTAAGGCGATGGGAACACGGAGGATTTCTTCATCATCAGCGATGCTGTAGCGAGCTTTCTTGTGGTGTTCTTCGCTCTTAACCTAAAATTGTAAATTCAAATTGTGTTTAGATAAAGCTTCGATATATTTCGGCCCAAACAATATGGCCGTCATATAAAATTGTATCTTGTCAAATAACTGATTGTTTTTCATCCATTTTTTTGGTCAAACATTTTCCATCTACCTTGTTCGTGAGTGTCTTGTGTAGCTTTGGTAGGATGCTGGCAACAATGATGCGATGGATCTTGGTTGCCAAGGCAACATTATTCTTGAGTTTGTCTGCATCTTCATGTGAATCCAGCTCTGCTGTGTCTTCATTTTCTTCATCATCACCTTCATCGTCGTCCTCATCTACATCTTTCTCATTGACGACTTCTTTATTTTCACCTTCATTGTTACTTTTTGCATCAGTTGATTTATCATTGTCACCTCCACGATCTGGTATGGGAGCAGACAAATAATATTCATAACTGAAGACCTTTATGGCTAAGCAGCTAAGCACAGAAAACAGTTGCTTACAAAAACGGGTTACCAGCCACAATTCCGTGTGGTGATTACTGCTTGGCACTGGTTCCCAGCTCATTTTTGCTTAGAATAAAGGTTTGCACAGCAATCATTTCTGCTTATCTCTCCATGAAATTAGGAACAATTAAATGGTACTCAGAAATAAATACCAATTTGCTGGGGGGTCTTCTGAGCAATTTACAAATAGAAGAAGTATGACTTAACAATTTAATTCTTGTTTTACTATTAACACAAAAAGCCCTACCTTCAGATGAATCTTGACTAGGTTTGGCAGACGTTTTGCCAACCTGTACGGACTCTACTCCTTCAGAGAGCGATAGATCAAAATGAAATCCATCCAAGACAGCAACAACTAACCTAAAACAAATCAAAACGAGAAAAAGATAACAATTACATTTAAAGTAAAATATGTAAGTTTAGTAACTATACGAAGGTCACAATGCCGGTATGGCTTCAAGGATTGAACCAGTGCTGTTGTTGAGTCCACCAGTCTTGGAAGTTATTTAAGTGAACAGTGACAAAGGCATTCCTGTCTTGCTGTGAATCCCTTGTGACGTTTGACCAGACTTGTGAATGGACTTGTAATGGACTTACAACATTGGATTGCACATGCAACAAATTTGAATCCAAATTTGGTTCACAGCATTGACAAGGGGAAAAAAACATGATTATTCATTAGGTGTCTTTTGTTACCTCACAGCCGTTTTCTGTTGATCTATGCTTCGCATGACAAGCCGCAAGTACTGCTGTAGTATCAGGTAGTACCATCGCCATGGTAACTGCCCAGCAACGGCTCCCACAGCACCAATGGCCTCAATGACAAGGTTGGGGTTCTTGGCAGCTATCGTCTGGTCAAAGATGAGAGCTGTTGCCATGGGTAACAGGAACTGATAGAGGGCGCTGTAGGTGAGATCACCCTGTCTGGCATGGAGTGCTAGACGACGGAGGGCTCGCATCCTTCGATGATGCTGCAATCAATCAAATAAAACAAAGTACTGATCATAGATTTCAGGAGCAGTTCTAGACATTTTATAAAATTGAAGTCACAACTTTTTTAGCTTCTTGTTTGAAAGACCTCAGAAATGTTCAAGGAAAATATCTCAGAATCAGTTTACGTAACATTTTTTACTGTATTGGGGTGAACAAAATTTGCAAAGATGAATTGAGCATAAAGATCAACATGAGCTGTAGATATGTTTGCAATCGAAAAACAGATTTTAAACACAACAGTTTTTAACTGTAAACTTCAAGGTTTTGAGAGTACCTGTATGTGTCTGATGTTCTCAAAGAAATCTTTTTCTATGTCCGTATCCTGCAGGATTCTCATACATTGGAACTGAGGATGATCTGGGAACAGCTGGACAATGTCTGAGAGAAGACAAATCATCTCATGTCTGGCGTTCTGTCAGGAAATCACAAATTGGTTTCAAATCAGTAAAAATATCTGACAAATAGTAAATTGCTTGCTGATTACTGATTTGGGAGTCAAGTCCTCATGGGTCAAATCACAAGTCAATCACATGTCAAATTACAAGCACATATCACACCAAATCACAAGTCAGTCATAAGTCAAATCACAAATCTGTCACAATTCAAATCACAAGTCAAATTACAAGTCCATCATAAGTCAAAGTGTAGGTCCGTCAAAATTCAAATAAAAATGCGACCACATGTAAGCTGAAAAGAAACACTGGATTGACAAAGCAGTGCCTCTGTTACAATTCATTAGCTTGAGATCAACTGACTGTTGACTAACAAAGACTTCATATCTCATTTTATATTTTGCGGGCTGAAAATAAAAACGAATATCTAATGTCAGACAAACTCCAAGATACATTACCTCTGACTTTAATCTCAATGCATCCCTGATTGCTGGAGCATATTTGTGGATGACAATGCCATTGAAATGTTCAGTGTTTAGTTCCTCGGATGATAACTTCTGTAGAAGTGCCTTCAGGAAATGGGCCGAGTTATCTCGCATGGACATGTCTTCAATCTAAAAACAAAAAGGAATTGATAAAATTGTTAAAAAACTTATATCTAAAGACTGCAAGATGATTACCGGACATAACAATAATACTCTGGAAAATTTAGTAAGACCGTCAATTTAAACTATTTACCATTACTCTTTGTATTTCTTGTAATGCATCTCGAAATGCACACCTTACTTAAAAAGAATTCAAAAATAAACTATAAGTTTTACTTGACAATGGAACATTGTACCTACCAATAGATTATTGAGCACAAATCTATGAATGATTGAATACTTAAAATTAAACCTAAAAGTCTACATGTAGCTTTGCTTCTTTAAATATCATCTGTAAGAATTTGTGTGTGATGAGAGTAAAACAGAGTTATAAAAGTGTAAACCAAAATGTTACACATATTACAATTTCTTTAGTCATTTAATAAGAAAACAGTTTACCTTCATGATCATGTAGAAGCAGTTGTATATAATTGGAGTCACAAATGCTATGTCAACCGTTGCCATAGCAGCAAGTCTCTCATTGGCTAATTTGAATCCAGCCAGCCTATAGGCATAATCTGGCTCATCAATGTGTTTCCGATCCCAAGAATTCAACTGTTTCATGAGACGAGCGAGGTCCCCAAGGTCCGGGTTGCTCTGTGCCATCGCTGCGAAGACCTCACAGAGAACAGCTCGAGACTGCCGGAACGTCAGACGATAGAACAGTGCTGACAAGGTTCTGAGATTTGTAATGTCAAAAAGCGCATTCAGTCAACTTTGTTTGGTAAAACAAGGGCGGTTCAAAACTCTGTAAGAACATAGTTGTATATTAACTTAAGTGAGGTATCGCACAGATTTTCTCAAGCAACTACAGGGGGAAAAATGTGAAATGCATTGCATGTACATAATACATATGCATTACAGTTGACAAATTTGATATGCTTATAAATATACAAAATATTGGACCTTTTAACACATTTCATCAATATGAAGGTAAACATCTGCCTTAATGACTTGACTTAACAAACCTGGAAACCCAGAACTTACCCCAAGAAGTCCGCAGGATTCTCACATAACTTGATCACATTTCTGACTGTATGTAGAATGTCCAGCTCAGTAGTCTGGCAAAACAAAGGAAACAACTTCAATCAAATTCAGGCTTATTTTTATCAAGAGAAACATATGCTTTTAGTTCTACTTCCAAAATTTGGATCCTAAATTAAACAAGAAGGATTGCCTATGAAATTTCCAGTAAAAACAAGGGAAAAATGAACATGTTTGAGTTGCAAATTTACCTCATGTTTTTCATTTGTTCTCCTCAAGAAGGGTAGAAGTAGACTAACCAACACTGCACTCTGCTCAGGATCACTGATGTACAAGCTTATCCTGTCAACAACAAAAAAATGACAAAACTTGTCAAATATGTCTAGACCCCAGCTGAAATTGGGTCAAAGGGTTGAAGTGTGATAAAGCCTGACAACATGGTTACACCCTTCTCTTGGCTAGTAGATATCTCTGCCAGTTAATAAAAGGAATATTCCCCATCATCAACATTGAATAATAGTCAAACAGTAACATATTCATATATTCATACTATCATGAATGCATATATTCATATATTCAGAATACGATATGAATACTGACTTGGATAGTATGTTGAGGTCTTTCATGGGTAGACTTCTTCTGTCTTCTTTCGTCTGAGTGCAGCGACTGACTGATGAGCTGAGATATTGCAGAACAGCAGGTACATACGGGAAGAGTAGCTTAGTTCCATAGCTGGGTGGCTCTGGAAAGATATATAATAAAGTTGGAACTTAGTTAAACCATCTATTCTCTTTTGTTGGACAAGTCTTGTCAAGGAATCCTCGTGGTATGGGTTCAAAACACCATTTTTACCCGATTTTTTTACTTTTCTAATCTGAGGCTTTGGAGGATTTTTTATTTAAAGGGAAATAAAGACCGAATTTCATTTTGTTCAAATTCATTTTTTTGCTAATTTTATATTTTTCCTCATGTTTTTCAGAGAAGAAAAGTCCAATATGTCATAACGTATACCCCATGCGAATGTCGTTTAGGAAAAAAAAATTGCCGGTCCAAGAGGTTGCATGATTACAATGTGACCGAATGCATTCTATTGGAGTCACATTGACAAATTGAATGATGTAAAAATATGTCAGATCTATCACACGTACCTGTAAACTCTCTGTCTTCAATCTTGACATCAATAAGGTCATTGACCTGGAGGTCGTCATCGACGTCTTGTCCATCCTCAATCCCAGAATCCTCCTTCATAAGAAGTTGCTCTACAATCTCCATCACCATGGCAACCACGGAGGCGGAGACGGTTGATGCAGACAGGAGAGCAGTGACGCTTGGAAGGATGGTGCAACTTGGCCTGGTGGGGTGATGCTTGGCCAAAAGAGAATGGAATCTGAAAGAAAATCAAAATCACACAAAGTTTTTAATTCATTTCAGATCATCTGAACCAAAGATTTTACAGGTATTACACAAAACCAATATCACAAGTAAACAAAAACAAAAAGTAACAGAATTTATTTGTTGACAAATCAATTTCCTACCTGGGATTTTTACTCCAGACCAGGATTAGCTTCAGTAACGGGGTGGGACTCGCAAGGCACTCATTGGCTAAGCTGTCAATCTGAGGCCACACCGCTGCCTCAAAGATACAGTCAATCTCATTGGCTGAGAATGGGTGCTGCTCAAAGATCCCAAAGAATTCAACCAATCGCAGGAGGGCTAGCTGACGCAGTTTCTTCAGTTGGCCAATGGCATAGGTTTGGATCTGCAAGGATTGAACACAAAGTTAACTTTTGTGTCCTTTCACCAAAATTAAATTTTCAATGAATACAACTGCTTAATATCAACTGAACAGGAATTTTAATGCCTCTGTGACATTAGAGAACATAAAAGCTTTTTCTAATATAAAGTTTGAAAATGTACAACCACAAAATTGCAAGAGTACAAGAAAATGAGCTTTACTCGGCAGAAAACAAAACAATTCTCAGAAATACAAGTCAAAAACAAATTATACGACGAGAGACTTTGGGAGATAACCTGTTTTGTGAGGTAAAAATTAATAATGTAACAAGCAGTAACAAAAACCAATAAAACTTCAAGGCATCTTTGTGCTTAATCTTGGCCAACATGAGGCTTTTCTGTTGCTGCCTTTTAGTTTAATATTTTTATGTCAAATTTTTTTAAATTTTTTTTAACACACCTGATTTCTCTGGTCTAGTAACTGTGCGTAGCTGGCAAGCACAGTTATAACTAGATGAAGAATCTTGGAAGCAAATGGTTCGATCCGATGACCCAACTTACTGAAGATTACTCCGATGGTGTCCAATATACTACAAGATAGGACAAACAGAAATAGGATTGTGACACAGAAACAGCTGTTACCAATTAATTACTGACTGTATTGACCTGAAACATGCCAATCGTCAAAGAAAGAGGGCCTTACATTTCAATAATCCTAATAATAAGATCTTTCACTAGGATACAAACGTCAGGTACTTTGATTTCTGCAAAAGAAATGTGTTCAATATTTTCTTCAACTACTTTCATGTCAACTACAAAACTTGAGAATTAGAACAAACTTGGAAATACGTACAATTTAAAAAAACAAACCAGTTTTTCCAGCCTCTGCTTACCTTTGTTGTTTCTTCAGAGGAATGACAGCGGATGGGTGCAAGGAATCAAGAAAATCAGTCATCATCAAATGACAGTCACCTACAGACAGAAAAAACAGACAATAAATTAAAGTAAATTTGAAAAATATCAACTCATGCTTTAGAACAGTGTTTTGGTTATTTTTGAACTACAGGTTTCACATTGCTGCTGCCATCACTGAGTTGGCCCATGAGTGAAAGTGATTACGTGCCCCAGATTGATAAACAGGGTAAAAAAATCTGCAAGTTGTATAAGATGAAAGCTACGCAAGTCGCTTTGAAACAAAACAAGCACAGGAACCATCAAACACACCAGGCCCTTGATTGATACCTTTCAGGATGAGTTGGCATGGCTCCAAGACTAGATCCAGAAACACACTCATCTCACTGGAGGAAGAACCAGCAATGAAACGTAGAATGGTAGCACGACGAACAGCGCCCCCACTCTTCCCTTGGGTGCCAGGTCCTGTCTTGCTCATCATTTTACCATAGAGAATCCTGCAAAGATAAAAGTTATGAGTTTCAACAAAGAATGATTTAAGCATCTTATACTTAATTGACCAGAGCATCCCAGAAAAAGACTAAAAAAAATGGGGGGGGGGGTGCAATTTAAATACAACATTTCCAACTTCTGGATCTCACCTCAGAAGAATTGGTAACAGCCCCTCCCTGTGATTGTCTGCCACTACACCCGTCGTTTCATCGATGCTGAACTGGACGAGTGTCTCGCGGAATTTCTTATCCTCCATGAGTGCTTCTAGACTGTCGCGGTAGGGAGTCAGGTAGGGATGGTTGTAGGTCATCAGGCAGGATAAGACTACCTTCTGGATGTCCGGGAAATTACTTGACAGCAACTGGAGATAATGGCCAAAAAAAAGGATTATAAATTATCCTTTCATTTTAATTTAATGTGACTTCACATACATGTGTTAGCAGTAGAAGTTGCAAAAAAATTATGATAATTCAAAATAGTTGTTAAGGTGATGAATTTTAAAGTGATATAACTTACATCAAAATAGAGCTTTCGTAGCTGTGGCTCCTTATACATTGACTTGGGATCCTTGAATTTGCTGAAGAGCTGAAGATAGGCTACCAATGCTCTGAAAAAAAACAATGAAGTAAAATATATCTGTTTTAAAAAGTAAAGGTTTTCACAGAAGGTTTGAAGTAACATGTAAGTATTACTGTTACATCTCAAAGTGTGGTCACTAAAAGGAAAAGCGAAAAAAGACTCATCTTTATTGACTTCATCTCCCAAGGACAAAATTCTCTTCAGGATTTTTACCTGTACACAGAGCCTTTTCCTATCTTCTTTCTCCCTCTCTTTAGACTTCGTCTTGGAGTTTCATCAACATCCTCCGTCTGATGTAAGCTCATGTCAAGTCCAGTCTTTGTTCTGATGTCTTGAGTTGGAGCATTGTTGACATTGGATGGGTGATACTCATTTCTAAGTTGAAGATGATTATCAACAAAATTGTTTTATTCACTTAACAGAAATTGGGATGGCAAATCAAACAAGGAAAGAGAAAATGATGTACTTTATACAGTAACTATTGTAACTCAATGTTAAAGGTTTCACAAGATATGGAACAAAGCATATGCACAATTTGGTATGCGGTCAGCAAAAGAAGAAATTGTAGGCTGCACACAACTTCTTACGCTGTTTTCAGTTTTCAAGGAGTAAACATGAAGATTAAACCTACTCCATTACTGTTCAACTGTGTATTAGGATTCTCATTTCATATTATCTGAAACACAACCAGAGTAACATTGCAAAGTCAGGCAAAAGATTTGTCTAAAAAAAAGCATCTTACTCAATAAATCTGAAGACAAGTGGTACGAGATCCCTTGACCTGCCCTCAGCACGCTCAGCAAACTGAGCCATTGCTTTCCACATCAACTGACGTACATTCCAATGGTCTTGTCGATCTGCATCTGCAACACTCTCTGCTTGAACCCTACTGAATAATGCTGAGAGATCGTCAGAGTTTGGGCTTAGAACTTCCATGGAATCATTCAGATTGAGGTTTGTTGTCGTTTCTCTGTAAGATGACTCAAGCAATGTTGCCATCTTCTGTAGGTGATCCGTGTAGACAGACCAGAAGCATTTCTTGTCCATGCCATACGCGTGGGTTCTGAATTAATCAAATGTTGAACACAAAATTTAGCCACTATTCTACTTTCAGACCTAAAAAAAATATGAGGGGTTTGTTTAAGAAAATAAATTACTCACTTTATCATTTCCATGATGGGTTGCCATAGCAATTGGAAGTTTATGTAGAGCGATCCAATGAGATACCTCAAGGCAACCTGACAAAAAAAGAGACAAACACCTGATTAAAAATGACAGAATTCAACGCATATTGCCATCAATGTTGTGAATCCCACCATAAATTGATGATGATTAAACTATCCAAAATCTGTCGTTTATGAGGAGCACCTGGTTATTGTAGTCAGCAGTTCGCTGTTGTCTACTGTATACTCTCCTCATCTGCCAATTGTGGCCAACAAAGCACAGCTGTGTCATGAACACCTGTCAATTGGGGGATCACCTGTTTACCATTGCCACCTGTCCAATGTGGCCACCTGTCCAATGTGGCCACCTGTCCAATGTGGCCACCTGTCCAATGTGGCCACCTGTCCAATGTGGCCACCTGTCCAATGTGGCCACCTGTCCAATGTGGCCACCTGTCCAATGTGGCCACCTGTCCAATGTGGCCACCTGTCCAATGTGACCACCTGTCCAATGTGGACACCTGCCGGTGTTTACTTCAACACTGTTCCTATTATAACGCACCTCTTTATACTCTCCCAGTGGTACGTTTGGCTGCACGGCATCATAACTCAATCTCTGCAGTAGCTTCTGCTTTTCCCTGTAATCTTCAATAGTCGCTGGGACAAGCTCTGCATCCAAACACAGCTTGAAGACGCAAACTTGACGAGTATGCTAAGATTGAAAAGGAGGGATTTAAAAACGTGAAAATCAATATTATTTTGATAGAAGGTTGAAGACAGAATTGAATGGAGTGGGATTCGAACCAGTGATCTGGAACACAGTACCGATGCTCTATCAACTGAGTTTTCTAGGTCTAAGTTGTAAATGACGTTGTTCATGCAGTACTTTTCTGAAGTCGATTTCCCTTTACAATGTTTTTAAGAGATACCAAAGAAATTCAGTTTCATTGTTGTTTTTTAAATAGCAGAATTGTTTTCTAATATTTCTACTCACCAGGTCTGGTATGGTAGGGAGTTTGACTGGGAACTGGGATAATATCCGTAGGGTCAACGTCCGAACCTACCAAGAAAATAATGAAAAAGATAAAAAAGCAAAGTTCTTAAAAGAACTCAGTCAGAGAAATGTACTAAGTTTTGTGGAATCTGTTCAAATATTTGATCGAACCTTCTTGTGTGGAGAGGACAGATTGGGCTGTAGAGCTGGGAGAATGAGCTTCAGTTTATCTGCAGCGAGAAAGCTGCCATCCTGGTCTCTGAGTAGCTGGGTAATGTACAGATCTCCTATCAGAAGGGCATGTACACATGTGGGGTTGGTTCTGTGAGAAAAAAAATGTCAAATAGTCAAAAATAATTTTCACTCTTTTTAGTTTATTTTCTTTCAAACTACTTGGCAGCACAACACACCTCAGTTGTGGTAAATTTGCTATCTTTGACAATTTACAGACTAACAATGATAAGTACTAAAAGTAAACAATCATTTGCGACTTCCATACCAAAACCAGCAAACAAAACCCAATCTCTTGCTATAAAGTGTCTGATGTAAGCACGGGGTACCACATTTTATAAATGGTGGGTCATCCTGCGACCTAGCATTTCTCTCTTAACAAAACAAAGACAATAAGTACCTCAGAATATTCCACACAAAGTCTTCCTGTACTAAGGACTGCATGGGTTGCCCCTGGCCACACTGTAGCAATGAGCACACGGCCACCGACAGCAGATACAGAAGCATGTCTGAACAAATAAACACAAACAAAATGAGAACATCAGTTTTCTGGTTTTAGGACACTCGGAAAAAAACCCGGAGAGTTGAAAGAGACATGAACCAGAGGCCATTGTCAAAAATTTTCATAACATTTGATCTATTAATCAAGTTGTAAATTTATGAATTCCTAAGGCATTAAAAATGCTGAAGTCACATACCTTTGACTGTCTCATCTTTCTGATTTTCAGCAACATCCCCCAATGTCGTTATGAGACTCTTGAGTTTGGGAACAACTCTCGCCTTGTCAAGAGGTCTGTCAAAAGAGGAAGGAAAAAACACACTCTGTAAGTGGTTAATTATTACATAATTATACCTGCGCACTACTAGCAACATGGGTTTGCATGAAGACAGCCAAACAATGATTCTTGCAAAAAGTTGCTCCTACATGTAATTCTCGTTTTAGAAATCTCAGGTGAATTACAACAATCTTCAGAATAAAACCTTGTCTTACCTGGTGCTAGGCAAACACACGAGGGCAGCCCACAACACTGATACTACGTTGTCTTGTCTCAGTAACTCGGGACTGAATTCAAGGAGGGACAGGAGATATTCTGGGAAGTTGTCCGCTCGTTTCTTGTTCTTCTTGCTCTTGGATTGGCTATTTAACAAATAAGATATTATCAATTCTTCAATGTTGTTCAACTTCGAGAATCTATCCTTTCAACAGTTGTCATGTCTGACAACAACTCAATCTAATGTATAACATTTAACAACTCAGTTCTTACCTTTTATAAACATCAAAACTGAAGTCCATGAGGTATGGCTCATGACTTTCCAGAACTGATCCATCTGTTGTTGAGGACTGCTTATGGAGCACCAGACTACACAGTGTGTGTAGGATGTCATGGTTTGATGAGGTAGACTTGCCGCCAATCCCAGTATGGCAAAAATGCAGCAAAGGGTGCAATATATCCTAAGTAATATGGTAAGAAACAGTAAGCATGCATTATCAGCAGTTGAAATCGTCAAGTTGATGTGGAAAAGCTTAAATGAGACTGGTTGAAACTAAGGTCAGTTGGAGGAAAACCTACTGATTTCCGACACAAAATGTTGACAGATCTATGATGCAGGCAAACTGAACAAACAAAAAGAAACTGATGGGACAAACCTTTTCAAATGAGCGCATGGAGAAAAGTTGCAGGCTGAATCCCAAAACCTGTAGCTGTGAGTAGTGGCTGCTGAACACCTACAAAGACAAAAATTGAAAGGAGAAATCAAATCTTAAGATAATGTTAGCCCTGATCCATGGACTTACTGCCTTTTTCTGATTCCTTGCCATTAAATTTGTGGCTACAGGTGAGTGCAGTATTGGAGCAATTTAATACTCACTGATCTGACAAGATGGGTAATGACATCATTGCGTATGTCACACTGGCTTGCATTGAGTAGAGCTGCTGTTAGATCTAACAAAGTGTCACCACACTGGCCGGGTAGTATGCTGCCCTCTAGCAACGTCAAAAGGACCTGAAATTGGGCGGCGAGGAAATAAGAAATAAATCTAAAAGTTTAGAAGAAGCCAATTGGGAAATATGCTTCTGCACCCCGCTAAATCACATGATTTCAAAAGATGATAGGGTAAACATTGCCAAATTCAAAGTTTAAAGTCTATTCTCATATTTGTTTGTTTAATGCAAACTGTATTCACGTATTTCCACACTAAAACTTTGTTCTTTTATGAAGAATGACCTTCTATTATTGCAGCAGCCATTCTGTGCATGCTTATGATAACATTAAACTCTCGAGATTATAATAATAATAATAATAATATCAAAAATGTGTACTTATAAAGCGCATGTAACTACCATTATTGGTGCTCAAGGCGCTACATCATTAGTACCCTGCTCATTGGGCCAATGAAACATTCCTAAGACAATCTCAGCTCCCTAGGGAGTATACAGCTCGATGCTCCCATTTCAGCACAAAGCAGCTAAAGTCAATCAAAACAACCATCTCTGCCCTCACAGGTACCCATTTACTCCTGGGCGGGGAGAACCAATGAGTGACAAAGTGTCTTGCCCAAGGGCGCACACGCCAGTAACCCCAGATTGGACTTGAATCCACAACCTGTAGAATTACCCGCAGATCACAAATGCAATGCTCCAGAGAGTGACCCAAGCGAACACAGCCAATAACAAAAGAAGTTGGTGAACAGCGCAACAGAGGTAACTTACTTCTGCATATGTGTCTGGTTGTTTGATCAGATATCCGCTGTGATGTCCTATCCACTGAGTGGTTAGTGCTAGTAATCTGTCGAGTTGATCAGCGATTTGTACTTTCCGGTCAGTGTCTGCCTCAGCAGTGAAGAGTTTGTGCATTGCACTCACACAACTCTGTGGAAAAAGAGAAATACTTAATTTATAATGCGACAATGGTGTCTTTAAAAATGACGTTATTTCTTATGTACCTTATTTTTCGCAAACATCTGATTTAAAAAAAAAATCTGTACTTGACAAGAACATATTCTGTTCATAACTTTTATAGAGAAACTGGTAAGACAAGTTTTTTTTTAAAAGTCACTCATTTGGAATGAGTTACCAAAGACAAAGATGGACTGCATTCATGGCATATGATATGATATTCTGTTTTGAAAATAAATCAACTTGGACGGCTAAAATGTTACACTTTCAGGAATCTATCATTTTTGGAAACGGAAGCTGGAGGTATTTATGGAAATTCTAACTTTTCAGAATCTGGGGAGCAATTTTAATCATTGGAATTACTTGTTTTGGAGGAAAGGTAAATTTTCTCGAAATTATTCTTGAAATATATGTATTACCTTCAGCACACTGCCTATGACACCGGCGTGTTCAGGAGACGTCCATTCAGCCATAAATTCAAACGCAGCTTGAAGAGTCTCCAAGACAAGTTGCCATGGTAACTGACATGTTGATTCAACTGATGCCTGGATCGGACCCAGTTTACTCAACAAGATAGGGAGGACCTGCCAAATCACAAAATATTGTTGAGGGTTTTGTGTTTCACATTGGACATCCTATTTGAATTTCTAAAATGCAGAGGAAAGCTGTGTGCAGAAATTAAGAATTGTTTTTCATATTTTTCACATTTTTCATAAACTGGTCACAACAACAAAATTTGTGCCAATCAAGTTGAGTAACTGAACAATTTCTCATTAGCATCAATAATTTACTGAATATTCATAAAGCTTTGTTTCAATAACATTACTAGGATAGGTAGAAGAATCACATTTGCAACAAATTAAATAAGAATTACTTAAGTTTTAAAAACTTTTGGTTCAATTAATCACTTGGAGTTAGCAATTTAGATGGTTCGCATCGGCAGGGATAAAAAAGATATTTCTGGGAAAAAAACCCAAACAAATTAGTTTAAAAAAGAAGAAAATAGTCAGGTTACCTTTTCAGTACATGAGTGGAATTGTGTCTTGACTCCTTTTATCATTTCAAAGAATAGTCTTCCAAAACCTGTGCTTTGCTGTAAGGAATACAAACAAAATGCTGAATTAAACAAATGTAAGACTGAAACTTCTACAATTTTCATTTCAAGCTTAATATAAACAAAAATAATATAAAAAAAATTGAGGAAACTTACATCAGGGTTTTCTTCTAATCTAGCTAGCATCATATTGAACAAGGCATCATGGTCTTTGACTTTACGCATGAGGAAGGCAAAGCTCTCGGCAGCAAAGTTGCGAATGTGGTCCCTCTGACTATCAGCTAAGAGAGGCGAGTACAACCTGTAAGAAAGAATTCATGGCAATATGACCAAATTGTACAATGGTTTGAAATACAAGCTAGTCAGGACACTGCTGGTGTCTCCCTGTTCACAGAATTTAAAAATACAATCAGGCATCAGACATTTTTCGACAAAGTACCACATTTGTGGAAAACAAAAACTGAAGTGCGCAGTCAAGTTTGCAGCTGTGTGACAGCTAAAAAGGAAAAATTGTTTATATATATTGTTTTTGTGTCTAATTTCACTCCCTCTTATATGTAAAAACTATAGAACAGCCTGTTCAAGCTGGGGACGCACTTTGCTGCTCCTTTCAACGAACCGAGAAGCTCCAAATGGAGTGCTAATACTCCAGGTTTTTGAGATATATTTTATCCTGCTTACTTGTATTAAAAAAAAACTTTACAACTTCATGAATGATAACAATGGGTACTGGTATTACACTGTATTGAATGGTAATTACTTCTTGGCGACTTCACAAAAACATACAGTGCTGGAGCGGTTTTGGGCGGTACAGGCGGTAAGACACAGCGTGGTTTGGGATGGTACAGTAATAAACAGGTTACAAGATTCAGCTACATGTAGAATACCTAAAGACATCATGGATATCTCTGACAAGATATCGCCAGAGGAACTTGAAGAGGTATCCGAAGGCTCGGAAGGCATTCTCCAAGAGCTCAGTGTCTTGAGTGTTCAGCAAGGAGACGATGATGTGAAAGAAGTCGGGAAAGTGTGGATAGAAGTCAGTCTGTAGGTCCCGGGCCAGTTGAACCAGTAAGCTGGAATGGGAAAAGGGTAATTCAAAACAATCCTTGAGATAGAGGCAGAATTTGACAAAATCAGGCAAAATATTAAAAGTGACAAGAATCAAACATATATATTAAAACCGTCAAACCTCCTCTTCTGGCTGACAAATTGAAAAATGCTCTCAAAGCAGTTAAAATCAATCAAGTGACTCTTTTGTAACTGTTAGGAACCCTGTGCCTGCACAAAGCAGGATTGACTGGCTGTGACTGCTTGTGTAACATGATACAGTCACGCTTTGAATGCAAGTGATTGATAAGCCAGCTGTACCTACCAGTTACCTGCTTTTGTCTGTTGATGGAATTGACTAGTCAGCACTCACCGTATATGTGGTGTGACTGTTGGTGACTAGCCTCTCTATAAAGGCACTGCAAGGGTAGTGCATTGATTTTTGACAGTCTGTGGCTACTTTTAAGCAGAAAGTGGTTTTGACCATTCAGTTCCCCAAAATGATTTGCCTTACTCCAAGAGAGGTTGGTGAGCCAGGCTTCCTTTCTTCTGGAGATGTTTCTTGAGAGCTGTGATGATCTCATCTTCATGGTGCACTAACTGAGCAAAACTGTCTACTTGTCCTGAGATGTCGCTGGTGAAATTACCTGATGAAAAGATAAACACAAATTCCAAGGGATGAGTACAGCCATTCCACAAGTGATGTCAAAAACAATTTGAAAAGAGACTACAAATTCAAAAGGAGTAATATGGATAGATGAACCAACTGAAAACAGCTCTATCATTAAAAGGAATGATTTAAGGTTTATCTGCTCACCAAAATCTTGAGTACAATTGAGATCGGTCCATTTGGCCAGGCCAGCAGCAAAGAAGGAATCTGCATCCTTTTAAGACAAATTATTCCATATATTATTAAGCATTACATAAACACAATAAAAAAAATTGAACACAGCAGCACTCATGTTACAAGACTGAAGCCTTCTAAAAAGATTTTGAGAATTCAATTGTCGGGGGATGTCAATTCAACACAAAATCACTTGGGGCAGAGAAAGAGAAAAATGGAAGAATTTCACATCAGTTGCAATCTTTTGGCATCAAAAAAGGAGACTAACATTTTAAAAGGAAAAAGGGGAAACTAGAAACTTACTTCTTTGAATTAATTTTTTTTCTAAATTATTTAGGTCAATGTTACCCCAAACATTTCTTTCAAACATTGTCAACTGTCAACACAACAAACCATAATGCAAAAATAAGGCTGCAAATTATTAAGCACCGCCCTCTCCTTAATAAAAAGTTCAATTCATTCAAATTTTCAATAATTTGGCTTCAAATTGGAATATTTGGCTTACCTCAGGCTGTTGCTCTGTGCGTCCTCCTTTACGGATTACATCGATGTTGATATTTGATATGCGCTCAGAAAATGTTTGAAACTGGAATTAAAAATATAATTAACATGGTCTATCACCAACTTGCAATAAAACCGGGCACCTTAGCCTGATGAAGACCTAGTGTGTGCATGAAATAAAGAAACGTCAATGTTATTATAATACGTGTAAAGGTACCATTAAGGAGACACGTTATCAGGTTATCGTTATTTCTTCGCTCGATGGGAGACATGGGTCATTAGGGAGACATTTTCATGTCTCCCTAATGTCCCAGCCTCCCTTTAGAGGCAAAATTTTATTGTCGCAATTAGATTATATTTGTTGCTTGTGGTCTAATTAGTAAACATACCGAAAATTCGTGGAAAAGGACAAGGGAATATTGGGCTGAGTGATAGGGCCAGGGTAGCCCCATAATGTGGCCAGTTTACTGGACTGCCTCCGTAAACATAGGCCACACGTCCGCCATCTTGGAATCTGACTCGCCGAAATTTTGAAAGTGATTTCCACATTGCGACTTTAAACCCAGTTCATTTATGCTTTAAAAATACACTTACCCTCTTAATAACAAAATTAGAACCTGCTGCCAGTGTCAGTTGCCCAGCTGCTGCGTAATTTACGACATTTTCTGGACCATTCTTGGCAACTTGGTCCAACCGTGGAGCTATCTCCATGGTCCAACTGAACAATGCCCTCGCGCAGATCGTTCACCTGTCAATCACGCGTGCAGGACGCACGCCGCAGGCCCAGTGGTAGTCCGGTTCCCAGACCAAAAGATTCTGACTATTCCTAGGATCAGGAATAGTCAGAATCTTTTGGTCTGGGAACCGGACTACCACTGGGCCTGCGGCGTGCGTCCTGCACGCGTGATTGACAGGTGAACGATCTGCGCGAGGGCATTGTTCAGTTGGACCATGGAGATAGCTCCACGGTTGGACCAAGTTGCCAAGAATGGTCCAGAAAATGTCGTAAATTACGCAGCAGCTGGGCAACTGACACTGGCAGCAGGTTCTAATTTTGTTATTAAGAGGGTAAGTGTATTTTTAAAGCATAAATGAACTGGGTTAAAAGTCGCAATGTGGAAATCACTTTCAAAATTTCGGCGAGTCAGATTCCAAGATGGCAGACGTGTGGCCTATGTTTACGGAGGCAGTCCAGTAAACTGGCCACATTATGGGGCTAGGGCCAGGGCACATTTAAGTTTGAAAAATTGTGTGCACAAGTCTATGGGGATGTCCCCGTCCCCCAAATGTCCAATCCAGGGTAATTAATATTATAATTATTATTATTATTATTACGCTCTATATAGCGATAGAAAATTAGAACCCCCTTTTTCAGACATTTACTTTTTGTGTAATTTCGTGTTGCAATTCAGTTCAGACTTCAGATACGCAAACATGTGCAAAAAATGACAAAAAAATATGAACCAGCTGACCAGGCTGTGCCTGTACTGTGCACAGAATCGTGCGGTAGGCCGGCTGGCCCAACATTTGCCCTACTTTCCAAAACAAATCATTCTCATTTAACTAATGAAACATTCCCCTCGTTTCTTGAATAAACGGAAGCTCACCTTATACGTGTTCGTATTTCTATGGTAAGAAGATTTCGTCTTCATTTTGCCTTCATTTGTGTGAAAAAAGGGATAAAAAGGAAGCTCAAAAACTTGCACATGTTGCAAATTGCGCCCTCTATAGTCAAGAGTTATGACATGAATGACGTCAAGGAGATACCCGACTATGGAAACTGATAACGTAAACTTATGATTACGAGAAGGGTGTCAGACCAAAGGCTTTTAAAAGTCGGGACCCTCTTAAACAAGATACTTTATGAAAATAACATTTGCGTCAGGGAACTACGACGGACATGGAAGAAAAAAATTAGAAAGTAAAAAAAATTCTGTATTTTCAATATGGCAGACGACGTTGAACAAAATTCTTCTGACGATCAGGACCCAGATTTGACGGATTTTCACACATACGTTCCCAGAAGAAGTTACAAATCGGTACCAGATAGCTACAGGTAATACGACATAACCCATGATTGTAGCTATGTCAATTAAAGATCTTGGAATAAATTATCCATGTTATCGGGGAGTGTCCTTTCAGTTTCAACTTCAAGTGTAATACTCTGCAATAAAATGTTTGAGACATGTTAAAATACGCAGTGGCTATTGTTACGGCAGCCGTAACGCATTTCCCATTTTCTATCGTTACGGTAGACTGCAACCTGGCAACTTTTATAAAAAACATGACAAGAAAATATAAAATTAGAAGGAAAAAAGTGAATTTGAACTTTATGAAATTCGGACTTTATTTCCCTTTTAAAAAAAATCCTCCAAAGCCTCAGGTTAGAAAAGGAAAAAAATTCGAGTGCAAAACTGAGATCCGAACCCGCAACCTCGCGGTGCAAAATCCTACCCTCTATCAGCTGAGCTGGCGCACTGCTCGATAAAACGTGTGGAAACAAATAATTATATACCTGCGTGCGTACCAAAAAAATATCGTAGAGGGCGCTAAACAACGAGTGCCGTAACGATAGCCACTTCGGTTAAAATAATAAATGAAGAATAGGGCTTATTCTTATTTATTTGGGGATGGGGAAAAAACCCTTAGAAATGTGGCGGGGATCGGGATCAAACCTGTGTCATCCCGCTCACAAGAGCTGTTGCTTATCCACTACACCAAATGTGCTACACAACTGTCAGTGACTGTTTAGTGTTGGTGGGAATTTAATACATCTTATAATTCAGCCCTATCTTAAAGAGTACAGTGCCCTCTGTTGATATGGATTGCCGCCGGCAACTTTTAGTAAACATTAGCTTGCCGTCATTACCTCCGGCAAAATATCCACTATCTAAAAAAAAAATGTTATTTATAATTTTATACACATAGGCTTAGGCCTACTTAATTTCAATGACATGATTTGACAATTTTCAAATTCTATTTTTTCTTCTCAAAACAGTTACCGACTGACACATGACATCAGTCTTGACAACTTTCAGAGTGAGGATCTGTTTGATTCTCAGAATGATCTCAACACACAGGATGACTGGATGACAGACAATACACCTGTCAGAACAGAGAGTAAGTGGCAATCGTGTAGTTATGGGCCTGGTTCCAAGAATAACAGAACAAAATCCACTTTTAATACACATGTATTTGACCTACCAAACTAGTTAGTGACATTAAGAACATGCAAGTATGTCATGTAGATAAAGGGCAGGGTTTTTAATTTTTGAGGGAAATTTGGGGGTAAAATGACTTATGACAACAACAAAAATGAAAATCGTAATTTCTATCCCAAGAAACTGTTTAAAATTACAAAAAAAGGTGTCATTAGAATTGAGAGAAGTCTGCTTTAGTTTAAAATGATAATTTTTGGATTATAAAAAAACACCCTTGACTCTAATTTGATCAAAGCTTTAGATGGGCCCGTAACTACACTATCACCACAAAGGTTAGCACTTCTCCTTGAACACAGCACAACAAAGTCATTTTGCCAAATTTTCTGTCAAATATAGAGGCATAAAAAAATTGCAGAAAAAGGTAAAAATTTATTATATTCATTTAGAGTTAAGAAATAATCAAATGTCATTCATTTGAATTATATAAATGTTATTGAATATCATCCTTTTGTCTTTGTCGCTCCCTTACTTTTCCCTATCCCCTTTCATTTCCCCCGGAACGATACATCAAAACAACTGAACTTAAAGGCGTTACTAATCCAATGTGGATCTGTTGGTTCTGTCTTCTTACTTTTGCAGTGACGAACACAAAGCAGAGACACAACTCCAACGAGAGCACTGAAAAACTTGTGAAGGAAGACATGATTGAGTTGGATCTCTCAGACAGCAATGTTCTCTCTGAACGGCTAAGCAGCGAACAGTTGGACAATGAACACAGTGATGCTGCCACGACGACACTCCTGAGCATTATAGAGGCCGAGACCAGTCAACGGAACAGCCAGATTACTATCAAGGTGAGTACAGAGCTCTCACAAGCTAAGTGTTTTGATGTGAACCTGCGTCTTCAACTTAGTGCTGCAAAGTGCCTTGGGACATTATGTTTTACTTTCTATTTCTTCCATTCGATTCTAGACCGATGATTCTGAGACCAGTCGGAAAGTCTTACGCCAGAAGAGAAAAACCAAGAGGAAAGGACGGAAATTGCCTCAGATGCCACCAACTCAAGATAAACCAGGTTACTAGCACATTTGTAAAGTTGTCTAATTTCCCCGCCCCCACTTTTGACAAGTTGCAGTTACAACTTGATTACAATTCAACGTCAATTCTTTGGCCTGTTTTTTTTTGCAAATTGACTGTGTGACAATTCTAGTGGTCTCTTATATGGCTGATTTCAAAGTGGGCTCTTGTTTAAATAAATTGCTAGAACTGGTGTTTTGTTGTTTGTTACTCCCAGGTAACCTCCAGACAGAGTTGCTCCAAGCAGACCGCCATACAGCCAACTCCAACAGCTCAGCTCTCTCCTCAACCCCATCCCCAGAAAACAACGTGTCTCTCAGCTCCGTCCCACCCAGTCCTTCAGATAACTCCACCCTCCCCAACACCCCTGTGGAACCCTACGCACTCCAGCTACAACGACCCACCAGGCTTGAGTTTAATACGACCAGTGCTCACTACACGCCGTTCCTGACAAACACCAACATGCTACTGCAGGAGGATTCTAGTCCTGAGGAACGGCAGCGACGACGGCTGAGGATGAAGCTGGAGAGTAAGAATAGAGAGGAACAAGAGGACAAGTCAGGAGGTATGATAGGGGGCAGGTGTGGTATTGTTGGGATAAGCACTTGTACGTTGCTTAACAGGGGATCTAAACTGATAAAGCGCTAAGTAGTTTGGCTCATGATGAGTAGGGCCATGCAATCAGGCACTGGTGTGTTCAAGCTTCATGGCAATTCTGCAGGTTGTGGGTTCAATTCCAGGCTGTGTTGATATCCATAGGCAACATACTTTGCCATCGGATGCTTGTCTTCCCCAGGCGTAATTAGGTACCTGTAAGGACAGAGATATGGTTAAGTTTAAAAGTAATAGTTTGCGTAAACATGGCAACATTGAAGTTTATACTCCTCAGGAAGCCGAGATGTGGATTAGATATCACTTTTTCCCCTTTTTTATTAAAGATGAGGAGAAGCCATGTTTTCAGCCGGCAACGCTAGTCATTAATGGAGAAATCAAACAACAAACACACATCGCTGTCTTCCATTTCCTACCCCGGCATGAGGATGAGCTTCCGTTTGAAGTCAACGACCCCGTCTTTGTGGAGTTCAAGTGTGAGGATCTGTGGTACGAGGGAATTAATCTCAAGACTGGGGAAGAAGGTTGCTTCCCGAGTCGATACGTCAGAGATTTCACTGCTGATACGGAGACTATACCTGGTATGTAGGCTGCTGTACATTGTAGAATACAGACACACACCTTGAGATTCCTGATTGCTGTTACAAAATACATTGAAGTAAGTTTTGCACTTACCCTGATGAGAGAAATGTGAGAAATTTCACAAATTAATTATCATTTTCTTCTTTTTGGATGGCAGGGTTCCGGGGCCGGAAGGTTCATATAAACCGGTACAACGTCAAGTTTTTAGGTTCTGTAGAAGTAGCATTTCACAAAGGCAACGATGTTCTATGCCGTGCTATGCAAAAGGTGAGCATTTTACAACCAGACTCTTCAGTAGTTTGTTCAGTAACCACTTCATTACTTTGTTTACATTGCTTACTCTCATCTGTTCTTTTAAAGGTTGTGACCGCCAGAAGACTTACAGTAGACATTCACCCACCGACAACGTGTGTACTTGAAATCAGCGATATAGGAGTCAAGATGATTGACAAGTCAAAACCACAGAAAGCCAAAGAGGTAGAAAATAATTGCCTGATCATAGCCACAAAATGGAAAGAGTTTTCTAGTAGTATGTGTGTCAGAGTTATCATCATTTTGTAAGTCTTTTAATTAAGTTTATGCTTCGCTTTTTTTCCCTTGTATCCAACTTTGATCCAACTAGAAGAAAGACTCTGTCCTAAAGAAGGTGGAGAAACTTCTTGGGTCTAAGCAGAACAAGGGTCATAATTACTTCTTCTCTCTGAAGAATGTTTCCTTCTGTGGCTTCCACCCTTCAAGTAACAGGTGAGAATATATGGTGTCATTAAACAGGTGTTATAATTAAATGACATAGTTTAAATGTGTCATTAACAGGTGCCATTAACAGGTGTCATTAACGGGTGCCATTAAAAGGTGCTGTTAAGTCACTTTAACAGGTGCCATTAACAGGTGCCAGTAACGGGTGTTATTAACCGGTGCCATCAGTAGGTTTTATGAACAGGTAACATTAACAGGTGTCATTGACAGGTGTCGTTACCAGATGACGTTAACAGCTGTCATTTACAAGCCAAACTTTCGAGAGAATCCAGAGCCAGTGATTTCCTGTATCAAGCAAATCAGAACAAGATTAAGGAAGGCTTCATGTTTGGTCTCATTTTCAGATTAAGTGTATCTTGGAGAAGTTATTTTGTAAACAAAGACAAGTTTTTGATATGTTTAATTTGATAATTTTTGTGTAGGTATTTTGCATTCATCACCAAACATCCCACTGATGGTCGGTATGCATGCCATGTTTTCATCATGGAGGATGGACTGTCAGCCAAGCCAGTAGCTGAGGCCATGGGGTAGGCATTGTGTGGTTTTTAAACTCTTGTACTGTATTTTCTGGACCTGAAGGGGTAGCCTATAGTCCTTTGTGACTCCTGGACTGACTGACTGATCGAGTCACTGAGTAGATATCATGTGCTAAACTGAGACTTTCAGGTCCAGCTGGACAAAGCAAGCCTTAAGCTATCATGCATTGAGGATGCACACTGCATAACTTGAGTGTATATCTGGAATGGGGGTAGAGAGTAGAAGTTAATGGAGAGTTGATAGGAGACCCACCTAAATAATTTAGCAATAATTTGACTGTTATGGCTACGATATGCTACTACATCAACAAATACCTAACAGATTTTACTTGTTTCTTCTTTTCAGGGCTGCTTTTAGGAGGTTTTACTCGGAGTTCCTTGACTTCACCAATCCCACCGAGGATATCTACATGGAGTAGTCTGGTCCCAAGCAGTGACTTAACAAGATGTTTAGCTCCCCTATGTAAAGAAGATCTAGCAAGTCCTACATAGCAGGTATTATCTGAACCTAATGACATTGTTATGATGAGCCGACAGTTACCTGTTAACAGATCCATCTCACAGAGACTCTGAGCAGTAAGTACATTTAAATGCTAACTTGGGATGCAGAATGTGTTTTAAAAACAACCTAAATGCTTGCTAGTGTAAGCACCTCTAGACCATTATCTACTTGCCTGATTTCTTGGTTAAAGTTACTGAGCATTTGTGTCCATCCACTACAGAAGTTTCCAACAGGGTAAGATGATTACAAGATAGTAAATCTTCTGTGTCTGAAATAGATCTTAAAGAAATGTAGTTAACAGAAAGAAATATGTCCATGCCTATAATCTGAAGTACTTGTACGATAATTTAGAGTAGAATTAATTTATCTAAATGCATGAAGTCTTTTATGCTGCTGGCTACTTAGATTTTGTCCCCTGAACAAAGTATAAAACTAGCTACCAATAATATACAAAAACTAAATATGATAAAGTTAACTACTTTTCAGTTCTATTGCAAAAGTCAACTCTTACTTTGTTTAAGTTGTATTCAAAACTTAAGTTTAAGGACTTTGGTGGGGGGTTTTCAAAAGAAGAAAGCAAAATATAGCAAATCAGATTTCTTCATGAAATGTCAGTCTATCCTTTTTGATTCAGTAATTCAGGAACTGTGATATAAACCTGTAAAAATTGTACTTTCAAATTCAAACGGTTTTGAAACCTGTGAATAATTATACATAATGTATCTCTATTGTAAACTAACACTGTACATCCAACCATGTGTATACACGTACTCAAATGTAAATAGGGATTCTACCAACTCAACATTGCCATTCTGTACTGGTGCTCGATGTTGTCATATACATCTTACAGTACACGTCTTTCTTTGAAAACCAAATTAAGTGGTGCCAAACTTTGTTTTTATCCTTTTCTTATTACGTTTACATTTATATTAATACCTGCGACATTCCTAATTAGTGACTGACCTGCTCTAGCTCTGAAAGATAAGTACTAACAAAAGAAGTTAATCGAAAATGGGAGACTTTAAAACATAAACAATACTTTTGTTTACACTTAACATTCAGCAACAACTGCAGTTTTGGTGACATTCTGGTAGTTAACAGCTGCCACAATGCTTCAATCATAACTGAGGTATCACATGTGTGTATAGCAATCAAATGTCCAGAGTTATATTAAAGCCAAGAGCAAATTAGCATGTTATTTAATATCTTTTGGTTTAACAATTCATTTACTTGCCATTTTTATGGTTCTTATTGACCTGCTGCAGGGTGTTTTGTTACTTGCTTTACTGTTTAATGCTCATTAAGTTTTCATATAGTGTACCGATATATTTTCTTATGCATGCATGTATTCTGTTAATAATCTTAACTAAGCAATTGTCTTTCAGACAAGAAACATGTCAACAGTTAAGACATTTAGTACAGTGAAATCTTGATTAGTCAAAGATCAAGGGAACAGGTTCAAAATTTGACTTAGCAGAGTTTTGAGTTAAGCAGGGTTGTATAGCATTGTTATACAACTGAAGGCAATGGATTCTTTGTTTGACTAAACAGTTGTTTTAAGTTGTCAGAGTTTGACTTAACACAATTTCACTGTATTTAGGTAGAAATCTATGTACTTATTTTCTACTTATTTTTTTGAAATAATTGTACTTACTCAGTTTATATTACTATTTGATTTGATTGGTGTGCAGGATTTTTAACTCCGCCCTATTTTACTATGTGTGTGACTTTATTTTATTCATGTATTCAAACTCCGCCCTTTATGTATAATTATATTTATGTGTGCAGCTAATTTTATTCTCATTATTTGTGCCATCTTTTGTTTTTATAATAAATTTATTTGCTGAGGCTGAAATACATTGTGGTTTCACAAGCATTAAAGGTTACAAATGTTATGCATCACAAGTTACATTTGTTCAATAACTGCAAAACTTGACAAATTCAGAAAATTATAAGATAAAGGTCAAAATCAAATTTCTTTTTAAGAATTATCAACTGAGCTTGGATACCTTACTTTCAGCAGAGAATACTCTATTTTTTAGCCTTGATGTGTTAAAATAACCGTGTGTGGCATTTGAGATTATTTTGCTTTCTTAAAACCTTGATATATTTGTATTTCATTGTTTGAAATAACATAAACCATGGAAGTTTAATCTATATTTTTGTTTCCATGGATGGTTAGCATTATATATTTTGGGTCAGTTGGTTCACAGATGTGTATGGGACATACACAGATGTGTATGGTGTTGTATTAGTTTCAATATGAAACTCTTTTGAGGGGCTACCGTCAAATGTTATGGTTACTCAAGCAAAATAAAGTTTATTTCAATCAAATATAAATCTGAAGGCTTATATACACAAGTTATGTATTACTTAAATATTTAAGCAGTACTACAGAAAACTGTAGGAAATCTTAAAACTTTGTTTTCCAAATTCATAAACAGGAATTCAACGAATGTAATGCTATAAATTGCTTTGAGAAGTTATTCCTTAAATTCCATACAAATTTTCCCAATTTTGAATATACAAGTCGGCAAACCTTGCTTAAGTTGTTTTGATTGGAAGGACAACACTTTTAGCATGGCAGGATCATGTTTGAAACCTTAAATTGTTTTCTGGACGGAACAAGGCACCACAATATATGCATGACAATCTTGAAGTAAATAAAATATATATAGAAAGCATTCAACATTTGAAGTTGTGTTGTCATTCACTCTTGTCTTGTAGTTTTAAGCATTCCCACACAAAATATTAAAAATGGAACAAATAATCTCTTAAAAAAACTTCAAAGCTTAATGATCTCTGTATTTACAAAAGTTTTTTGGTGTAGACTTGTATAAAATATATGAATGGGACGGAATGTTTACTGGAATACATCAATGAAGGTGCTTGCAAAACGCAATTGCAGATCACGTGGAAACACATCAAACTGGAAGTAATTAATTTGTCCATTAATAAATGTACATTACCTTTAATTAGCTAAACATATACAAACTTCAACAGCACTATTAAAAAACCAGTTAGAAGCGCAATGAAAATTGTTTTCAAAACAAACGACCATGAGAGTTGGACTCGCGTGTATTTAAACAGCAGAATGTATTGTATGGACGGATTCAACTTGGAAAATGAATGTATAAAAATGCAGATTCTCTGACATGCATGACTGCAATTCTGCCAATGTGTGTGTCAATACCATTACATGTATCTAAATTTAATACAAAGCTGATGATACAAATCTTCACACAATAACTACCACAACAATAATAAGGCTATGTAGTTAGTGATTTCTGATATGTTATGCAACACGTAGTTGATGATCCTGTAGCTGTGTACATCTTAGTAGTCCAATGCACAGATGAGTGCAACACCTCGCTTGATCCAATGGAACTGGGGTTTGTCAGAGGGAATCTCCACTGGTAACACGTAGTTGGTGGAATGACCGGTTGTGGACAAGGCACCTGCATGGAACAAAATGGATTTTGTTAAGCCGGAGCATTCACACAAATAGTGATATAGTATGCCCTCTATTTAGTGATATGACTACAGAATAGTTCATGAGCTGTACAAGCAGATGGAGCAATGGGTTTATTTAATGCACAAGTAAACTCAACGGTTAGGAGAGACCATTGGGAGGGACAGTCGTGCAGAAATGCTGCAAAAGTGTTCTCCATTGTAACTGAGATCATCACAAGTCCTCGCAAGTCACAAGCTATTCAAATGAACTTTGACAAAGGCATTCTTTTATTGTCCATTCCCTATTACTTGTGACTGGATTTGGGAATTGACTTGTGATGTAGTTGTGACTGGACTTGTGATGCACTTGTGATGGATTTGACTACAACAATGGTGGCCTTCAATGTTTTGTACTTTTTAGCCATGCACCAAGTCTATACACACATTCTTGATCCTTACCTGCTCTTGTGAGTGTCTTATACACAGGACATACATACATCCCTTCCTCTGGTTGTGTACGGTTCTCTGCTGGTAGAAACTGCATGATAGGCATGTCAGTGTACAGCTCCTTGGGTCTGGATTCTGTCACTTGATGCTGCTCATGGCTCCATCTGGCGCCCTCTAGAAACAGTCCACGAACAAAGCAGCCAGTTTCTGGACGTTTGGTGATGTTTTCTGCAGGCTCATTTATGACCTGTAAATATTGCAAGAATTTTTAAAAAAAATCCAATCAATAAAATTAATAATGAGATCAAAATACCTCAAAATTCTACAAGAATGTTCTATGATAGCACCGTTTTCTTTTGTGTATCCCTTCTTTTGGGTGTATTTAAACTTACAGCAAAGTCAAAGCCAATGGTATCAATGGAGATGATGGCTCGTCGAGCGTAGTTCTGCAGAGTTCCCGTCAGGAAAGCTTGAGGGAAGAAGAAGCCCGAGATCCAGAAGACGCTGGGGATGCCGTTATCAATCCAGTCTTGAAGGAAATGCATCCTGGCGACGAGGTCAGTCACCCAGGAGGAGAGAGGCTTGAGAGATGGGTAGGCCTGGTGAGCAATAGGGAGGATGTAGATGTTAAGATGAAGCAGCCAGAGTTGTCATCTAGTCAGTCACAAGTCGCACCAAGCCTTATCACAAGTCATTCAAATACATGTACATCCTAAGTCACCCAGTCTAAAGTCAAGTCACAAGCAAGTCAAAGTAAACTGTAACCCATTAGTCACTGTAGCGCCTGAAACCGCCCTGCCTATTACTCACCGTAGTGCCCAAAACTGCCGAAGCACTCTATGATTTTATTGATTCTTCGCAGTGAATAAACACAACGTAATACAATGAACATGGGCTAATGGGTTAACAAATGCATTCTTTTGTCACTGTTCATCTTCTGTCATTGTTCACCTTCATAAGAACAGGTTTTTTGCAGCAGCTTGAGATCAATGCAGTCTGGTCTCTTTCATAACAGATACCCACTTGTACTCTTTGAGCAGAAGGCAATTGTGGTAAAGTGTCTTGCCCAAGAACACTTATGTCAGGTTTCCATCATGTTTTACACATTTACCCATTAGTCCACAGGCTTTTGTTATCACTGCAAATTGTTATTGGTTTCTAACAGACACTGAAGCGAAGATTTACGGAACATACCTTGCCTGCCCAGAGTTCAGGCACAGAGTTGATGTACATGCTGTTGGACATGGTTTCTAGCTCCTCAGATAACACCACCAACCCTTTGAGAGCTTTCAGTAGTTCCTTCAACGTGCGGTGGATGACATTCAACAGACGATTGTATCTGTGTTCAAAAAAGTAAGAAAACGTCAGAATCAACAGATATTATCAACCCACTGCACTCCCTGTATCGCCCCAAACTGCCCTGAGAATGTGATAGTTTGATGAATGAATCAGGGAATGAATACAATGTAATACAATGTTATACAGGTGGTTATCTGGGGAATGCAATATGCATAATGTTGTTAAGTCACCACTAGTTTACATATTGAAATCCCTTTCAATGCTTACATGACATTTGTTTACAGAGTCACTGTGGGAGGAGAATAGAGACAAGTGGGGGGGGGGGGTGCAGATTTCTCCTTTACCTGATAACTTCTTGAATCAGCACAGTGTTCATGGACTCCTCATACATCACTGGATGTTTCTTGGTAACCATGGCGATATCCACAGGCTGGGGAACACGCTCAAGAATGCTCTTCGCTGTCTCCTCAATCACCTGAACAGATAACAGAACCAGTGATGCGGTGAACCAGGCAAGAATTGCAGTATTTCTTTAAGACCACAAGCAGCAATTTTGAGTGAGAACTATGATTTACATAGATCTGTTTTTACTCAAAACTGTGCTAGTTCGCAGGCATAAGTTACATCCTAAACCACCAGTCAACCATTTGTCTATGTGAAATATTTGTACGTACCTCTTCACGGGACCGGCCGGCTCCCGTAGCAGTCTTAGGCTGAAGGAGCAGGATGCACGACAGGGTGGAGAATGTCTCGTTCTGGGCAAATGTGATGTTGGCATTGTCATGGAGACCAAAGATTTCAGGTGTGTCGTTGATGGGAAGGCTCTTAATGTACGACGTGTAACCCTGTTGATAAAATGATTCAATATGACAATTTAACAGAGAAAAATTTTAACATTTCTTTATTAAATGTCCATATAAAATAATTCCCTCTTTATTAATCTAGGGAACTTCGGTGTCATTTTTCATTATCTACATTGAGTGTTACAGCTGTGTTTATGAAGCAAAATAACACTAGAAAACTATCAACAATACAATCCAGCATTTTGCACAGCCCCCTCCCAAAAAAAGTGCTTAGTACAAAAACAAATTTGCTTTTCAAAAATCAGTGAGCAGGTCTAACATTGTGGTCCATGGCTGTTGGGATCTGTCTGTAGATTCCCGATGCTGAGTAGCTGTGCTCTTCCTCCAAGACAACCTTGTTGTAGAAGTCGTTCAGGACGTTCATCAGACAGCGACGATCACGATCATCAGTCACGCGACCGCCGTAGTTGATGTGACCTGCTGTGTAGGTCAGCACCTACAAGGGATGAGTAATCAGTTATATTTTGATTAACATCAAAACCTTGTAAGACAGAAATAAGGCAAACCAAGGAATGAAGTTTTACTGCATCTTTTCATAATGCCATCAAATGTGATCATAATGCCATCAAAAATGTCCCCGAACAATTTCTTATTATCGGAACCAGATAACAATGTAAGGAAATGATGGATGAATATGTTGACATTATAAAAACATAAAACTTAACAGCACTTTCAAGCTTCGGCTTCAACTTGCCGTTCTACTTCCTACTCTCAATTTATAAAAAGAAAATCTTGAGCAATTTTGCTGCTCACCTTGAATGGAATCTCTTCATACTCCATCAGGAACATCTTCAGCTGACTGATGCAGATACGCAGGTCACCAGTGGTGAACTCGTAGGGGATGTTGAAGCCTAGCGGGCCAAACTTGCGTCTCTCAATCACCACGCCATGGAAGAGAGCCAGGGACAGCATCAAGCTCTTGAACTCATGGGTCTGGAGTTTGGAGAAAGGAACAAAAATCATCATTAAGATGCTATGACTAACAATTTTAGTTTAGATTTATTTCATCAAGCTCTGACCGCATTAGTGAACAGTGTTTATAAATAATGAGGTTGGTGAAGGGCAAAGGCCAATATTTAGAATTGACTCTTACTGACTAGATTTCCATCACGTCTTAAGTGACTGACCTTGCCTGTGCAGGAATTAAGGAACTCATCATTCAGACTGGTGTAAGACTGCATGAGGTTTGCCTTGATGCCTCGTGGTGGCTCAATAGTCATCTTGGAGCTGTTCTGTAGGATGGCTACAGGGAACTTGGGACTGGGCATGCTGGTCAGCCACAGGCGGAAATCACGATGGACCTGAGGGATCAATTAAACAAACTTCAATCACTCGTATCTGATATTCTATTCAGCACTAGTATGCTGATACATACACGCAGTAAACTTGTTCCAGGTAAAGACAATTCATAATTCGAGTAAAAAAAACAAAGAACGTGTGATATTACACCAAACACTCGAAAATACAAATTTGCAATTTGAAATGTCAACTCAGGCAAAATTCACCGGGAAGATATTTTGTGTAGTAAAAGTTGCTTGTATCCACATTGATTAAAGTATGAACCAACCAAAATGGAAGGAGCTGGGATTAGTGTGTTTGTGGGAGGGGGGTACAGCAGTTTGTTACCTTATCAGGGTCGACATTTTCAATGAGTCTCTCCAGTGAAGGCATCCAGCTAGGAGAGAGATGACAGTTTTGGAAGAAGACCCATTTGCCTCGGTCCATGGCACTTCTCATCAGGGCTTCTGCACGTGGACCCTAGAAGTAGACAACATATGAATCAAGAAATGTACAGCAAAAGAACTCTTCAATTAGCAACTTGTATAAAATGTTATACAATGCATTGCAATGGACAGATGCCATAGGGTTGATTCTTACCTGTCCCTGCCCTAGGGAGATGGAGGATAACTTCTTAGAGAATCTCATCTCCTCAGCAAACTTGTAGAGATCAGCAGCAGGGTCAGTTCCTTGAGACAAGACAAAGACTAGAGGAGAGGTAGGGGAGGATTCCTTGTAGGCTACGGCTAAGTCTGCTGTCTGAGGCTCAATGAATCGCTGGCCTAGATGGGAAGACACAAAGTCCTGTGGAAGCAGAAGAAGTTACATAAGTATGATTATAGATTTTTAATTTTTAAGGAGGGGTTTGCTAGCTGGACCTAATTCAAGAAAGAAATAGAAATTTCTTTCGGTTATTTGGAACATTCTGTAAAATCTCCACAATTCAGCTTTTTCTTTTGAGAATATGATACAGGAAATTTTTTTGGGGGGGGGTTACTGCCAATATATTTCGAGTTTTAAGCAAATGACATTTCAAGTTCTGGGATTTTAGAAAACAAAATTGAAAATTGGAAAAATGTTTAACAGAAGCACTTGTTTCCACTTGAAATGCACCATGATAAAAAAAAAAATTGACACTCCCCTTAAAACCTCAAACTATTCTTCATATTGAGTGGATTTTTCCAAATGGTCCAAACTAGAGTTAAATAATTTCTTGTGAGTTGTTTGCTTTATACCTGCATTGCATTGGTGACTTTATCAGCTCGGATGCACTTAAGGACCAGGAGTTTTTGGAAGGAATCAAGGTCCGTCTGCCATTCCCCAGGGAGATCCTCACGGTGTGGATCAACGCTGTCAAAGATGTGCTGGAATCCATCAAGGTGACTGGAGAAAGACTCCGCAAAACTGGCAAACTTGGGCTGGATTGGGAAGGTGATAATAAAATATAACAGAAATTATGAGAAGTAAGAATAGAGTCCTTTGACTGCAAACTCAGATCACTTTATGAGTTGTCATCAAGTCGTTCACAAGTAATTGAATTTATTCCCTTGGATGACACCCTTGCCTAGGAATATTTATTTCTTAATTTCTAACTAACGTGCCTCCAAAGAATACAAGATTTGCTTCCATTACCAAATTAAAAGCACAATGCTTTGAATAGATGTAATCAGTGGACAATCTTTTCTGGGCCACGTTCAACTTTAATTCCCACAACTCTAATCCTGATAATTATATGCAATTGGTCTGGATTGATTGCAATAACACAGCTGCATAGACACGTTTGAACACATGTTTAAATGATCTTCAAATACACACAAAAACGAAACAAGCACGGTTGTTATTATTTTAAGCACTCTTTTCAAGAGTTTTTTTGCAACTTACCAGAGCAGCGAGAGACAGAATCTCTCTCCAGGCCCTGTCAGACAGCCAGCTGGGTGCTGGGTTGGGTATCTCCTTGGGGATAGTGGTACCTCCAGATAACAAGAAACGCCATTCATCCTGTACAGAAATGCAATCAGATCAATGTTTCAACTTGGCGCTTCTGACAAAATACAGGCTGTGTGTGGTAACTGTTGAAGGCTATTGGAAAGCAAGAATGAGGTTTCCCGTTGATTCCATCTTGGATTTTTCCTTCCCCAATTTAATTTCATCAGCGCCATATGTGATGCGATCAAGCTAAATGAGTCGTTTGTCAACCCTGGTCATTTTTTTTTTTACAGATTTGAAAAGAGCACAATGTCAGCATAACTGCTATGAAAACCCCATGCTGATTCCATCTCTAGTTCAAAAATTATGTAGGTCTAACACCAAGAGATGTGATGAAGTGATGTGATGAAGTGGCCCTATTTTGGCCTGAATCTCCAAATGAAAGTTCCCGACAAACGACTCATGTAGCTTTGTTTGTGTTAACATTCCAGTGAATGATTGTCTTACCATGTCGATCTTTCCATCATTCTGCATAATGCGTACACACAGCAGGAAGGCAAACATGAGTTTGTGTTTCTCAAATAAGCTACGACACACGTTACTGTACAGACTGAAGGTGAAGTATTCATTGATGTTGACAATCCTCTGAGGAAGGTTGTCTAGATAGAAAACAAGATAGAAAAATAATAAATACACAAATATCATAGACATTCTATAGTATATCATATAGTATATTGTTTTGTTAACAACTGCATGAAAAGTCATGACATTGCAGACATTTATACATCGGGGTTTGATATTGTTTTTCATGCCCAGAATAGACAGACCCAAGTATGCAACATAACAAAATCGAGCTTTAGCTGATAAATTATTTCTGTAATGCAAAGATGATGTCCTGAGAACTTCACCAAATTTCAATATTAATATTCAGAGTTTTCTTCAACCTCATTTAAAACTTAATATTGGCATTTCATTTCGCAATATGCGGTCAAATTCAATTCAACAGACAAAATTATTTTCCAATTTACCAGCTCTCTCCGAGTTGGCTATCCCGGCCAGGAAGATCCTGACGAACCATTCCAGGGAATACTGGTACATGGGGTCCACATTGGCCAAGTCTGTGGTACAGAAGAATAGAAGCTGAGTCCTGACAGCCACTGGGATGTACTGGGATCTAGTCTCGTCAATCTCACGCTCTGTCTTCTCAGCAACGATCACTTTAGCCTGAGACAAGTCGGGAGTATAAGGAGAAAAATAAAGGAGTTGAGTCGGTGAAGGGTTAACTCAGCCATGCCTGTTTGGTTACTGTTTGCTTATCTTACATAGTGGGATATCCATAAGAAGTGTAACTGATACAAAACACGCACTTGTTTTCAAAATATACAAACCTTGTTTTTTTCTGAATGTACGCAAACCTGTAACAATTTTGTATGAGTGCCAGGTGTACAGAGGCAATACGTTTGCGTCCCACATAACTCTCTCTTTGTAACCATTCAGGGAGAACTTGTGCACAGAGTCTATACTTGCTTACAATCAGGCCCTCTGAGCTCAGCTTACATTTCCTAGACGTTAATTTCCCTTGATACCTGACACTTACCTGAATCTCATGCGATTTGATCTTAGATGCTTCCAGTGTCTTGATGAGGTCTACATCATCTACAGGGTTACCCTCAGAGGAGCTCAGTCTCTCCAAGATCTTATCCTCAATCTCTTTGAGTTCTTGTTTCATCTTGGCATTACTGACGATCAGCTGGTTCTTAGCCTCCTCAAGATCTGGTCTCTCTTCAGCCACTACGCGGGCGAGTAACTGATCCTCAAGGCCACTGAGGAAGGAAAACAGGAACTTTAAATTAAAGGAAATCTGTTTCAGACTAGTGTTTTAGCTATCGTCTCAGTGTCGCGCTGAACCAAACAGTACTAAGAGCAACTTGGTCTGACTTGGAATTTTGGAGGTTTAAAGTTTGGAGAGATTTTCTTACCTTGGTGAGAGGGTAAAATTGACCAGAGTGACCTTGGTAGAGACTTCTGGTGTGTAGTGAGGATTAGGCAGCTTGGTAGTGATGTAGAATTTGAAGTCTTCATGGTAAGGGATGACAGCATCTCCTAGCTTGATGACAGTACTGCCTTGTTGCTTGAATGTCTGCAGACAAAGTGCATAAGTTACAATTTCTACCAATGATTGATTTATTACGCACCCACATTAGCAAGTACTTTTTTGAAAGTGTTGAGATACAAGTATTCACTGGAAGATGAACACAATTTTTAAGAACCCTTTAAAAATAATTTTTCAAAGTGTTTCTGCTCAGCAACTGAACAATTTTTGGCAAACAATCTCAGCACCAATTACGAGCTTCAGAAATGATCTTGTTTTGAAATGACATGAAATTTTAGTAATTTCCAGACCAATGTATTGAACTAAACAATTATGTTTTGCAATATACTAAGATTTAATTATTTACCACGGTTTTGAGCACAGATTTATGTCCATGTTGATTTTAAAAGATATACTTCAGCAATGATATTTAATAGGGGATCAGAAACTTGACTGTTGAATGTTTCCTACCTGTTTGAGTAAGATGGGTTCCAATGCTGGGTCCAGCTCCTCGGCCACATTCTCCAGCAGGCAAGGTTTGCCAAAACGTACGGCATTCTCCAGGCTACGTAGGAAGTCACGATCAGTCAGCTTCACTACATCAAGGCCGTTGTCCTTCTCCTGTTCAAGAAATCAAAACCAAGATAAAGAAGAAATGTAATAAGTCCAACTGAATGTGAACAAAAACTTGGTCCTTATTTTCAAAATACTCGCAGGAAAGGAAAGCCTTCGAACACGGATGCACAAACGAAAACTGCAGTTAGTACCCTCATCCTAAAGCAGTCTTTCACATCTCCACCACTAAAGGGCGCATACTCACAAATGTCTTAATCCACTTGTTAGCCTGTCCCTGCGGATCAATAAACAGCGGCCAACGTTGAGAGAACTGCACAATAACACCATTCTCAATAGACAGGTTGTCTCTGGGTAGACCAGCAATCTGCCAGGATCTAATCTTGACTGGATCACCAAAGGAATTGACGAAGGAAGGCTCAGCGGTGTGGGGTACGTTCCACTCCGGGAACTTCTTGACCCATTCATCGGAGAGGGAGGCACGGTATTCACCCTGATGTCAGAAAGAAAATACAAAGAAATTCTTCAATTTTAAAAATCTGTTATTTCAGCTTCTGTCAATCCTTTGAATTGGCTCAGAAAAATGCTCAAGCCCGGCATATGATTAACACATTGCCTTAATTTAAAATTCATAATTGCGAATATATTGCTACTTTCATAAACAAAACCCTTAATAAACAGGTTGAGCAATTTCAATAATTTGCTACAACCTTAGGCATAAAACTATAATAAGCTATAAAGTTTCATTACGACTGTGTTTTTCTCTCTATCCATTTTTGAAGCCATTTGTATCACATAGTCATCCATGAGTATATGGCCATGATGTTCAAATTCCTTGACCGTGGTTAGCAATTACACATGCTCCTATATAGGTGGCTGCAGCCACTTCCCAGCGACACATGTGCCAAAGTCAAGTAATGATAATGCAGCCTATCATTGCCTTCCATCCAAACATACCGTGAATGGCCCCAGATAGGCCACATATCCAGCCGACACCAGCACATCCCCTACGATGCTCTTGATCGCAGATTCTAGCAGATTGACGGATTCCTGCCATCGTCCTTTCTCATCAGCCAATCCACCAATCAGCTTATCAGCCCGGCCCAGTCTAGCCTCACACAGGGCACATTTGTTCTCTAGTTCTTCCTTTTTAGCCACGCAGTCTTCATATTTGGCTTGTAGGGTAGCAATGCCTTCCTCTACCTCTCTCAGTTTGGCCTTAGCTTCGTCGAGCTGTCGCTGTGTCTCTGCTAGGTCCTCAGTGGCGATACGCAAACGTTCCTGATCAACAAAAAAAGAAACGGTAATACAACTTTGTACAGTAAATGATCACCAACAGTATATTATTACTACAGATTTACTATTAATACTAAGAGTCAAAGTCTTAAGCTGGATCTTCTGAAGGGCATGGCTATCCATTTGTTGAATCAATGTCCAAATAACTCTTGCAAACAAATAAATCTGAAATTGTCCCACTATGTAGGAAATTTCCTGATAATTCTATTCACTGTAGAAGAGCGAAATCAAGCCAAATTAATTTGGTTCAGCGCAGCCACCAATCTTTGTTGGATTTTGCATAGCTGCCTTTCAACTAATATAATGCATATTTCTACTGATTATTCTGAATTAATTAAAAAACTTACTCTTTTTGGGGCAACTCCCCTGGCCACAAAATGGTACTTGTGCATGGCTCGCACCCACTGACAGATGGAGGTACAAGCCTTAGATGCCTTGGCAATAGCTGCTGGCTGGAACTCCTCGTTGTCTATGAATGGTTGGATCTTAGTGATGACAGGATCAGGGATGTTGTCCTGAAAGAAACAATTAGATAACGTTACAACACTACCCAAGAATGCTTCCAGAACTTGTGATTTCCACCAAAGTATCAATGAATACAACTTGTACTAAAATTGAGTTTGTTAACATCCCTTTCAGACCCGCATTTCAGATTCACACCAATGTAAATGATTCCACTTCAACTATGAACATGAACATTTTGATGTTAGAAACGTGGCGCGAAGATAATGAAGAAAACTTCTGTTTTAGTGGTGGGAGGAAAACCCAGACAGATACTTTATGGAAACCCCATGGAATCAAGTAGAGACTGAAAATCCAATCTCCACACGTTTGCCTTGATGGGATTTGAACCCGGTACACAGGATTAGAAGTCACAGAAAATACCCCTGTGCCAGTGTTGAATTCTGATCAATGTAACTTCAGTGGAGGTCAAGAGTCTTGAGACCGTACCTTGTCATATTGAAACAAGCTTTCCAGGAACTTTCCAGGGTCTTGCAGTAAGGCCTTGCCAGGTTCCCAGTAATCATCTACTTTCTTTCCTGGTTGGTCACCGGCGACTTTCTTGGCTTTGACACCACGCATGATGCAGACGGCTTCGACTGTCATACGCACACCTGCTGGAGGCCGCTGCATAGCACGCACCTGGGAGACAAAGGCAAAAAGTGTGGACGTTTAGCAAAATTTTGAAATAAGCAACAGTAGCTGATTCATTCTTGAAAATTAAGGCTGTTTTCAAACACATGTGTCTATGGGAAGTGGCTTCAGTCATTCTCATAGGCCCATGTGTAACTGCAAACCATAGCCACGTTATACAGATGTGGCTAAACCTACCTCTACGACATCATTCCTGTTGAGTGATTTCAGACTAGCGAGGGCAGCATCCAATGCTGGCAGAGCTTCATTCAGGTCTCGCTGAGCACTGTCTGCAATCTCCTGAGTCTCTTTAGCCTTGGCTACAGCTTGTTGCTCCTCCTTCTGCACAATCTCTTTGGTTTCATTGGCCACAATCTAATGAATATTTATGAGGAAGGAACCGTTTAATCATGTAATTAGTATAGACTGGCTGGTCTTAAACACTTTTCCAGTGTCACATGAAATCTGGACTCCTTTGAAATCCGGTACCTTTTACCGTTTTATTGGTTGAACATTCACAGTCCTCACGTAGGCATGCATACTACTACCAGTGACTCAGTCATAATCCTAAATTCACATTACACCAGCACAGCTGCGTTCTGCACCACATCACACAGTATGTGCGACGCGCATGCCAATCTCCATATATGGAGTTGTTTTCCACTTTCTGTGACAGGGAAATTCCATAATATAGCTAGAGGTGGGAATTTATAATTTTTTATTTGTTTCGACTTTTGGACCAAATTTTTTATATTTTTTGACTGACAAGGTATTTATGAATGGGAATAAATACGTGCTTGGCCGGTGTTAAACACTATGTTTAAGACCAGTTGGAGTCTGGATGCTGATTATTACCCGCCAAGACTCCAACCAGTCTTAAACATAGTGTTTAAAACCGGCTAAGCACACATTTATTCCCTTAATAAATTTGAAGAATGAATCATCAATGATGGACTTACAGTATCCTTGGCAATTTTCTCCATGGTAACCACCGTCTCTCTGGATGCCTCCTCCAACATAGGCTGCATTGTCTCCAGCTCTGCTTGCATCTTGGCTACGTCGTCTGCAGTCGCCAAGAGCTATCAGATGGATACAATATCAACATTACCATTTTGGAGAAATAACTTATCATCTTCATCACCATTTTGGAGAAATAACTTACTGACTTGCTTTGGTGAGCTGCTTCTCAAAGACATCAAAGTTGCTCATAATTTTTCAGATTTTTCAGTTATGGACTCGTTGTGGTGAACTACTTTTAAAAGACATCAGACTTGCAAAGATATTCAGAGTTGTAATCTTGTCCATTACAAGTCAATCACTGGTCAAATAAAAAACATGAACAAAAATAAAGTACCGCCTTTGTCACAATTCACTTTGAAATTGTAAGCCAACCTTGTCCAGGCCTGTCTTGGTTCTATTCTTAGCCGTCTTCAACTCCATATTTTTGAGAGTCAGTAGCTTAGCGAAGATGCCCAGGAGCTCTAAGTAGCTGGTAGGGGTGACGTAATTATGACGAGACAGCTCAGCTAGGAACAGGTCTGACTTGACTGCTACTGACTGGTGGATGACCACACACATCTGGATCTATGGGGTTTCAACGGGAGGTACAGATGAGGTTTGAGTGTATTATATTCTTGTTTATCTTGATCTGTTTGATTAGTGATTTGGAGCTTACATCCGTTTCAAACTGACTTTAAGACTTGGTTTTCCCCCAACATTATGAGGAGCTGACATCGACCCAATTAATGGTTTCAGATAGGCAAATGTTACTACTTAATTTCCCATTGACTAGATTCTGTAGTTGATTACAACAGACAGTCTTTGGTAGTAATTTTCAAGCAAATCTTTGGAATAATTTGATTCAGTGAGACTCTAGAACACCAGTTTGAAAAAAGGGTGAAAGTTTTTATAAGGATCTGGAGTTGTGTGTGGAGCATGAATGAAAATCTCAATTGTACGACATTGAGAATATCATTGGGGAGAGAACCGAGATGACTGAAACGGGGTTTGAGAATAAAATTCTGCCAACACTATTCTGGACAAAACATCTGCTTTGTTGTAAAAAAAGAAGAAGACAATTTAAAATTTGAATAATAAATAAATCCCCTATTTCAACCCCTTTGAGAACACAATTTAAATATAAAAATGGGTAATTGTGATTGTGTAATCATAAAAACAAAAGCCTAAACTGGCTTACCAGTCCTTGGATTACTTCGTCCCCTTCATCCAGGTCAGGGATATCATTGAGGAAATACTCAGCAACTGAGCATAGTGCTTCATCTGGCCATTCACTGAACCAGTCTATGGTGCAACAGTTGACTAGAGAGGGGAACTGACGCAAACGGGCACGGAAGATCTCACCTATGGGGCTATAGAAGAAGGGTGAATTTTGGAATTTAGGATATGGACAGAATATATTAACATTATATACTGGAGTTAAGTCAGAAGCCTGTTTTGAAACTAATCAACTTCAAGTGTATAAATTGAAAGGTTTAATGAAGTATAAATAAAGCTGACCAAAACAAATATATCAGGCAGACAGACGCAAAAATGAGATTGGCCAAAACATTTTACTTCCCCAGGAATCTTTTCAACAAGTATCTGGTATCGAAACACAGATCTCCAAAAACAAAAGTTTGTAAGAAGAAAAAAATACAACACAATTATGAAGCTCATGTTAAAGGTGTCTCCCAATCTGATTGCTTCCTGCAAAATGCATGTCATCAGTGACGCAAGGCAGGAACTTAAACATACAAGCATAACAAGTTGTGACCTTTGAACCATCGTTGACCTTACAATGACGTACCTCATGCAGAGTACAGTGTGCGTGTTCTGCTTGACTCTCTTGGTGTAGGCAGAGAATAAGTTAGTCTTGGTAGCCTGCATACCAGCATCCTGCACAATAGGCTTCATGGAGTTATAGATGGTGTCTAACTCATCAACACCATAGATGTTGGGAACGTCACCGGAATTCAAGATGTTGTTGATGTCCTCAAGGAAAGACTCGGCTTTGATCTACGAGTAACAAACGAAAATTGCTTTTATAAAAACACAATTGTTACAAGCTTATGAATTTCCTCAAAATGCAAGATTTTATTCTATGAAATTAAAAACATGATACATTGATTGATAACAAAAATATCAGTATCTTCAAAATCTGAAATGATTTCATCCACTTCTTCACCTGTGTATCACAGAAGAGGAAGACAGTCGGTTTTCCCTCCAGACCAGCAGCCAACATTACTTTCTTGAGATCTTCTCTCCACTCATTCACGCCGTAGTTCTTAGACAACTCAATCTGGAACAGGTCATACTCAGCCCTGGACATTGACAAAGAATAAAATCAATGCTTAAAGTCTCTGGATGTTTTTTAATTAAAAGGTTAAATTAAGAAATTGCGTGGAGCGGGATTTGAACCTGTGACACAAGAACATGTTACCAGTGCTCTACCTATGAGTTATTCCTTCATATGGTGGCAGTTTTCCCAATTAGCCAATGTCTTTATTTTAAATTGGATACAAAACAACATAATACAAACTCTAATGGGTAAATAAGAAAGCCAAAATTAGTACAAAATGAGGTTAACGTTACATGTGAGCAGCTAATCTTGTCAGACTCTGTCGTCCGCTCCCTCCCACACCAAGCAGTAAAGCATTGCCGAGTGGCTGTCTGATGATACGACTGATACGACAAACGTGCTTAGCGGCATCCATGAAGAGAACTAGCTTCATCTGGGCTGTGTTGACTTGATTGTAGTCTTCCAGGTAATCCTTCATGACTTGAACCATCTGAATGCATGAGAAAGAGAAGGAAGAATATTAAGTGAGTCAGAAGAGAACATTTTGCGAAAAGTATGTGGTTATCTGAATTGCAGGGAAAAGAGGATGAATATTTATAAGTAAGAACAGAACAGATGATACTTGATTAAGAAAAGTTTGTAGACACCTTAGTTTCATCCTCAATGTAGGTATACTGTTTATTGTCCACATTAGCCACCATGAAGTCTCCATACATGATGTTACTAGTAGGCAACACCTCCTCAGGTTTAGCACCAAAGACTGACGCCATCTTATCACGCATGAGGGATTCGAACCAATCCCGATCCTGGTTGTTGACTAGACGATCCTGGAAGATACGACAGCTCTCATGGTACCAGAGGCGTAGGAGGTTGTTGAGGTCTTGTATCTTGGCGGGTGTGGCCATTAGGATACCTGAGGGAAGATGTGTTTCAAAATAAGATTAAGCAAGAAACGATGATTTACAAAATTCAACTGCTGTGCAGGAATTCAATTCTTTCTTTTTTTTAATCAAGATATCTTGGTGTTTGTACTGAAGAATACAAGACACAATTTTGAGAATAATTAGAAATATGCATTTACCATTACTGTAACTTAAATGAAAAAGGGACATTATTGACACAATATTCAGCATAATGAAGAAAAAAAACCTAAGGGTACATACAGAAGAAGTCAAGATTGCCAAACCTACCCTGGAAAATCTTGGAGAGATCTCTGAGGTTGAATGTGTAGTGACTCTTGGCTGGTGTGGGCAGGAGCTGGGTGGTGATTGTCTCATACACATCTATGGTGGTGTCAACCACTTTGGCACAGTACTCTGTCAGGGATGGAATTTGGGCTAAAAGGAAGACACAACAAAACGTGATTAATGAATATTAAATTGCTCCTGATTACAGGCTGGTTGTAAGGCACAGCTGAGAAAAGTAAAATGTTTCTTGTGATATCTTACCAAGCCAGCTGTCAAGGATGGTAGCAAAGATCCGATGCTTGCTGCTATGTTCCATCTCACAGAAGGACAGTAAGTTGAAGTGTCTCATCAACCTGGATGTGACTGGGTTACGACCTCCACCAGGTGGGCCCATGGCACAGACGAAGTTGATGTCTACTAGCTCACGGAATGCACCTGTTCATAAATCATAATTGAATATTTGAGATAATTTACCGATTAAATACTGAAGGAAAAAAACTTTTGCGAGAATACACGTCTAAAGCCAAAATCTTTACCAAAGCAGCATGGATCGTTGCCTCTTTTTCTCTGGACTCTAAAAATGTGTTTAAGCGTGGAAAATATAGGTTTATAGGTCTGAAATAGCATTCCCGATTTTAGAAAAATAACAGACTGAGCATTTCACATACCAATTTGTTTTCTGTCGTACCATCCTTTATGGTCCATCCATTGTCTGATCAGCTCAATAGGGGGCTGGGCTCCGTATACCTCTAGGCCGGGCATATTCAAGTCATCAATGAAGAAGATGATGTACTTGCCAAGAGGAGGGCCAAATACACCTTTACGTCTGAAAAAAACAAAACATCATTATCAGCAGGGGCCAATTGGATGGAGTTGTTCGGCACAGAAATTTTGTAAGCATGGAGAATATTTACTTAGCAGAAACAGGTTACCAACCAAAATACCAAGGAGTGTGTATTGCTTGAGGCTAGTTCCCAGCTAAGTGATGTTTAGCCCATGACTTTGCTAAGCAATATTTTGGCTTAGCAGCGCCATGAAATTGAACCCAGTAGGATTCACTGAATATGCTAAGTGCTATAGCCATGTAATAAAGTAATTTTAGCAATCAGTGTAGCAATCCCCTCCCAACAACACAGCCCAATTTCACTATTTGGCAAGGAATTTTTGCTAGTGCAGATGTGTAGAGAATGGTGTTTGTAAGTACAGGGTACAGGCTTATACCTCTTGTCCAGTTTGCTGTCCAGTAGGTCCTGGGTTTGGTTGGCACTCGTCCGAGCTGAGAAACTGATGAAGTTGGAGATGTAATCCTTAGGCATGCTCTTCAGAAGTTTGTCAGAGATAGTCAGGGTCTTGCCTGTACCTGTGTCTCCTACAGTCAGGACCTGTGCAAAAAAGAATTTGAAGTTACTTTTTTTCTAGTTTGTTACCGATAATTTTGGGTGACTCTCAAGAGGATTTCTCAACGAAATTCTTCTTTTGTTTAAATACTAGAAATGAACATTTAATTTTAATGATTCATTTCGGTGGAAAGTGGAGCTGGTTATTAAATTACTTTCAAATTACTTTGTAAAATGAAATGTTTGTATTCATTTTTGATTATCCCTAACTGAATGCAGCAAGCATAAACAGTATTCAGATTATTAAACTCAGCTTCTTACTTTTATGAAAAAACGTTTAAGGTCTGAAAATTTAAGGTCTGAAAAGTCTAATAAATCAACATTTGGTCTTACCCGTTTCTTGTTTGTGAGCAGCATTTCCAGTAGGTGTGCCCCACGTACTGTATCCGGTGTCGGCACAATGATGTCAGAGTAACGCATTTCTTGGCTAATCTTACACTCACTCACACCATGCATCCAGTCCAACCAGCGTACCTACAAAGTCAAGCAAAGTTTAACAACTGGTTGAAAACACTGAGGGAAGCCCGTTATCAAGAAGGTTAATGCCAAAAATCAAATAATATTTGAAATTGTATAAACAAACACTATCATTGTATGATAAACTCAAACCATAAAGATGATGAACATTTTTGAATGCATCGTAAACAGGGAAATGGAATAATTATCAAATTCTGAGGCTGAAGCCAACACATGAACAAACAGAATGAACAACAAAATGTTAGTGTAAAATGAATAGGAGTGAGGACTGAATCAACATCAACATTAAAAGTTCATGTACTGTAACATACTTAACAACATTTAACACTAAAAACAAAACATTCGCATGAAACAGAAATAAGATGCTAAAATAGAAAAAAATCTGCAAATAAAAAAAATGGGAACCTTGAATTAAAACCAAGAAATTGATCAAAAGTCAATTTAACAACATGCAAAAATGTTAATGAACGTAAACTGCAAATAAACAACTTTTAAAAACTTTTGTTGTGAAAACAAGACTTTAATTTAACTGGTTTGACTTTCATTCTACCCTAACCTCTGAAAACACCTCAATGGATGCTGCTGTTTGTGAGCCTGAGCTTAGTAATGCCTGAAAAGGAAAAGGTGATCACATATGGACATCATGCTTAGAAAACATTACCACAAATTGTGAAAATAACCTAACCCTAGCAAAATCCAACTGTTAAATACATAAAGAACAAGCATGTCATATCCGCAAGTAAGTCCTAGTTTACTGGTAAAATTATGGTAAACTTCATTATGGTTAAATGAATAAAATAACGACTTTGCCCTGAAAGTTTCGTTTAAATTTTTTAAAAGGACCAAAGTTGTATTGCAGTCCTAAGCTGATTTTAAAGATTTGTTTGCTTACTATAAATTAAGCCTATAGCCTATCAAAATCATGAGATTCGTTCTAACAGAATTATTTCTCGCTCAAACTCAGTAATTTGCATGGATACACCTGCTCATTTCAGAAAGAATTCAAGATGGATACCAACCTCCTTGTGTTTTCCTGCATCTTCTTCTTCCTCATCATCCTTAGATGGACGCTTGCTGATGCCTCCATCATCCAGTTTGTAGTCATATACTAAGTTGTCTGATGGGAATGGAAGAGCAATCTACAAACGAGATCAATACACACATGTCAAAATATAACAGCTTCTGATAATCACTTTAACAAAAATTTGGATGAAGTATTAGTATTCAAAGTACACAACGTAACTTTTGGAACATAATGTATTAAAACTGTAGTATAATCAAGTAGTAATTTTGCAATTTAGTATATCAAAATGTGTACATGTATTCTTTGTGACGGGGGTAGGCCCTCAACAAGCTTCAACTTAAGGCCTGAACCCTGTCCCCATACTAAAATTTTAAGTTCTACAATGTTTACTTGTATCTTGCACTGGCTTAATAATAGTAAGTATTATACTTGAGACTTGTGTTGACACTACTCACATTTTCTTTCTGCATCTTTTCCCGAAGGAATTGACTGAACTTTCGTCGTCCGTCCATGTCCACTGTCCCTCCAACAGTCCAGATGAGAGAGAAGATGAACCATGACTCAATGAGTTCTGCTACTCGCTCAAGACGCTCCTCTGAGATGGGTGGATCACCCTAAGCAATAACGGTAACAAATCACATGAGATGGGGTACAGTGTACAGTTGTTTCAAACAAGTTCCTTTTTGGCAATTAGGATTTTGAGGGCAAGTTTTTGAAAACATCTTAAGGCAGTTTGTTCCAAATTGGGGAATTTGTTTTTAAAGTCTATCAAAAGGATGTGGAATTCAAGTCAGTTCAAGGCAAAGAAGGGGAAGAAGAGAGCCCTGGGGTGAAGTATAGTGCTACTTGACAGCCATGAACCCAGCATTGGAGACTCTCAATCTCAAGGCAATTAATCAAGTTATGGGGTTGTGAAAAATACAGAGTAGAACCTTATATCAGTTCTGTAAATTCCAAACAACAGCTTGACGTTTTCAACGGCTTGGGAATAAAACATTAGACACACAGCATTCTGATGGTTATTGTAAAGAGTGTGAGGGTTTTGTAGGTTGCTGTATCCTTCAATGTAATGGCACTGGTGCTGTTGGTTGATCAGGATTTTGCTGTTCCTGACACTAATGTCAAAATCACTAAATGAATCGTCTTTCCTGTGTTATGTAAATGTGTTGAACATTATCACAAAAAGCAAAACCAAAAATTTAAAACATTAGTTAAAACATGATGGGCAAAGTGTTTATTACAATAATTTTCACTGCATGCACCCATAAAAAAGGACACATCAACCTAAATGTGCTGGGAAATTTGAGCCTCTCGATGTCTTCTGTAAAAATGTACAATTATTTACTTGCATTAGATTTAATGGGGGAGAAAAAAAAGAGTTATTAGCAAAAGTTAGTCACAGTACACTCAAAAAAAGATAAACACTTACAGCCTAAGCAGTGGCATCAACAAGGTGCAAAATGGGCAAAGCATAAAATGCATAAGTTAAAAGCAAGTGAGCAAAAAAAATGAAAATTTTCTGGTATCAAACAAAAGCAAATAAACAAAATAAATCAACAGTTGCAATGTGCATAAACAAATTGTAACTGCACCTGAATCTAAACATCAGAAATCTCATTCAAATAATCCAGTAAGTTGCAAAGACATTTTTGATTCAAATTGAGTGAAGCAAAGAGATAAAAATATGGATCCCTGGTGTCTTGTGCCCTCATATGACACGTATTTCCATTCCATTATGGCAAGATTTATTCCACCCTATAAATCAATGCATCTTTCCACCTTATCACACAGTACCTGTAGTAATTGGGACTGTACTATTTACCTCTTTAGGGATGAACGGAGCGAAGAAGCAGTCCATCAGCTTGAGCATACTGAGGGTGAGATTACTGTCCATGGTTGCTACAATCTCCTTACAGTTGCTGCGGATAAACTCTATGGATTCCTGAGCAATAGAAAAAAGGGGGACATTTTGAAAAACCTATGGCACTGCTTTGAGGCCTTGCACGGTGGAGTATTGTTTGAATTGCAGTGATTTTCTCAAAAGAAGATACAGCAGTCACTATAAAGAACCAAGTCTGTTCTGCACTACTGAGGCTTATAGCAATGCTTGATTCCAAAATCTCTTGAGTCAGCACTGTCGTAGCATCCATCCTTGAGCATCCACTCAACAGTTCTCCTAAATATGTCCTCCTGAAGACTGTACTAGCACACTTAAACACTGTGTTGTGGTTCATCGTTACTCAAATCACAAGTCCAGTCACAAGTAACAGGGGATGAACAATTACGGCAGAATGCCTTCGTCATAGTTCACACGAATAGTTTTTACTTGACTTGGGTCTGGATGACTTGTGATTGACTTGTGATTGACTTGTGAAGTTTTGTGATGGACTTGACTAGAACACTGCCTGTGCAAGCATCGGGTCCATTTCAGAAACTCCTTCGTACCAATCCAAGGCTCAAATAGTTATCTCACCTTCAGAAAGCGGTCAAAGAGTGACTGAAGCTGCTCCTTGTAAGGATAGATGTTCTCTGGGATGCGCTTCAACCAGCAGGTGACAAACGGATCCAAGCCCAGGATGCTAGGCTCTAGGTAGACCATACCGCAGCGACTAACGGTAGCTGGGGAAGCTACAGCTAGATCAGCTACCTCAAAGATCATCCTCATGTACTGGAGTGGGAGTGACAAGAAAACAGGACAAAATTATTGATATGGGATAGGACTGCTTTCTCCTTCCAAATTCTGCTTGAAAGTAACCTGAGGTCTTTCCATATACCATGCTTATGGTAATTTTTCTCAAATGATCATGTTTAGTTTTCCTACCTCTGTAAGCTTAATGATCTCTCCACTGCTCAGACACAACTTCTTGTTATCATCCAGCACAGTGTTCATATTCTCAATCCATACGGCATCCACAGGTCCATCAAAGACGTACCAACGATTGTCTAATTCCATGGAGGAGGAGCCAATTCGAATTAAGGAGGATAGGATGCCATCCGTCCTGTCAAAAAGGAAGCAAAAAGTTTGATCTTTCATGTCTTGTCACAACTAATTGTTTCAAATGTTGAACTTCATTCTAACCTTCAGAATATACTCTTGCATGACTCTGACATGTCTGTCTGGAGCAGGTTTATGGTCACAACTGCAGACATAAAACAAGAGCACATCTACTTACCATTCATGAGTCAGTAGATCAAACTCTCCGTACAGCTGACCCATAGTGATGGATTTAGGGTTGAGCACATAGGTGATAATATTCTCATAGGTTCCTCCACCAACTGCTTCCTGGCCCTTCAGTGAGGTTAGTGCTCTCTTCAAGACTTCATAACACTGAAATGGATAAGAAAGAGAAGTCATAGGTTATGGCTAGTAGTAACACACAAGTGTGGATAGTGGCTTCAGCTGTTTGCATAAAGGCATGTGTAAATGCAAGCCCCAGCCAATTTATTCAGACAAAGCCAAGATTTTCTGACTCTTTTTCTATACATTCAATCTGGAGCCGATGCGATTGTAAAATATATGAAAATGAAATGCTGATCCAAAGAGAATTTTAGAAGGTTTTAAGGAAAACAATATGAGGCCCACTCCCCTAACAGTCATGAATCCTCCAATATAAATATGTTTTTTCCCACACACCCTATGGAGTTTAGGCTACAAATTTAAAGGCAGAATGACAAAAAGCAGATTTTAAAAGAAACAAAAGACTTTTTAGGTTGGGTGAATTCATTTTTGTTCCCGACTCACCACAGTCTTTCCTGATCCAGCAGGTCCAACAATCATCAAGCCGTGTCTAACCACTGTAGTCTCATACAACTGGATGCATTTGCCAATGAATCCATCTACATCTTTGAGGCCTAGCTTGCCACACATGGTACGGATGGACTGCTCTAGAGTGCCATAGTCTATGGGCTCCTCCCTGCAAAGAGAAAAGGAAACCACAGTATATATGAGAACTGTGTGGAGGAGGCCTGGTGGTTAGGGTTTGTGGCTTGTGATCAGAGGGTCAGGGTTCAAAATCCAGCTGCTGGCCATTTGCTGTGTCCTTGGGCAAGCCAATTTACCTTCACTTGCCTCTCTCCACATCATCCAGGATAATAAATGGGTACCAGTATTAGCTGGTAAATTATCTACGATGGACTGAGTCAGAGTGAAACAGCCAGGATAAAACTAGCCAGGATGTTAGCGCAATAACTTACTTGATCTTGGGGAAGAGATCAGACACAATGCCATTGAACAGCTTCAGATCATCCTGCAAGAACTTGGGAACGTTGACATCTCGGATTGCACGGAGTACAATCAGTTCCTGAAAACAAATGCGCAAACAATCTTCTTTATCCACGCTTTACGCTGGTGCTTAATCATGAATTCCTAGAAGAGTAACTTTCTGAATCCATGGATTTCCCCAGAACATGTCTGCTGTTTCCCCCATCTCTAAACATTCGTTCTCTGTTTTCTGGCTTTAGGTTTTTTTAGCCTTGTGTACTACAGTGCCATGAGGAATCTTTGGTTTCAACACAAGAAGTTAAATAAAACAATGATGACCTCTCAAAACACTTCCTTCTTACCTCACTCATCTCCGGATTCTCTCGTTTCAAGTTCCCAGCAGCTGAGATAACTGTCTTAACAGCCCTCATGCCGAAGTCATAATGATCCTGTGAGCTGAGCTGTTCTGAAGACAGCTTGAAGGTTGTAGTGATCTTCTTAGATAGGAGTTTGGCATCACTGAAGCCAAAGGAGTAGAGAGAGATCTCAGCAATCATGGCGTAGTCTGGTACCATCATGGCTACCGGACGGAACAAAGCCTGTCAAGAATTGCAAAATTATCAGTATCCTTTTTTAGTTATTTAAGTTTTACAACAACTGGGCTTCATACAATATTTTTTACTGATAACGTCTGTGACAATCATATAACTGTCCTTCCAATCACTGCAAAACATGATACATTACGTTATGAAACCCTGTGTGGATGAGTATGCTATTAAGTTGGACAACTGCTCGGTTGAACCCGATGTAGGCAACAAAAGAACTTAAAGCACGAACAAAACTTCTGAAAGCATAGCTTACCACATCCTGTTAAGGAATAAAATTTCATTTTGTGACGTTTATGGTATTTGTAAAATTGATTTTTGTTCGTATCTTACCTTCAGGTTGTCAGGCAGTTCTGTTCTTCCAGCGTAACCAGGATTCATGGTGATGAAGACAGCACAGGAGATCTTGAGTGCAATCTCCACACCCTCAAACATGAACCTGTCAACCTGAAGCAAAAAGAGGGAAAATTTCATGCTAATTATCACAAACCTTTAACCGGATAAACAAAATTTACTGCCTCGAATCATGCTTACTTTGTGTGTTCCAGAGACAATAAATATTTCTTAAGTTTCTTCCCTTTTGCTGCTTCACTGAGGAACTCCTTGCAAGAAATTTGTTTTCCCACATCTTTTAATTCATCTCAGTTCAACCAAAATGTCAAAAGTTCACTTCTTCTTTTTAAATGCAATTTTTTTTGTAGCAGCCACCTCAATTAGCCATGTTTTCATTGCAAAATATAAATAAATAAAAAATACCACATATTTTCCTTGTACTTACTTTCTGCTGTTGTGCTTTCTGGATGGTGCTAATCTGCTGAGCAACTACAGACAACACTTCAATGTCGATGCGATTGAACTCATCAAAGCATGCCCAGGCACCGGAGCTGGCTAGACCCTTCAAGAATTTACCCATGGCCATGAAGTCTAGCTGGTCAGAACAGTTGAAGACCACTGTCTGGATGGCCAAGGCCTTGCCAAGATCCTGGTGGATGGAAAAGAGGATAACAGTAATAGAGTGGATTGAATAGAATATATTAGAATTGGTAGACTTTGATAGAATCTGAAAGAATTTGATAGGTGGGGGATTGGTAGGACTGGATTCCCTTTCACTACAATGACCCTATAATTAAACCGTACATTACAATATACAATATATACACACAGTCCGTAAAATCCTCAAATTACAAGAAAAACACTAGCCTTTTTGAAGTATGGCAGACACAATAAAACTTTTGTATTTACTCAAATTTGTGCATTTCACATGTTGTTTTCAATGTCAAGTTTTTATTAATTCTTTGCATAATGTTGGCAGATTCTTGGTGAGATTTTTTGTGATTGACTCAATTAACCATTACCAAGTCATTTCGAAAGGAATGAACTTTTAGAAATTTCAGACAATGACATTGTTACATTACCTTTGTAGTTTCAGTTTTGCCAGTACCTGCAGGTCCAGCTGGCGCCCCACCAAACTTGAGATGCAGGGCACCGGTGAGGGTGAGATAACAACGATCAGTCAATGGAGTAATGACGAGTCGGCCAGAGTTACCCAGATACTCATAACCATAGGGGAATTCAGCGTTGACTGCACGCACGTACATGTTATCATTCACAAAGTAATACCTGAAAAAAACAAATTGTTGGAAATTGTCAATTGGTATGGACAAATCATACAGTTAACTGATGTAATTTACTATGTACTTTTATCTTATCACCGTTGTCGTTCACAAAGTAATCCCTGACAGATTGAGAGATGTGCTTCAATTTTTAGATCTTCATTGGAGAAAGCAAACAGTGGAATTGAATGGACCCTTCCAGGCTGTCTATCAGACAATGCCAACTAACCAATCGGATAATGACTTTTGATCAGGTGACCACGGTAGCTTTGTCAAATTATATTTAACAGCACAATGACAAATGTACACACACACCCCAAAGGTGGCTATGACTTATGACCAAATTATGAAGTCTATTACTGATTTTAGAGACACTTGGCAACCTTACCTAAGCTGGCTGATCCACTCAAAGTCGTTGATATTGGCCACTTTCTCCTCACACATCTTGGCTACCACATCCTGGGCGTGGACTTCAATCACGATGAGGGCGGATAGGATCATGCGGCCAATCTTACTCAGATCACCTCGCACTAATTGAACCAAGTCTGCAATCTGTGGAGTCAGAGCAACAGCACATAATTCATTGGAACATGAAAAAAGCCCAGTTAATATCCATTAGCTTACACGATAGTTTCAGTTCTAAAATGGTGTAACATTAGTTTGTCAGGTATGATGTAGTTCTAAAGGAGACCAAGAGTTTAAACATTTTTCTGCATATCAAACAGTTGTTTGAATTCCAGGGAAATTTGTTTTTACCTGGAATATCTCGACAAAGGGACTAATAGGGTAAAACAGAAAGCTGAAGCTGCTTGATACCACACAGACGATGGCTACCCTACAGACCTGACCTAAACATAAGGACATGTATTCACCTCACACCTTTCTAGGATTTCAGTTCCTTTCAATAATTCTTGTCCTGTATGTAGTAGTGCATGTTAATAGCCCAAATATCCAACTTAAAATTTGACCTCTTGTTAGAGTTCATCAAGGCAAGGTGTCGCCCGAACTCAATGGCAAGTTTTTGACTCTATATGTGATACTGAGACATTGACTAACCTGTTGCTTGAGTACCTCCAGGAATGGCACCAGTCTGTCTTCTTGGATTGCCTCCTCTACCATCTTGGTCCAGAATGTCTGACAGCCGGCAATGACCACCTGACCAGGCCACTGTAAAACCCACTCAGTACGAGGGGTCTAGCCCAAGAAACAAAATTGGAGGGAGGTTAGAAACATTACTAATCCATGAACCACATTCAGGTACCAATTCCCTCAACTTGTGTCCTTGGGCAAGACACTTTACTTTGATTATTCCTGTCCTCATCATGATCATCATTAGCTTATGGGTCCAAGTTGTGGTACAGTTTATAAGTATTGAAGTTTAATTTGGATACGAGGAAATTGTTTGTTTTTTTCAAAGTGTTTTAAGATTTTTTTAAATATCTGAAAATCAAGTCCTTATAAAACTTGTAACCTTGTAAGCCCGAGTCTTTTTCTCCTTATCCCATTGAAAAATTGCTTTTTTGTGGTTGAAATAATTGTTTTCAAAAGAACACATGTAGCAACAGCTACAGCTACCACAACAGAAACTTCAAACAGACTGGTATATCATACCTCTGGATATTTGATGAGAGACTCTCCTAGAATCTTCCTGATGCTTTCCATCATGACACGTTCTACCTCCAGCAGCCAATCTTCCACGTTCCCCTTGGGATAGAGGGGCTGGGACAGGGGCACTACCTCCCCCTCTGCTGAGAACATCTTGGTGATCAGGAGGTCATCTTCAAATTGCAGCTGTGTGAGAGAAAATCAGAGAATTCAATCTTAATCGCTTGTGAAACTCTAGTTTACATTTAGTTTTAATGACAGGAATTTGCAGCATCTACACTTAAAGAGAGTTCCTTTTGGGGGTAGGTTTCTTACATTCTCCAAAGAATGCATTCTCCGACCCACCATTATGATGTAAAATTTAATGATACATTTTTTTGAAATTGAAAGGAAAAGTATCTAAAAGAATAAACAGAGTTGCCACAATTTGACACAAAGTCCCGATAATATACATTGGATTGCTCTTGTACAAAAAGTATCTGGATCAATACAATGGTTTATGTTCTCTCTTTGTTTTGTGTCAATTAATACAACCAATCCAACATTAAAGATTTTTAATGGTTTAGAATTCAGTTGGAAAAGAATTTGAAAACATTAAAGCTTTATAGCTTGTCTATACTTCCCAGATTATTTGAAGATGATATGATTTATACTAACAGTTAACAAAGGGAAAGAGCATTGATTTACCCTAGCAATGTTCTCAAAGCATTTTCTGAGATGAGGCTGGACAGCTGTCGGATCCTTGGTCTGTGACAGAATCTCCAGGAGTTCATCATCTGACAGGAAGTAGAATCGAGGGAAGGAAGCCCGCTTGGTCTCAAGATACTCGCTAAGACCCTTCTGGACTTGATCTAAGAGCTTGTTGCACTCCTTGAGGTTCTCAAGGAGGCGGGCATCAGGACACAAGGAGATAACCTGAACAGGAGGAGAAAAAAAGAGGAAAACAAGATCATCAAGGTCCTAGTAAACTGATTTTATGTCCAAACAAATATTATCTATAACTATGCACATAGCAAGTTAACAAGGAAGAATGAATGCATTGTTAAAATCTGAAAAGATATCTAGAAAAAATACACTTTTTACTGTTAAGTAATTAAAGATTTCTGAGTGATACAAATGAATATTTCATGAACCTGTGGATTGTCCTTAGCGTTCTTCATGATACGACGCCACATTCTGTCCATAGTCTGGTACCGTTTGCCTTCTACCGGCAGCTGCCTGTTGATATCATCTGAGCTGAAGATGGGTTCCAGATACAGCCATGACCTTTGACACACGAGCCACTCATCGAGTACATCCTAACAATAAAATGGGTCAGAACCAAGAAGTCTCAAATTGTGACCGTTTCTCAAAACATTACAAATTTCTTAAATCAGGTGACAATTTTCATATTTTTCCATTAAATAAAGTCAAATCGTAACCAGTATTATCTGGATCCATTAAATCTGAAAAAAATAATAAAGATAAACAAGAACGTTTCCCCTCTTTATATGTTTAAAGATCTACAAAATCTGGACCTAAAATTCTAAACAAACAAAGTTAAACTAGTAAGGCAACAGTGACTACTGAGCTAAATTGTGAGTACATTTTAAATAGAAAAGAATGAAGGCACAACATATTTAGAAATATTGTCAATCATTTGAAAATTTCAAGAAAGTAGAAATTCAGGAATACGCCATACCTGTGTCATGCGTAGCTTGCCTTCCCATGTACTAATCCGCTCCTCAAATGGTTTCTTGTAAGGTGAGAAGGACATACTCTGTGTCATGACGATATGATCATCCAGTAACTGTGTACACTCGTCAGATCCCTTCATGATGTAGGTACCAGTATCCTTGTAAGACATGATCTCAAAGACAACTGGCTTCCATTCACCTTCCATCTTGTCCAGGGCCTACAGGGGTGAAACAATTACAATAGAATGACAAACATCTCGGGAACAAGGAAAAAGGGTTAGGGTTGACCCTTTACACACTGAACAGAAAACACCAAAGAATTTGGGCTAGTGAAGTGAATTACCAACCATTTGCTATTACCGTCTAAAAGTTTCAGAGTCGTCAACTTTTCTCTCAGTAATTTGTTTCAGATGTTGTTAAGGTGGGACCTCACAAGCAATTGAGATATTTTTCTGTGAGCTTGTACTAATAAAGCACACAGATTTACTAAAATGGGCCCTAAAGTCCCTAACAAGATTTGACTCCTGCTAATCTGATGCATTCTTAATCAACATCTCAGCTGCTTGGGTATACACAGTTGGAGAAGTAAAGACATTGTACCCTAGATAGCCATTAATCAGGGTTATTATAGTACTAAGTACAAAACAAACAGTCTTCCTGAGAAAATGTAAAGACCCATCTAAATAACTTATATTTGATTATGCATGTTGATTTGATTACATTAGTTGGAACAGGGTGGACCACATGAAGGTTGCAATCTCCCACCCCACCCATCTAAACAATTGTACCTGTTCAATGGAGTATTCCTTGCCAGCAATCTCAGCCACCTTGGAGATCTTCTCAATATGATCCTGCAGCTTCATCTCCAGACACTTGCTGAAGGTTAACGAGGCCTTGGGTACAACGGTGAAACCTAGTTCCTTAGACAGGATCTCCCAATGACGGCTACGCATGCCGGGGTTACGGAGACCTTGGATTAGTGGGATGTAAGGCCGGAAATCCTCCACCCAACGGCGGATCTCCTGGGCTACTAACTGGACACCTGTCGTCAATTAATTAGATAAAGAAAATATGAGTGCATATTAGTGCATATGTTGGGGTAGAAAGCAGCATTTGTATTGGTTAATGGAGGTCACATAGCACGCTTCCACTTTGTAAACGACATCATTTCATTTACAAATAACATCAAAAGTCCACAAAATTCCAAAATCTGAATTTGCAGCAGTTTGATAGATTCAGCGAAGAATATCTTTCTCGAGCTTTACTCCTACTTCTAAACCTGAAAATGTCCTCATTGTCTAATTCCCTCTCCATTCCTTCAGGCTTCTGAGATACAGTGCCTTATTCACACTTTAATAAATTCTTGGTTTCAAAACCAGAAAGAATAAAATAAACTTAACACATCTTACCGGGAATGTCCTTGAAGATCTTGACACATTTGTGCATAGTCTTGAAGGCGTCACTGACTTGTTTCTCACACTGCTCAGCATCAATGGTTGTGAGTGGATCAGTCATCCAACTCTCATGCCATTTCAGCCAATCAGAGGTGGTGATCCATAGATTCTTGAAGGGTTCAAAGTCTCTCACCAACTTGCTGAGTTTGTCATACTGAAACAAATCAAGAAATGAAACTGAGTACAGTTTACAGGCTTAGGCCAAGTAAGAATCTCCTATCTAGAGCTAAGTCTAGGTCTTACAACGTTATGGGAACATGCTGACATAAGATGCAGCCCCAACTCAGGAGGCCCATTTTTAGACATGGCTTTGGCTTTCTTCCACAGATCACTATAGAGGATGATTAGAAATTTAGAGAGATTATTGCTTACGTTTGTGATAGGCATCTCAAACAGCCTCTCTCTGTTGTTGTACATAGCAGCTAGCTGTTGGCATTCCTTCATCTGTTTGTTGACACGTCTCACTTCGTTAGCCACCTCATGAGCTTTGTTGATGTCAGTGTGGGCAGCGAAACCAGCAACTACCATCTGTAAGGATAAATAAATTATGCCAATGAGTTAAAGGGTCGGTCTCAAAAATCGACAAAAGCTCCCAAACTGGAACACAGGTTTTCCCAGGCTATTCACATTGTTTCGATTAGACCAGGTTGTATCCACAAACAGTACCTAAGCATTCCAAGTTTACAAATGCTCTCTGAATGAGAAACTGCTCATTTGTACTCCTCTCTCTATTTCCTTTGCTTGAAACCCTGACATATGGTTATTTTTAGTCCTGTTGCACAAAAGGTGCCTGGCTATCATTTTGACCTGAAGAGTGAATTGGAAATTTGACCATCAATTGTAGCTGATGAGCTTTAGGTGAATGACTAGCACTCCACAACACTCACCTGCAGAGTATCCAACTTGTCAGTGAAGTTATTCTGATCGGTGACTTGAATCTTCTCAAAGCGTTCATTGTCCTCCTCAAGCTGAGCAAGTGTGGTTTCCATTTGAATCTCAATCTTGTGAGGCCAACCAATGGCATTCCACCTGGATGGAAAAAAATACATACGTTTATTGTAAGGTTTCAATCCGCAAATACATTCAACGTTCAGGTAGAGAGTGCAGTGTGTTCACATTTCCCTTGGCCTACTCACTTGAGATTGAAGTCATCCGTAGACAGGTTATAATAGAACTCCTCAATGAGTTCATAGTCGGTCATAGCCTTATCAATCAGTTCTTGATGTTCCTTCAGTTTGTCAGGGATGGTGGTCATCCATTCCTTCTGCTCAGCCAAGTCTTCAATGCAGTTGGGTCGGTCGTAGAGTTTGCGAGCTATGAACTTGAACTCCTCGCATGCCTGGATTAAGAGGTTTAAAAAAAGACTTAGAATTTTTCTTTCTAATGCTGTAGTTTAATTTGTTGCACAAAGGCAAAGTGTAAGAGAAATGTTTAGGGCCTGCTAATATAGGTGACCTTAGAAGGACTTCTGTGGGTTTTACAAAATGTGTTCAGATTCAAAATCCATCACAAATTTTATTTGTAACTACGTATGTTTTTCTTGAGGGTACAAAAGCATTTTACAAGCAAACTTACTCGCCTCAACTTCAGCAAATGTGAAAATGAATTAGCAGATATGCACTGCATGGAACATGTATATTAGCACAATGAGTCAATAGTCCATCAATCAAAAATAAAAACTACGCCAATCCCAAACATGTCATGCTCAGACTAAAGCCTTGATGAACTCACATCTTCCGCTTGTTTGCGTAGTTTCTGGGCCAGGAGTTCCAGCAGTGCATTGGCCAAGGCCTTACGCTTCTTAGACAAGCCCTGCCTGACGCTCTCTGTGCTGATGTGGAAGGGACCGATGATGTAGGTGCTAGGGATGGTGTTCTCCAACAGCTCCTTCTGAATGAGATGACTCTCAATCTCCTTCTTGACTTCAGCAGCTGTGTGCTCCTTAGAGTCATAGTCCCTGATTGGAATAAGCAAATGCACCAATAAACTTACATTGTATTACATATTACAAGAACTGCTTACAAGTTTGTATTGTGTCTTACCAAATTTTAGCATATTTCACTGAGCCAATTTTTGGCTAGCAACTAAAATGTTACAAGCTAACTTTTTAAAAAGCTGAAGGTCCTGCTTACTTGATGTACTCATTGATGTCCAGGTTCATAAGTTCCAGGAACTGCTCATAAGCTCTAGCGTATGCTTTCATGGGGACCAGTGCTTTGCGGATGGCATCCCTTATGGTGTCTCTGAGCTCCTCCACTCTGGGTTCATGCTCCCCCACGGACTCAAGGAGAGGCGTGTCTGCCCAGAAAATGTCCTCCAGCACATACTATACATCAAGGAAGACAAGCAGCAGTGTTAAGTGAAACATGGAAGGCAAAACTTGAACCAACAACATTTCATTTCCAACTCTATTATTTACTTCTTATTTACTTATGCATTACACCATAGTTTCCCTACCACAGTGGGTTAGAATACCAAAAACAGACTTGGAGAGGACAATTCTACAACACAGAAAGGAAAACACAATAATGGCGGAAAGGAAACTTATACAATTACAAATACTCCATCAACATACCTGATTCAGATAAAATCAAATACAAAGAAGATTGCATGGCAATAAATACAAATAACAGTTTCAACAATGCTTTTGGAATTCATAACACAAATGAGTATTTTGTAAATGCAAGAATGTGGCCTATCAATTGACCTTCTCAAGTTGTGGAACATTCTGTGTGGAAGCGATTCCCTTGTCAAACAGACCCACTAAGGCTGCCTCAAAGTTGTTGAGATTGGTGCTGTAATGACATCCCTCCTTGTCTACCATCAGATCCAGCAGAAATAGGCAGTTCTTCTTGGGCCTGTGAAAAAGAAAGAAACAAAATTCACATGTGTTTCTTTGTAAAAATGTCACAAGTTCTGTAGATTACAGCACCACAAATCTTTTAACCTCATAGACAAACAATGATATATAAAATATTATCATGCGGGGTGGGTTAGGTAAGTGAATAATTTCTGATAGATGAGGGTTCTAAATTAAAGACATATTCCAGACAAACTCACTTTGTTTTTACATTGGGCCTTTTTTTTCAGGCTTTAACCTCATTTTTTTGTTTTCTTTGGGATAAGTGCTTAAAGACATGAGTTTGGGATGAAGTGACAGAACTTTACTTCTTAAGAAATGAAAATACTGTTGAAAGAGGGACATTATTTCAATTTTGTTTATTTCCATTTGGTTGTCCTGACTGACCTGTATTTGACCTTGATGAGATCTTTATCCCATTCCAAGTCAGCAGGGAGAGGCAGGACTGCACAGGCTGCATCCAGGATCATCTGAGTAAAGTTGACTAAAGAGTCTTGCACCAAATACCTCAAGGAATCCTAAACGTCAGTGGTAAAAAGTTCAAGAGAGATGAACGAAGACAGTTCTTTGAAGAGTTACATTTGATAACTCATCTCTTGGAGGAAATGACACAATGAAGTGCAATAAAAATTATTTGGGTTAAAAAATGACAATCTACATTCAATTTGTAATTTGCATATTTACTTCTTTGGCATACATTAATCATTAAATTTTAATCATTATAGCTGAACAGTCCTACTGAAGTCTTGTTTGAAATATCTTTAAAAATCGCTGTACAGTAGGAGTGGTAATTTGTTTTAAATACAACATAACTTTTCTTCAAAATCACACAAGCAAAACGAAAGAAGCAATTTTGTCACTTCTCCACTCAATTTGCAAATATCCATAAATTTTAGAATTGATAAAACTGTTGTTCTATCCAGGCCACTATCTATTCCCACTGACCTGCATACAGAATTTGACCATCTCCATGAACTTCTTGAGTTTAGAGCGTTGATACACCTCCCAGTTGGTCTCATGAAGGTTGAACCATCCCTTGCCCACATCTCGCAGGCTGGTCCGAATGGCTGCACGTAGGGTGCCTATCCAACTGTCCTTCAGGAATAACTGAACCTGTGTGTAAGAGGAAAATATTGTACAATTAATAACTTTATATTTACCCAATTTAACTTAAAATCAGTCAATACTGCTTTTCTACACACTTGATGATTTGCAATACAAAGCCATATCCTCCCAGAGTGATTCCCATTTGCCACGTTTGTAGCATTGCTAATGTTACTAGTAAACTGACATTGAAACTTAATCTAAGTATAATGACAATCAGAAATCAGTATGACGGAGCTGCTAAGCACATTAATTCACAGAACATGATGTTGCTCAGCACATTATAAGCAACAATGCTAAGTGATGCATGCAGCTCATGACAGACGCACTGTTGATTTTCTTCTCTGTTAATGTTTGCCAAGGTCACAACAGTGAAAAGATAATCACAGCATCACATTAGGCCTGCCGAGTTCTGCAAAGACAGCCTCCCTCCATCTACCCTTACTGACCTGTGAGCTAGCCTGGCCCTGTGTCTGCTCAAACTCCTCCAGTCTCATGTGTTTGCTCATCGGAACATGGAACAGTGACATTCCTGACACCTTGTTACATTCCGTCCGGACTTTAGTCATGGCTAGGATGGCCTCTTCTCGTGTAAGCAAGGAGTTGAAGGCAAAGTTGTCATACTGCTCATCAAATGGGTACTCAGGGACATCTGAATAGAAACCTGACAAGGAGCAAATCAGACACAAGATGAAAAAAAAAACAGGTCAATTTGTTGTCAGACATCACCGACAGACTCTCGTTATAGTAATGTTTCACTTTCTATCCAGTGAATTCATTTCCAAGTAATCTAAGACAAAATGTTATGAGAAATCGATATATTTTCGAAACCATTTAATTCCCTTCATCAATGAATTTGGAAATAAAGGGAGACCATACAGGTATTCCATCATTGTTCTCAACGTACCCCTCTCTGGAACTGTCTCAACAACTGGGTCCGGGACGGTGACAAAGGCAAACATGTCTGGTTTGGCCTGGACAATCCGATCAAAGGTGATGCGATTCATGGCTCGGCTGAAATCAATGTTCACTTCTTTTTCCAACGTGTGGATGTAGTCATCCAAACTGCAAAGGGACAAACATAACATTTCAATCCACAATTTCTTCAATTTCAACAAGAAATAAATTCTTCAAGTAAAAATTATTACAAAAAATTAAACCATTTGGAGTAAACACTAAACTTCAATGTGCAAATACAACAATGTTTCAGTCAAGTCTATTCACAATATAGTTACAATGCATGTTCCACAGTTCAGTTGAGTAGATTGTGACATGACGTAAGACATTTGAGGACTTGTGATGGACTTGTTCACAACACTGGAGAACTAACCTCTTATCTTTTGCCAAGGCAGGTGCCCCCTTAGCCCATTCCACCATCCTCTTCAAACTCTCCGGGTCTAGTTCCACGAGCCCTTCCATGGGCATACAATCTATGTACAGGTTGTATCTCAGCAAGGCTTCTGTGCGTTTGCGGGCACGGTGGGCATTGACTACGGCTTGGGCAAAGACGAGAGGATCCTCTGCTGTGAACATGAGCTGGATGCGTGGTACCCAGTACTGGTTGGGTTGTAGGGTGCGGGTACCTAGTGAAGGAAAGGTAAGGGGGTTAATGGGCTCCAGCTGCCTGAGACAAACTTCATGAAACTGCTTATCAGAATTCAGAATTTTGCTTAGCACGGAAAATATCTGCTTAGCACAAATAGATCCAATGTGTTATGGAACGTAACTTGTTTAAGACTGGTTTTAAGCTGATTGTTGTTCAGCACATAACCTTGCTAAGCACCAGTAAGCAGTATTTTTAGCACAGCAGCTCTATGGAATTGGGCCCTGGCACAGCACACATACCATCAGCATTCTTGCCTCCGTTGATTACAACCTTCCCATTCTCATCCAGTATCCTGTTGTTCAAGTCTGTCTTCTGCACCAGATAGAGTTGAGTTTCACTGTCATAGTCCAACATACCAACGTCAAACCACTCATATTCCAGGCTTGGGTCCTTGGGGTCCACTAGTTATAAAATTCAGAGAAAAACATTTTTAGAAAACTGGACATTTACACCACATTTTCATGAAGGCATTATACACACACAAGTGGGTGTGCATTTGGTAAGTTCTGGACACATTATCAAAGGGGATTGAAATGAGTGCAACATTCTTGTATAATATGCACATGAGTCTGGAAATGCCCCAGTAATACAAAAACATCCAGAAATGGCAGACTTGGATTAATCCATGGACTCTGGGCACAAGTATCCCCTCAATGGTTACACAAAGAGAGAGGTAAGCGGGACTTTGAATGCATTACTGCATACACATGACACCCATACATATGATATAGGTTTGTGCACATTCAGATGACAATCAATCTTGACATTTTGTGCCATGCTTATGAATGCAATACTGTACAGACTCCATAGCGGTGATAAGTCCAAACTTACATTTCTCAGGAGAATCCCAAGCTGGTAAGAGAGCTCTACCGGGTACCGGGAGGCGGTGACCATTCTCAACGCCCATATGAAGCCATTCCTGGGGGGTCCGGCAATCAAACTCTGTATCCGTAAAGATATCCAAAGGCAGGAATGTTGGGAAGGGGGCGGGGTCTTCATCCCCATCCATGCCATTCAGCTTGACAGAGATCTTCTCTGTGATATGTTTAGGCATGAGGGCTTCAGTCTGAACTTCCTCCGTGGCTAGTAGATCCTCTAATGTCTGGTTCTGATAATGGCGCTTGCGTCGCTCAATCTCAATCTTACGTGGGCACTGGCCTGGGGCTACAAAGTATGGTAGCTGGACTTTGGGAAGGAAAGACTTCTCTGGGAAATCCTACACAAAAGGACAAAAGGTTAAGCAATTACTGTACAAATTACACCTGTCATTGAGAAATAATTATTTACTTCAACAGCAACATACGAATAGGGCTTCATCTGGGGTATAAACTTCAAAGTTTAAGAAATTAGTTTGTACTACAGACAGTGCAGAGTCAAGAGTAACAGAATTCACCATAAATGTCCCCATGAAAATCCAATAAAAAATCTTCTTTCCGAAGAACATTCAGGTACCAAATTAAAACAAAGATCTGAATTGTTTCTCCATTACTGTGTTTTCCAAACAATAGCACACAAATGCACACGTAACTGATGAATGGACTAAATGATCCAGACATTATCCACACCAATAAATATAGTGATAATAAAAAAAAATAACACCTCGATTTGACAATTCTGCAGTTTCCTACCGATTTTGTCAATATCTCACTGGTGGGTCCATACACTTGTTTACTAAGTTCAGCAGTAGCTTGTTCTGTTCCTTGTGGGCCTTTGAAGGAAGTCACCATAGGAGTGTGTTTTTCTTTGGCTATGTTCCATAACGTGTCTTGCTGTGTCTCAGCACCACTCAAGACATTCTGGAAATGTGAAAAGAGAAATTGGCAAAATTGTTTGATTCACATTATGAAATATAATATTATGAAATATAATACTGTCTTCGATTTGGCAAAGATTCAAATGTATCACTGGAAAAAATTACAAGTTAAGTAAGACTAACAGACTTAATGGTGATATGTCAAACATTAATACTTGTGCTAGTTGTTTAGCATCCTTTTTGCTGTGCACTCCTGTACATTCATGTTTTGCATCATGAAATTATAAACCTGTTTAATACATGCACTCAACATATGAACACTTGCATTTATCCTCCTATATTATGCAAAGTTACTGATGCAATGAAGTCCAAAATCTGTTTCAGGTTCAATTTCATCATTTATAAACTAAAAAGATTAGAGTTTAGTACGAAATGATTTACTATCACTTTGCTAAATCAAGCAGGGTGTTTTGAAGCCTGCAAATTAAGGATCCATACCCCAAGTCTCTGATCAGCATCACCACACAGTATATCCGAGTAGTAACCCCTCTGTTTGATCTCTGGATAATGTGGACGGCCGTTCCTCCTTTGTGGTGGTAGTTGTGTACGATTGGCTGAGAAGGGCCTTCCTCCATCCCGGCTACTCAAAGAATTTCTGGAACTCATCTAGTATGATGCATGCAGAAAAAAATATTATTATTGTTGCAGCATACCGCGGCCACACTAGTGGCGCTAGGCGAGGGGTAGACCCGTGAACATGGCTATGTAGTAAGCTTTGAATAAAGTCACTGAAGCATGGCGTGGCTGGGCGTCTCCTGGGCTGCCTAGCCGGCCTTGTGGCAGTCTTGTGAGTAACTTCAACCAGTCTCCACGTCTCTTTATTGAGTCCCTGTACTGCGTGCTGAGCTACCCACCCAAGACTCAACCGCCGTGCACCCCGCACTGAGGTAATAAGGTGCCAATACAACAGCTATATACATAGCCACACTTCAGTCTATAGTAAAAACACTCTATTCGGATCCGCGGTTACTAAGATGGAGTGACCGTTCTAGCCGAATTTCGGCTACATTTGACAGAATATTTGCATACAAAAATGAGGTAGGCCTATACAGAAAATCAGCAAAAGTTTTTTCGGCAGAACTATGAAGATGAAGGAAAATGAAAAAGATAAGAGAAATATAGCACATTTGGTTTGAAAAACCTTCATTTTTAGAAAGATCCCTGAAACAAACCCTTGCACGATATATATATAGGCCTACTGGGTGATTTGGCAGACTTTCGAAGTGGATTTAGCAGAATTTTATATGGTATTACGCTCATCCTGCCATGTACGACGGTTAGTCGTGTACCCACTGGTGATACTCCTACCATTTTGAGCATGCGGAACTCAGGGGTACCTGGTCATTCCTGTCTTTGATTTTCTGATCATTTTGAAAACATTCATTGTGACAAATTTCCGGGCAATGACAGATCCAACACTCACGGAAATTCACAGGAATCCCAACAAGTAAGTGATCCGCCTATATGGGCAAAATTATACATGGTTATATGTAGCGGATCAAAAGATAGAATGCTTTCGCTTGTATTTACCTGAGGGAAGCATGTGGCGTTGTATACAACGCAAAGTTGACTTCACGGGTCTAGGCGAGGGGGCGAATCGGCTAGGGGTGAGTCGTGCAGCCAGGGGGCAAGCTTGTAAGGGGTGAGTCTGTCAGGGGGCGAGTCGGTCAGGGGCGAGTCGGTAAGAGGCGGGCGGCAAGGGGCGAGTTGACGTGCAATCATTACATGCATTAAGTACCAAACTAGTTAAGCGCTTGCTTGATCTGGAAACCCTTTGGTTTGCTTACCTTTTATCCTGTCAAAATTCAAGTTCTTCTTGCACCGGCTAAAGTAACAAAATTAACATGCCTAACCTCATTCACCAAAGTCTTTGTCTTTTTCTTAAAATACTTGCTGCTGTTTTCAAAATTTGATAAGTTAATCCTCAGTCTGCAGAGAATGTCAATTTCCCTAATTGTCCTCGGCAAAATTGTCCCACTTCTTTCATGTCTTTTGGTCTCGCCAATTAATTAATTTGTGCACTAGCTAACCTATGCGTTGCACGTTGCTAGGCGAATATGGACACTGGTAGTCTGTTATGAGAAATTTAGCCTTCTAATGCGCGTAAGCTACCGATTACCAGGGGGAGGGAGTTATAATGTTGACCTGTTAAAAGAGGGCGCTCGTCACAATATATGCACGCGCTTTCAAGTTGTGCAGCATGCATAATGTACAAACACAATTTAGTTTTTTCTTTATTTTACTTTTTGATAATTTCTTCAATATGAGAATGGGACCGGGGGCACGAAACCACTTCATTTAATATACAATAAGCCATGTTAACATTGACGACAATTGCCCGAGTTTCTTCGGTTAGTTCATCCATAGAGCGATATCAGGACAATTATGATAATTAGAACTTATTCCTGTTTCTTTGTTTTGGGGTTGTTTGTGGGATTATTGGGGTGTTTGTTATGTTTGTTTTGTATGATGATGTACGTGTTGGATTATTTTGAGAGCCCAAATTGTTGTTTCTACAGATTCTATTTATTTATTTTATCTTAAATCTACCACTTAACAGTATATTAATTGACAATCATCATGATCTTGAGAATGATTGTCTGTCGCCTCGCTTTCTCTGTCGCACTGAAAAATTGCCTGGGTTGATTTAAACAAAGAAAGGGTGAAAACTGGAACTACCCAAACTTGGGTTGTTCTATAACCAATTGTTTGGGTTATAATTTCTGCTAAATTCAACCAAAACTTGTGGTCATATAAGACCAAATTTAATTTTGTCTTGTATGACTACACATTTGGGTTGAATTTAACATAAATTATAACCCAAACAATTGGTTATAGAACAACCCAAGTTTGGGTAGTTCCAATTTTCACCCCATCTTTGGTAAAATCAACCCAGGCAATTGTTTCAGTGCGTGTGAGAGTTCTAAACGACAATACGGTGGGCGAGGCTCGTGGATCTAACTATATAGGCCTATAGCACGTGGAAGAGCTATGATGTCTTCGTGACGAACAACATCCATCGCATCTTCATCCGACTTATTCAAGATGCACAAGTGGTTGTCTTCCATCTTCCCTCATTCTGTTCAATTCCTCCGGACACTGCCTGTCAGTGAGAACTCTTCCCTCCAACCTTCAATACACAATCCACCTCCTCCGACAAGACTTCACACAATCTTTACCGCCTTCTGAATCTCACACGGCCCAGTATACTGACTGGCATGCCGAAGCCATCTCTCCTACACGCAACATACGTGGAAAGAGAAGGGGATGTTCAATTCCGTCTTCTTCACAACCTTTCTGCCCAACCGTACCTATGCTCTCAACCACATCAATCCCGATATTATATCCCAAGTGTGTGGATGGTGTGAAGACATTAGGGGCATGGCACCACTACTCATCTGTTCATCGAGTGCCCCGCATCCAACCGGCTCTTATACCTCCTGTCTACCCTTCTCATGTGACTCTTCCCCGATCTCCATCAAGATTTCGAAATTTTCTGGTGTTTGATTCCGCATGGCATCTCGAATTTATTTATGATACTCCCGACATTCGTTTCCGGATTCTCTCCTTGTGTGTGGAAACATCGTATAAGAGCAAAATTCTCGTACAGACTTCCACTACTCTCTATTTTCGCACAACTTCTCGCTCTTCAAACAAAATGGGATCATTCTAACACTCTGTTTACTTTTGTTAATGACCGAGTTGGTTGGCTTATTTGATTGCTTTTAGTTCAAAATGGATCCAATGATATTTGTAGTCAATATATACTTTTCTCGCCCATTGTTGCTATCGTCTATCTTCGTCATCAGGCAGCTGGAGACATGGTGTCACCACTACATCCAGTCGGGGATGGCGATGAGTCGATGACTCAACAAACCGTGAGACCTTGTTTTCCTTTAATTGATGTTCTCTTGACTTATAAGCAAGTTCTTTAACTTATAAGCAAGTTCTTTAATGTTAAGTTATTGTTATCTGTCTTTTGAACCATTATGACCTTATTTTTTTATGTTTGTTCCTTGTGTATGTAATTTAAGTTTTAATCCACTTGAACCATGTTTCTTTTGAAATGAATGTGTTTTTCTGATTTCGTTTGAAATACAGGTTCAATTGAAAAGTGATGAAGTGTTTGTTGGGGTGTTGGGTTGTTTGTTGGGGTATTTGGCTTTTTTTGTTGGGGTGTTTGTTTGTTGGGGTGTTTGCTTGTTTGTTTGAGGGGAGTGTTTTTTTTTTTTTAGATGAATAGTTTTGTTCCAAGACAGGATTTGGATTTTATTCCCCTTATACAGCCGGTCCTTGACAAGGTAGAGGTCGCTATCAACAAGTGATCAAATCCCGTCTTATATTGGTACCGCTACCCAGGAAATGGAGTACATGTACACCTAATGTGTGCGCCGGAGGTATTAGTCGGAATTCCCTGGGTAGCGCTGCCAATATTGCCAAGACTGGATTTAATTCATATGTTGTTAAACCCACCGCGCCGTGGCAAGGCCGCGTTTGCTATATAGGGGAATGCAAATTCAAATTGGACCTGAAGACTACAACATAAAAGGTGAACGGATTTCAGTATCACCCTAACTTGAATCGTGCCCTTCGGACGGCGTCTGGTTGATTCCTGTTTCGATCCCTCCACTATAGCGCTCATTAATTTATGTGTATATTTTAATAACTGTATTTTGTAATTTTTTATTTTAAATATTACTTAATTAATTTGTTTAAAGTGTTAATTTATTTTATTTTTAAAAATATTTTTGTACAGTTTTTCTTTTAACTGAGGAGGCCACCCTGTTTAAAAACAGACTAAATGAAAGCTATAGCCGTTGGTCCTGTAGCTACGTAAACAGCAGGTGCCGTGATTTCGGCACACAATCTTCGATGACAATAGTTATAGTGTACAGAATGACAGCATTCAATTCCATGCGTACATGATTGTGAATATTTGTTTTAAAGGATCTTTTCTATTAATAGTAAACTTTGCCTAGATACCAGACATAATGCACCCATTCGTTCAATTTGGTTTTCTCTATGTTTATTATAGCTTATTAAAAATTCCCCTCTGCGGATTGCGCAATCGTGGGATGTAAAATAAGTAAGGGAAATCCCCTTTCGCGGCATAGCTCTATCCAATCACGGACCATGTAAACGGTCCGTGGTCCAATCAGGGACTAGGCTGCACTACATGTGACTTGTGAGTCTAGAAAATTCTGATGACGAGGAGCTGAAAGGGTATAAAAGGCAAGTACGGATCGGGCAATCGGCCCGGTAGATCCATGCTTTATGCATGGTTCTACTTCTATCGCTATCTGAAATCGTAGATAAAAATAAGAAGTGAGGTAAGTCCAGGGTTGTGGAATTGGATTTTTTTATTTAAAAATGAACAAAATAACATCAGTACTATTAAATAGTAATGACCATGACTAATGTAGTTTTGGTTGGTTTTATATTCAATTGCATGTTATGCAGACTGCAAAGATGATGCTTGCTGCTTTACTGAGTTTGTTCATCATGATCGGTGTAGATTGTCGACCGATCGTTACCGTCAGGAAACCCCGCGGAGCCCCGCCGGAAAGTCGAGCAGCGTACAACAGCACAAGTAAGGTTTTTTAGATTTTAGATGTAAAAAGAAGAAAAAAGTTGGTCGCTGCTTTCTTTTCACAATCTTTCGATCTTTCGATCTGTTTCTTGCTCTCAGTCTCAGTCAACATACTATGTTGTAGTCGAGGACTTTTTTCCGAGTACCGAGCCGTATACTGCCGAGTAGGCCTACTTAGGTTACTGAGTACAAGTACGAGTACTTCCGAGTACAAGGACAGGTCTCCGAGTACGAGAACTTGTACTTCCGAGTATGAGTACGAGTACTTATTCCAAGTACGAGTATCCATTTCCGAATACAGTCATACTGCATGTGGTTCATTGAGCGTAATTGGCCCAGGCCCAGTCAGACCATAGAGCTATGATCAGACCGATATATAGACCCACTCAAGGCTACTGTTAAATGTGTGGAAAGATTATCTGGCCATGACTATTTTTTGTCTTCAGTGACCTATCAGAAAGTGATAATAGGCCTATGTCCTAAAAAGTCAAAATTAGCCGGGAAATATTGAAGTTATTAGTTTACTAAGAAAACACTTAAAACAAATTTCTGACCAGTCTCATAGGGTTTGTGCACAGGGTGACAAGTGATGGCCGGATATGGGAATCTTTCCAAATGTGTTTGTCCGGACGTGCACAGAGGAAAATCAGGAAAGTTTGATTTCTCCGCAAGCCAATCAACCATTTCAAACTGCAAGCATCGATAAAATAAGGTTATATAAGTCAAGCTATACCAATTTTATTTTTTTTCGAGTAGGCCTACTGCTATTCAAGTTCAAGTAGGAGTTTGATGATCGAGTACAATTTCGACATATCCAGTACGAGTACTTTGCTACCTTAGTACGAGTACTGTCATTTCCAGTACGAGTACTTTGACATTCGAGTACGAGTACGAGTACTGTAAAAAAAAAAAGTACTCGAGTATACTAGTGCGAGTACCGATTAATATGAGTACTCATCATCATCTAGTGGTCACAACCGAGATCTTGTTCACAACGCCATGCCAGGTGTCTTTATCCCTCATTATGCACGGAAGGTCTTCAATTTCACATTGGGTGTCTCTGCCAATCACATCAATGTAGTTGAAAGGTCTTCGTCCTCTATTGAGTACTACAACACTGTCATTGATGTCCAAGGTCATGATGGTGTCATCAGGTGGTTATTGCATAGCCCGACTGCCTCTGGCCGTACACTATCGCAAGCTCTGTAGCACGGCACAAGTGATGTAGCAATTTTGCTACCTCAGATTTTAGCCCCCCAAACTTTTGTTAAGCCCCCCCCCCCCCAAAAAAAATCCACCAAAAGTTAAAGGTAAATGGTTCGGGATGATAACTTGAGTTAGAAATTGGATTTTAGTGTCCAACTTTGGTAGGGGGTTGCCCTTGGAAGTGGGCAAGTTTGGATTGGTTTTGAGGTCAAAGGTCAAGGTCACCGTGGTGAGTTAAATGTAAGTAGTTTCCGGATGATAACTTGAGTTAGAAATGAGATTTTGGTGTCTAACTGTGGTAGGGGGTTGCCCTTGGGAGTAGGCAAGTTGTGATAATTGGTTTTGGGGTCAAAAGGTCAAGGTCACTGTGGTGAGTTAAAGGTAAATGGCAACCTCGTCTCTAGGGTATCGAGCAGTACGTGCCCATCCCTACCTGCTCTCTCACCCTGGTATTGGATCATTTGCATGTGCAAGATTTTTGAACACATATGCAAATGAGGAATAGTCTGGTGCCTGCCTGTGCGTTACATTGGCGTTTGTTTTTGTATGCGGTGTTTGGGGTAAAAACGGAATCAATTCGTCGCAGCGCTGGCATGGCGTGAGTCACGAAAACACGATTTTCTTAAACTAAACTGTTACGATCTTATCGAGACAACATGCAGTTAGCACATTTCATATTAGTATTAACAAATGGAAAGGAAAAGACTATTTTCGAGAAAGCGTGGATGAATGATCGCAAAAACACGTACTGCACGTTGTGAATAACAACACCAAGTACACGATATGAATCCATTACTAGCCAATAGCGGTATTGAATCAAGATACAGGAAGAAAGTTTCCTATCCAGGGCTTACTATTGGAAACAAGGCTGGAAATAAAGTGAGCAATGGGGACAATGTTGGGTAAATGGTTTCCGGATGATAACTTAAGTTAGAAATCACATTTTGCTGTCTAACTTCGGTAGGAAGTTGCCCCTTGGGTACAGGCAAGTTGGGATTGGTTTAGAGTCAAACGGTCAAAGGTCAAGGTCACCGTGGTGAGTTATAGGTAAATGGTTTTCGCATGATAACTTGAGTTAGAAATGTGATTTGGGTTTCTAACTTTAGAAAGGGATTGCCCTTGGGTACAGGCAAGTTGGGATTGGTTTGGGGGTCAAAAGGTCAAAGGTCACCAGTGGTGAGTTAAATGTTAATGGTTTCCGTATGATATCTTGACTCCCGCTGAGGGGTTTAAACAGCATCGCTGTTATTTTTTTAATTGTTTGTTGATTTTTGGACCAAAAAGTTTTGATGTGTTTTTAATAATAATAATAAATAATAATAGTTGCTATTTATAAAGCGTACGTATCCACCAGGACTGGTGCTCAAGGCGCTACATCGTTATTACCCCTGCTCATTGGGCCCATGAAACATTCCAAATACCATCTCAGCTCCCTGGGGAGTATACAGCTCGATGCAGCCTGTTAGGCGCAAGGAAGCTAAATCAACCACAATAACCATCTCTGCCCTCACAGGTACCCATTTACTCCTGGGTGGAGAGAAGCAATGAGTGACAAAGTGCCTTGCCCAAGGGCACACGCACCATGACCCAGGCAGGACTCGAACCTACAACCTGCAGAATTACCCGCAGACCACAAATCCAATGCCCTTAACCACGAGGCCACAGCACTCCACAGCACTCCTTTTTTTACCAAAAAGGTCTTCGGCTCGGGTAAATATCAGCATCCAGACTCCAACCGGTCTTCAACAGTGTGTTTAATTGGCCAAGCACACATTTATTCCCTTATTCAAATATTCGGGACAGCCCTGATCTATAGAAATTGTTAAAATTGGGGTGTATTATGAATGTATGGCCTGACACTTTTGTTCAATTTTGTTCTGATTTTATGCATCTTTTCAGAGGACTACAACCTAATCTGCCAGGAACATTACAAATCGCCAGATTGGGTGTGGGAGCCCGTGCAGGAAGTGTGTATCCCATGTCGCCTTTGCGAAGGTTCACAGGAGGCATATTGCCAAGCATGCAGTAGTAAGTTCCAATGTATTATTTCCTCTGCTTTTCTTTCGGTCACGGTAACCTTGTTGCCCAATTTGAAAGTCTCCCCCAATATATTTGTTCTTGTACCTAGGAAAAACAGGTGTCAACTTAATTACTGATGAATCTGTTTGCTGATTTCAGGGGCCACAACAACCCAGGTTACTACGGAAGCTGCAACCACCAAGGACCTGGCAGCAAGCTCCACCAAACCTCCTGAAGACTTTGATCCTTCCACCCATCCTCCTGTAACAGCAGGGCGCAAGACACTAGGTATGCATCAACCATGTCAGCTAATGGCTTAAAATGGCATTATCAAGCAGTGAAAATGAAGGAGTTTCAGTGAGCTAGGTAGCACAGTATCTCTTTTATTGTGTGGTTCTTTCAAGTCTTATTTAATAGAAGTTTACCGAATACACAGGTTCAAAAGTTTTTCTATGTTTTTTTTTCCCAAGCTCAATATCTGACACAAGCCTTAAATTCAACTGCTCTAAGGAATCAGTATACTGATTTCACTGTTTTCTAATACAAATTCATATGTTTCAATTTGTCAACATTCAGGAGTTGATCCCATTGTCATTGGTGTTCCCATCGGGATTGGTGTGGTGATTGTCATCATGATCATGACTGTCTCCTTGTATTGTTTCATCCAGAAAAGAAACAAGCGAGGTAAATTCTTTGATTCAAAAATAGGTATCTTATCAGAATAAGCATTTCCTGTAGAAAAGTAATGGAAAGAATAGTTAAGCAAACGTGGCGCTAAAGATGCATTCCCGTGCCGCTTATTTTGAGTTTCACCTAGAAAAACAGATTTTTTTCTAATTGTTATTTTTCCTAGCAATATAAAAGTTATTCACTTTTGAATGCGACATTGAACAAAAAAAATCCATTGATGTTTAGTTTTTGAATTATTTCATAACAAAATAAGAATCATTGGCTGCCAGACAAAAATTTGGTTCTTGCAGCGGCGGGTCATTTTGCCCAAAATAATAGCCCTTTTAGGAGGGTTGCAGACACCCATTAGCGGAATAAAGGTTTTTTTGTTAAAACATAACATATTAATGGGAATATTGTCAAGAGAAAATTATCCATTTTTTTGAAGAGCAAGGGGTATGCAACTTTAAAACATCTCATTGAAATTAAGTAACAGGACTTTCACCCAAAGTTAACTGGGGGAGGATGATGCACGTTGGCATGTGTGGTGGTATGTCTACATGTTTCCATGTGACACATCACAAAAATGCACCTTTCCAAAAGTGCCCCTAAAAAGTGCTTCAATTAAACTACAAGTAAACCTTATAAAATCCCCATCATTTAAAATTTATTTACAGGAAATGCCCCAGTTGAAGAAGAAGGCGGTGGAGGAGAAATAGAGGGAGGTGAGACACTGCCGTTAAGATCGCATGTCCCTCAACAAGACCATGAACCAGTCCCAGAATGCAATCCACATGAACCCCAACGTCATACTCCTCCCAGCGAGTCAAGTCTCCTTGGGATTGAGATGGTTTGTGTGTAAGAGTTGGGCTCAGTCTGCAGTTAGACTTTAACACTTATACAGGGTGAGTCAAAAATGGCGGAACCCAAAACCCAAAACTATATTTCATATTAAAAAAAAATATGTAGCACCAAAAATAATGACTGGAAAGCCAATTTCATAAGCTACTTTTAGATAAAAAGAAATACTGAAATTGCTCAATCCGTTCAAAGAATATCACAATTTAAACGCAATGACACTTAAACCTGTCTCTTCCAAAAAAAAAGAGCAATTTATTGTGTGTTTTAACTGTTTGGAACAACAAAGAAAATGACACAGAAAACTTCTTTCAACAACTGTCAACAACAACAGCTTTCCAGTCATGATTATTTTTGGTGCTACATATTTTTTTTTAACATGAAATACAATTTTTGGGGTTTGGGCTCCGCTTTTTTTGACTCACCCTGTATCAAGATGAAGTACTATGTTCAGACTTGATTAAGTGGTTGCAATTTTATAGTTCTTCTAAATGCAGGTTTGCAAGGGCAAATAAAAAAACATATGTATTTGCTAGTGCTGTCAGCAAAGTATGGTGATAATATAAGCATGGAATTCCATATTTACAAGAGCTATGAAATTGACCCCTATCATAGCTCCGACGCCTCGTTGGTCCGACAAATTAAACGCTTCGTTTTTCCGCCGTCGGGCTTATGAGGGCGTCGGACTTATGAGGCGTCGGACCTATGAGGCGGAATAAATAAATGTTATGCCTCATAAGTCTGACGCCTCACAAGTCTGAAATTTCGGACTTAGGAGGCGTCGGACCTATTAGGCGTCGGACTTATGATACGACCCCACTTGAAACAGCATCAGTCTGGTTTCTGACCCCTAAATTCAATGTCATTACATAGTGGGGTACTGTGGTCCAATGGTTACAGTGTTCGGCTCATGTGCTGTGGTACATGGGTTTGAATCGTGACTGTGGGAACATGGTGCTTGTGCTCATGAGCAAGGCACTTTACCATTATTGCTTCGTCCTTCGGATGGGACGTGAAGCCGTAGGTCCCGTGTGTTGTGTAATGCACGTTAAAGAACCCAGTAACACTTATCGCTAAGAGAAGGGGTTTGCCCCGGTGTTTCTGGCAGTGGCTGCACTATATGCCGCAGCACCTTGTAAACCCTTATAAGGTGCTACATAATGGGTCTCATATTTTCTCATAAACTTTATTTACCTTTCTTTGATAATAGACATAATTTCCAGTGCCTTCAGTACCTAATTGTTGTGCGCTATACAGGTATCACAAGTCCTAAGTTCCCCCAACATTATTCTTAATTAATGAAATAGAAATGCACGATTTCAACAATATCCCAAATGCAAATGACAGAGGGCACTCTTCTGCCCATCTTGTGAGAAAATGATAGAAATCCAATCACGCATACCAACACAAAGCTCATTTGAATAAAAAAGTGCCAATAAAAAAAAGTTGCAGTAAATAGCATTGCTCCAATGTACTGGTTTGAGTGATCCTGCAAGGCAGGGTAGACTTTCATTAATTAATAACTTTACCTTACAAAAGTTTCCTTGTTTAAAAGGATGTTTAACTAAACAAGACACAATCTTGGTAATCTAACAGATAATTGCAGAACTTTTAATGCAAAGACGACAAAGAAAATGCAAATGAAATGTAACATTTTTGAAATTTCCCATGTAAAACCAAGAGTCTCTACTTGAAAGAGGAAGAACAAGAAAACCAATTTCAAAAATGTTACATTTAATTTGCATTTTCTTTGTCGTCTTTGCATTAAAAGGTCTGCAATTATCTGTTAGATTACCAAGATTGCGTCTTGTTTTAGTTAAACATCGTTTTAAACAAGGAAACATTTGTAAAGTAAAGTTATTAATTAATGAAAGTCTACCCTGCCTTGCAGGATCACTCAAACCAGTACATTGGAGCAATGCTATTTACTGCAACTTTTTTTATTGGCACCTTTTTCATTCAAATGAGCTTCGTGTTGGTATGCGTGATTGAATTTCTATCATTTTCTCACAAGTTGGGCAGAAGAGTGCCCTCTGTCATTTGCATTTGGGATATTGTTGAAATAGAAATACTCTCTGGGGTTATAATGAGTCATGTCGCGTGCTATGTTTATGTAGATCCATGATTTGGAACATAATAAGCAGCGTTGCGCTCACCTTGTCATACAGAGATATAGAAATACTCTCTGGGGTTATAATGAGTCATGTCGCGTGCTATGTTTATGTAGATCCATGAATTGGAACATAATAAGCAGCGTTGCGCTCACCTTGTCATACAGAGATATAGAAATACTCTCTGGGGTTATAATGAGTCATGTCGCGTGCTATGTTTATGTAGATCCATGATTTGGAACATAATAAGCAGCGTTGCGCTCACCTTGTCATACAGAGATATAGAAATACTCTCTGGGGTTATAATGAGTCATGTCGCGTGCTAGTTTATGTAGATCCATGATTTGGAACATAATATGCAGCGTTGCGCTCACCTTGTCATACAGAGATATAGAAATACTCTCTGGGGTTATAATGAGTCATGTCGCGTGCTATGTTTATGTAGATCCATGAATTGGAACATAATAAGCAGCGTTGCGCTCACCCCGTCATACAGAGATATAGAAATACTCTCTGGGGTTATAATGAGTCATGTCGCGTGCTATGTTTATGTAGATCCATGATTTGGAACATAATATGCAGCGTTGCGCTCACCTTGTCATACAGAGATATAGAAATACTCTCTGGGGTTATAATGAGTCATGTCGCGTGCTATGTTTATGTAGATCCATGATTTGGAACATAATAAGCAGCGTTGCGCTCACCCCGTCATACAGAGATATAGAAATACTCTCTGGGGTTATAATGAGTCATGTCGCGTGCTATGTTTATGTAGATCCATGATTTGGAACATAATAAGCAGCGTTGCGCTCACCTTGTCATACAGAGATATAGAAATACTCTCTGGGGTTATAATGAGTCATGTCGCGTGCTATGTTTATGTAGATCCATGATTTGGAACATAATAAGCAGCGTTGCGCTCACCCCGTCATACAGAGATATAGAAATACTCTCTGGGGTTATAATGAGTCATGTCGCGTGCTATGTTTATGTAGATCCATGATTTGGAACATAATATGCAGCGTTGCGCTCACCCCGTCATACAGAGATATAGAAATACTCTCTGGGGTTATAATGAGTCATGTCGCGTGCTATGTTTATGTAGATCCATGATTTGGAACGTAATAAGCAGCGTTGCGCTCACCTTGTCATACAGAGATATAGAAATACTCTCTGGGGTTATAATGAGTCATGTCGCGTGCTATGTTTATGTAGATCCATGAATTGGAACATAATAAGCAGCGTTGCGCTCACCTTGTCATACAGAGATATAGAAATACTCTCTGGGGTTATAATGAGTCATGTCACGTGCTATGTTTATGTAGATCCATGATTTGGAACATAATAAGCAGCGTTGCGCTCACCTTGTCATACAGAGATATAGAAATACTCTCTGGGGTTATAATGAGTCATGTCGCGTGCTATGTTTATGTAGATCCATGATTTGGAACATAATAAGCAGCGTTGTGCTCACCTTGTCATACAGAGATATAGAAATACTCTCTGGGGTTATAATGAGTCATGTCGCGTGCTATGTTTATGTAGATCCATGATTTGGAACATAATATGCAGCGTTGCGCTCACCCCGTCATACAGAGATATAGAAATACTCTCTGGGGTTATAATGAGTCATGTCGCGTGCTAGTTTATGTAGATCCATGATTTGGAACATAATAAGCAGCGTTGCGCTCACCCCGTCATACAGAGATATAGAAATACTCTCTGGGGTTATAATGAGTCATGTCGCGTGCTATGTTTATGTAGATCCATGATTTGGAACATAATATGCAGCGTTGCGCTCACCCCGTCATACAGAGATATAGAAATACTCTCTGGGGTTATAATGAGTCATGTCGCGTGCTATGTTTATGTAGATCCATGATTTGGAACATAATAAGCAGCGTTGCGCTCACCTTGTCATACAGAGATATAGAAATACTCTCTGGGGTTATAATGAGTCATGTCGCGTGCTATGTTTATGTAGATCCATGAATTGGAACATAATCAGCAGCGTTGCGCTCACCCCGTCATACAGAGATATAGAAATACTCTCTGGGGTTATAATGAGTCATGTTGCGTGCTATGTTTATGTAGATCCATGATTTGGAACATAATATGCAGCGTTGGGCTCACCTTGTCATACAGAGATATAGAAATACTCTCTGGGGTTATAATGAGTCATGTCGCGTGCTATGTTTATGTAGATCCATGATTTGGAACATAATATGCAGCGTTGGGCTCAACCCGTCATACAGAGATATAGAAATACTCTCTGGGGTTATAATGAGTCATGTCGCGTGCTATGTTTATGTAGATCCATGAATTGGAACATAATAAGCAGCGTTGCGCTCACCCCGTCATACAGAGATATAGAAATACTCTCTGGGGTTATAATGAGTCATGTCGCGTGCTATGTTTATGTAGATCCATGAATTGGAACATAATAAGCAGCGTTGCGCTCACCCCGTCATACAGAGATATAGAAATACTCTCTGGGGTTATAATGAGTCATGTAGCGTGCTATGTTTATGTAGATCCATGAATTGCTCTTTGGATTAGAATGAGCAGTGTCGCAGACTCCAAACTGCTTAGAGTCATGATATACTCTCTCGTGTTATCATGAGCCACATGAGTTTTTGAAAATTATACATAGGTCATTTGGTATTTTGTTTAATTTGCTTGTAAATTGATGCAGTTCTTTACATTACTATTTGAATGTTGTAAAATTAGAGTGAATTTTGGACAACAGGATGGTACTCAGAAAGCGGATTGGCAGGTGGCGGGGAGGTTGAGGGCTGTAGTTAAATTTAACTGAAAAACAAATTGGGTTTTGTTCTGAATTTGTGTTCAAAATAATGTTTGAAGGCGCTTCACAGAAATCTGTGAAATTGTGGCTTCTGGTGGCTTGCGACTACTCATTAGCACTAGCCTTGTTGCCTTCCGTTGATTGGTTGTTATCTCTTACTTCAGTTCCATGCTGAAATTGAATTGAGGGGTCAGGAACCAGACTGATGCTGTGATTGGAGTGATTGAGAAATAAACTTTAAGTTGCTTCGGTATTGTGACAGGGTGAGAAGGTTCATAGGATATATTCCAGTCACACGATTAAGTCTTGCCCTGCCCCCCTGATCTCTTAGTGAGGAAGATATTGCTGCCATATTGACCGTTTTTTGGCATAATGAACTTTTGCAATAGACATGGCAGAGGTTATTGGGGTATTTAATTTGTAACTTTTCAATATTATAAGCAAAAGATGAAGGATGATTAACCCATCAGCACTTCAAATACACTGTATTACATTCAATAAATTCATAGTTTTACAATACATTCTTGGGGCAGTTTGGGGTAGTATATGGACTTAAAGATTAAAGAGAATAAATGTCTTCTGTGTTATTTTCCTAATTAAGTAGTGCCTACACATTTTAGATTAATCCAGTGGATCATGTGCTGAAATTCTACTAAATAGTGGGTTTTTTTCCATAAAAGTGCCAAATTTGGTACAGAGGTGAAAGTTTACTCTGTGTAAACCCGCCTGCCATACAATTTATGTTCAATTTCACTGTTGTAACCCTTCCCCAGGGTTGAGGTTTGTTCCTATTTGTGGAATAAAACACAACATAACACATTAAAATTCTTCAATGTGTTATGCTGTGTTTTAAAAACATGTTTTCCACTTTTAAAGCCCATGTTTTATCAACTACATGTATGCATATTTGGAATTGTGCATTTTATGAATTGTTTCCTCTAGTACCTGTTCCTGTGGGGTTTTTTAATGAAAAATGCCGCACAATTGTTTCACATATTCTGTGTAGCATTAATTGTGGGTAGGCAGGCTTTAGGGCTACAGTAATTAAGTACACTATTGTTTACCCTGGCCGGCTTGGAATGTTTTATTGTCCTTCTTTTGGGCCATGGGTCCTTCTATTTTTTGTATCTGTCTCCCCTCCCCCAAGCCCTCCCCTCCCCCAGCCCTCCCTCACCTACACCCCTCATTTCTTCTTGCATCCGTCAGACTTGCCCAGTGGCAATTTTTTTTTATTTCACTTACTTGGGCTCCTTTTTCTCATTTTATTATAAGTATACTTATATGATGTATAATTGCAGTGCTCTGTGAATTTTCTTGTTTTCATTTTTTGGCCAAAGAAATAAAAATTCAATGTAGTAGCAATAATAATAATAATAATAATAATAGCCGCTAGACTAAATGCTTTTTACTATCGCTGAACTGAGTGCAGTTTCCTATTTAGTATACATTCTATATGTTTTTAGCTTTCGTGGAACTTAGTGTTTCTAGTTGTGGTTTGTTCAGTAAAGGCAACATTATAAGTATATAATTGCTAACATCCAATAACTTGCTTAATTTTATTTACTTATTTGTTTATAGAAGTATTTTATTCTGATAATCATTTGTTTGGTAGTGCTTTTATTTAGAGATGTAGATTAATAACATTAGTCTCGATAGAAATAAAACAAGCGTGATATAGTATGATTGTGTTGTGGCCAGCCTTTTTACATATATTTATTTATTTAAAGCGAAAGTTAAAGACAAAAGAACTTTTAAGTGTGTTTTGGTTTCAAAATTTTCTTTATTAGCAAGTAGCCAAGTTTGTACTCCAAGTAAGGTTGTTTTTTTTTAGGATAAATGTCCCAAGTGTTTGATGAACTTCTAAATATCGTCCCCATGGCTTTTGATTGAAACCCTTAATTCCCCCATGAGTCGCCTATGAAGCAAGTATATTCCTCCCACCCCACCCACATCTTCATTCACTGCCCCTCGTCAAATTTCGGCAATACCGTATACCGAAATTATTTGAAAGAGGGCGCTATTGTCAGAAACGGTCATGCCATAGACATGCACGCGCATCGCATCCTTTTTAAAACGGAAATATCAACCCAGCTTTTTATATTTGTATAAATCTGCCAGGACTTAGGACACGACATTAAACTCGAAAGGTTTAATTATAGGGTTTAAGCCTTAATTATTTTATTTTTATTTTTAATACAGTGTTGACGAAAATATGAATCCTAATAATTGGTTTGAGCTAGCTAGCTAGCCCCGATCCCGTGCAAAAATTATCGCAATCTGTCCTGCTTCCGTGATTTGTCAGATCTTTGGCCGCAACAAAATGAATATTCAATAGCTAGATTTTCTATGTCGCCGATTGGCTACAGCTGACTGTGACTAGAAAGGACGTGGCGAAACGAGAGAAGCCACACAAGTAATTTGCATACCAGTTCGCCATATGGAAAACAGAAAGTTCACCTAAAATTCCTTTTCCACCGATTTATTTGTAACAGTTTTTATTGAAATATGTCATGGAAACGAACCTTTGGGAAAAACCGCTCACTGTTTTAAAAAGTACAAACGCATAATAGAATGGTTTACACATGATTTGTTGCACCCAAAGGGCGGGGCCTATTTTATCAATAAGGGTCACATGCCGATACCGCGCGGTGCGGGGTCAAAATTTGCATATAATTGAGTGGAGTCATGTGTACAGCATGCATCGTACCGTATGTACATGTACATATGTACATGTACATGTACGTCGTACCGTGATCATGTACGTGTACGTGTGCGCGTGAATTTACCATCATTGCAAATTTTGCAAGGACAGAAAGTGGACGCACGATAGATAAACATCGGAAGGGTCGCCAAACCCTGCCAGATTTACCCCGATTTCGGACCGGACCGGCCAACGACCGCGGCAAAGCATCGCAATGGACGATCTTCTGAGTGGAAACAGTCTCTACGAGGGAGAAGAGAATGATTTCAAGTACATTTTGGACTCGGATGTGTTTCACAATGTGGTAAGAAACTCTGCCTTGCATTTCCTTAGCACATGTGTTTTATCATGTCTCGTCTGCTGTGCATATGGAACGCCATGAGTGTTGCAATTAGCACTTCCTGCATTGTAAATAAACATGTATAGTGAATTTAATCATGGTGTTCTTTTCCCTGTAATTTAAAAGGAAGCGGTTTCTGTATTATAAAAATGCCTTGATTTGACATCTTCGATTTAAATTTAAAATTCCTCCATGGTCTAGTCAACATTCCAGTCATATCACTTTTATCAGCCACACTCCTTTCACTCGTTCACCCCTCCCCCCCCCCGATAAAAAGGGTAGATAAACATTGTGGTATTACAGTTGAGTGCTCTAGATAGGACATCAGAAAAGAATGCCAGTCATGTGTGAAATAAACAATTTTGTGGCATTTGTTTATAGAACATGCAGGCACAAAACATGTTGGTCAATATTGGTCATTGAACCACTCACTTCAAACACATGATTTTTACACCAAGTTTTTTTCGAACTAGAAATCAAATAAACATCAATGCCAGCTTGTCGAAAACGTACAGAATGTTTGAAATAGCTGGGCTAGCTGTGAAACAGGTTGTCTTGAATCACGAATCATGGACTACATGCTTCAATCATGTCAATGTACAAACCCAATACCTGAGAACATGAACAGTTTCCTGCTGAAACCGTCAATATTGTAACTGCCTAAAGTGTGATAAATTGTTTAATTCTACAGAATTTGATTTAAGTCTGATGAATTGCAAAAAAAAAATCACCATTTCAGGAAAGCACATTGATGCATTATTCAAATAATCGTGTTGTTTTATAATTTTTTAAAAACCCATAAATATTTTTGAAGGTTGTTGTATGTTGAAGTGAAGCAAATGTTCTTGAAGTGTTTATGTTGGATCATTATAAAAAATGCTGCATTGCAATTATAATGCAGTTTCACTTCGTAACCACTCCAGCATTCCATATTGTTATTATTTGGTACTAGCGAGTACCATGTGTGTAGCTTGTCCCATCCAGCCATATGGCACACGCCCACTTGTAGCGTGCACAGTGAGAATGAATGGGGAATCCTTCAACTGTGCGTGCAGTCATGCAGACTGTGGGAACCTCCATTCATAAACGGACTTTGAATAGCACCAGAGTTTTAGTCATGTGTGACCCCTCTTTAGTTATCACAAAACAAATCTAGTGTGCGTCAGTGAGCATAGAGGAAACTCCCCAACCCAACTATTTGAACCATTGTGAATTGGCATGTTCTGAAAAGTGTGAAAATAGAATTCCAAAGTGTTTAATTGAACTTTACGTGTACTGACTTCAACTTGAACTCAGTGTAATTTCTGTGTTAGTGTTAGCTTCAGTTTTATACAGTTCAGTTGTTTAAAAAGGGTGTGTTTAAAAGGAGTTACGAATAATCTAACTGTTATGACAGGCTTGACAGCAGGCCGAAGGTGTAAAAAGAAAATATTTGGGAAAGAAGTCCGATGGTGTGAAGTTGTGAACCAGTTTCCATCAACAAATGCTGCCCAGGATTCCTCCACAATATATCAAAATTCACAAAAGTCAATAAGAACCAGACTTTTTTTTTTACAGCCTCCCAATGAGTTGATCATCCGTATTCAAATAACTGAGGAAGCAAGAAATGTCCTTTAAAAATATGTGTGTGTGTCCATCTACGGATATAGGCCTATAGAGTCTTCAACTTCAGGTAATGCATGACTTGTCATACAACTAGTGAGAGATAATTAATAGTGCAATGCTGTACTGTGTTGTACAAATAGACTATTTCCAGGTTTTTTAGTTTGGTTTTACCATGTTTTACCAATTGGAAACTTGGGTCAAGTCTTTGTGGGTCCAGGAAATGCTTTGCCATACGTGTACAGTACATACATGTATGTATGTTGAAGCATACAGCGACATGTTATGTACATGTATGTAGACTAGACTGTTGTTTGGAATGCTCCAGAATGCAGGATGTTCCCACAACTACTGTTTTAATTTGGTCCACTCAAACCGCAGACCTTGCACCCAGACAGGAAGTTTCAACTGTGCTGCCAACTGCCAAGTCTCATGACCTTCAACCTCTAATGCCTTATGGGATGACTAACAATAGCAAATTTCTTTCAAAATTACAATCATGGGATGAGACCTGTTGTTCTGATCAATGTGACCTCTGCAATGGTTGACTATATGTTTGTTGGGGCACAGTACTTGTCTGGTCAGTCTGCCCATGAGGGTTATATAATGGACTCCTGCTTTTGATGTGAGAGGGGAGAGTTGAATAGGATGGTTTCCACCCCACCCACTTGTGTCAATAGTGAGGCAGTGTCTGGAGACAGGGGGTCCAGATTGTCTGGTCCTTGGGTAGCATTGAGTGTATTCAATGGTTGGTAGTGAGGGGATTCAGTTCAAGCAGTTAAATAGCTCCAAGGTTCAAGCTATGGTTCAAGGATTGCAGATGACAACGGAACTCCAGATTGTAGATTGTTCATTGGTCAAATAAGGGGGAGGCTGTGCTTTTATATACCTTGCCTTGAATTGATATTGTGCATAAAATACTCAATTTACATAAGTTTTAGTGTGTAGACTGGTTATAAAAATGCAAATCACACTGTATTATAATCAGACGTACATCACTTTATAGGATGATGTATGTACAACCATGGAGGAATAATAAGGAATGGTAAAGTAATAATATATAGGACAGGAGTATTGGATCATGGTACATTCTAGCAGAGTCCCCATTTTTAAAGTTGTGCAATAAACTATTCGGTTATTACAAAAAAAAACCAACCTACAGGCTCATTCACACTGTAACTTAGCTGAGCTCAGCTGGATTGTCAGCTTGAACTTTAAGATATATTCTGGACGCATTTCTACATTAATAATTCTGTGGTTGTGGTCCAGATCATCTGTTCTGCAAGCTAATCAGATTCCATCAGGGGGGCCAAGGATATCCCAAGGTTACAAGTGGAACCAGACGCACTCCCCCAGTACCCCATGGCCCACCATGTACTCCTGGCTTGATCAAATCTCAGCTGGTCTCCATCGGCAGTCTTGTGACCCAGACAGAAACTGGAGGTCAACTAGAGTTGATGCTGGCAGTGTTGGCTACACATGTACATGTGTATATATGTACATGTACACATGGTACATTTACACATGTACAAGTACATGTACAAGTACATGTACATGTGCATATGTATGGAGTTGTAAATAAATGTACAGTATGAGACGCACATGTAACAGGGTAAAACAAGTGTTATTCTCTATGTTTGGTTTAATTCTGCTGTCATCCCCTTTGCTTTGGCTCCCACATTTTGTATTGGAGTGCATATAAATAATTGAAAACAAATTTCCAAGCACAGTTATTGTTTTCATGGGGCCTACTGTTAATTTAACAAGAGTGTTTTGGTTCACAAGTTTCATATGAAACTTGTGGTGACCACCTAGCGATTTGCATCCTTCATTGTTCCTGCTGCAACTGTGATGTCACACTGGGCATATCCGCAGGGTTTGTTTTGATGACTAACACCAGTTTGATTGCGGCCTGAATTGCTTTTCACCTTCATCTAGTCATGGATTTGTTGTTTTTCTCCAATAAAACAGGGGCATTTGTACTTTAAGCCACAATGGAAGTGTGCAAATTTAGTTTAGTTGGGCTGGAAAGGTTTCAGACCAGTTGGGTGCCACAAACAATTTGAAATTTGCTTCCTATTCATTGTAACAAATTCTTTTTACATTTCAAACACAATTCTGTCATTGTTAATAATATGTTTATGAACATATGACATGCAGTGTATTTTAACTTAGCTGTCTTATGTGTAGGACAGTGACGTATGCATGTGTGTAGGCACAAACGTAACTTGTATAGGAAGCAGACTACAACACTGATTTTAGAGGATGTAAAATGTAAAAGAGGTGAGTTTTGGTTTTGGTCTTGTGTCAAGTGATAAATTTTGCACTGAGGCAAAACACTTTAACAATAGTTGAATAATTGAAAATGTTTCCATTATTGAAGTCTGTGTGGGGAGTTTAAGTAAGTTTTTCATTTTTTTCCGGAACAGAAAGTGAACAAAACTCAACTCAATTCAACATTCAAACACAGGTGATATTATGTTGTTTTCGTAGATAGATTGCTAATTAAACAAACCACAATAAGCATGTGATTTTGTGAAGATATAAAAAACAACACACTTCAATTTGTTTGTCGAACAATTATCAACAAAATTGTGTTACTCTGTGCCATTCACAGTACGGTAGCAATTAAACGCAACAGTTGATGAATAAACACAGTACGCAGACACCATACTGTCCCAGCTGGTTGGGCCAATGTTTGCACAGCAATACACGTTATTGATTACAAAACAAAAAGTACCACTTGCGTCATGTGTTGCATCTTCCGCTTTTGAAAACACGGCTATATTTGAACTGGATTTCAGTGACGTCTATTCTGTCTGGCAACATGTGGCCCACTGTGTGATAAATCCTTCTTTTTTTAATGTGTTATGAGTATGACCGGTCAACAGAAAGGGGGATTCGGAGGTGTTAATACGTGCGTCTAGTGACAATTGAAATGGACGTGTTGGGCTTTTTATGATCACGCTCCACCGACGTGCATATTTTGAGAATAATTGAATAATTTAATTTGTAGGATCCTGGTTACAAGAAAAAAAAAAAAATCACATGATAAAAGAAGAAAGGGAAAAAAGGATAGAATTTCATGAGGTTGGCAACACTTTAATGAGGAACAGAATACGGGTATGTTTAAATACGTTGGAATAAAAAAAGTATGGATTTGTTGACCATGTGTTGTGTCTTGGTTTTTTGTTTTTCATGTATGTGCTATTTTAGTGTTTAATGGTTTCTGTGAAGCTTTTTATCTCAACTGATTTTGTTTTTAAGTAAGTAATAATTATAAATTTATTCACTTAATGTGGCTTGCAAGAGGGCTATGACTAAATGATAAAAAGTAAAATCTAAATCTATGCTTTATCCAA